ACTCTGCCCTGACATTCACACACATTTTTAACTTAATATGAAACATTAAACTCTGAGAAAGGAGGAGCAAGAAAACTGGAAAGTGAATATTAAATCACATTCGACCACAGAAAGCCTCAGGGAAACTACTGTCTAAGCTAAGATCACATTTGTCAAGAACTAACAAATACAAACAGGTTCTTGTTTCATAGTTGTAGCTATCCATCAAATCAGAGTTAGTCATAATAAAATAAACTCAAGAATTAGCTTTGAGAGCCAGAGGACCCTGTATGTTGGACTTTTTCAGGTGGTTCTTGTCCAGAAATGTTGTGTTTATTAAATCTGAGCAGCTGGCCAAAGATGGATCCAGAATCTCTGGGTCAGGGGTTGTCTGGCAATCTGCTGGACCTGTGGCAAGTCCATAAACTCCAGTATGAGCTAAGAAACTGAGAAAGAAAATGAGGTAATTCTATGGGCATTACTCCAACCAAACACTGTGTTTCAATAACTCTCTTGTTACCATTTCACTGCTTGAAAACCGAGACCACTTTAAGGGTACAAGTGAGGAAATTGACACAGTTTGAGCAGACTGCAGGGATTCCCTGACCACTGACCACACAGAAAACTAAAATAGACCAGAAGTCTCTGCCCAACCATTCGAGGCTAACACAGTAACCCAGATTGCTGAAAACATCCCAATCAAGCCTCTGTGCTGCAAACAGATTTCACACCAGATTTTCATTTACTGTCATGATCAATATGTACAGCCATGTGACGTGTATACAGTATGAACCTGACAAACACACTGAACCATATCTGCTTTTTAAAGGTGTATGTGTGCTGTGTCAGAGGTCTGAAACTGGGCTATGCATGCATTCACGTATACAATTATGTCCAATAATTACTTGAGTCAGTTTGTAGAGTTTTATTTCATTTTGAATTGATCTATTTGATCTGTGTGAGAAGTTCTAATGCCGTAAAAGTGAAGTACAGACCATAGACTGTATATAATATGGACAATGGGGCTCTGCCTCCCGTCATTGTACGAATTTGAAGCCAAATTGCTCCTCGTATTTCTGGGATTTTCTCCATTTCCTCAAACTGGCATTTGAGCAGTAGTGTTTGCCGGGAGAGTTGCTGTGATCCCACTGAGCATTTTTTGGTCTAAAAGAGGTCTAATAGATGTCTAAATGTAGCCTAGACGACTGGTCTAAAATCAGGCTACCACAGGTCTAAAAAAGTTTTTATGGACATCTAAATTTAGAAGTTTGGACCAAGTCTAAATCTGGGCTATATCTATCCTACACTGTATATTGCTCAATAGCTATCATAATTATTTTGGTTAGGTACTTGAAGATCAGTTTTGAAATAAATAATTATCAATAATGGGTTAAAGTGCAAGGTCTAAATTCAGTCTAAAAATATACAGAGTCTAGACAGTTGAAATTAGGTCTAAAAAAAAAAAAGAAAACAGACATCTAATAGCCATCTGTTGCTTAGTGGGATGACGCTCTGCTCCAAAAGGGTATCCCGCGAATGATCTACGCAATCTTCATACACCCATAGGCTGTATCAAGTGTCAATCATAGAAAACATGAACCCCCTAATAACTCTTAAATATGGAGCTGTACGGAAAAAAGAGGACTTGAGCACAAACCAGTCTTACAGTAACTGCATGTTGACATCCGAACCGGGGGAGAAAAAAATATATTCTGTGTCATTAATTTCTAAAGTTTGTCCACAACTCCATTTATTTTGCTGGAGTAGGTGGGATTTTGACCTGTACTGCAGCCCATCACCAGAAGGTGCTGTTCTCCTGTAGGCTTCACCCAGCGAGGAGGCAGTGTCCATTCTAAATACAGTCTATGGTATAGACATAGACCCTGATTGCAATGTTGACGTATAGTTACTGTAAGACTGGTTTGTGTTCAAGTCCTCTTTTTTCTGTGAAACTCCATTTTCAAAAGTTAATCTGACACCAAATCTAAACAAGCCAAAAGACCACAGGATTGAAAACAATACAAAAATTACTTGTCTCTGTCTGAAATAAAAGGAAAAAAATCAAATCCACCTCTTTGTAAACTAACTTACATTCGTACTTTAATATTGACAATTGATGCAAACTTGTTTGTTAAACTCGTTGATTAATCAGAATATGAAGTAACTGGCAAACAGAGACATCATTAACCAAAGGTGATGGTATGAATTGTTAAAAAGAGTGAGTTCAACTTTATAGGGCTTTTATTTTGGGGTTCATTCATCACTCTCCTGCAAAATCCAGCTGAAACCAGCTTTAAACTGCAGCTGGTTTACCAGCTTTGGGTAACGGGTCACAAGGTCTCCAGCGAAGGTGGTTAAGCAGGTGGTCATCTGAATGCAAACTATGATCAAGCAGCAATGATCAAATGATAGAGACAAACTATTTCTGTTTTTGATTTGGACAAACATGGTAAAATATGATTGGGATTCAATCAAAATTTATCAAACAGAAAAGCAGAAGTATCTGTTGTGTGGATGGTACTTTGATTAAAACACTATGCTTTGATATCAGGAAACAATGTAAGAGTGGGCAGATACATTTTAAAAATTTTATCTGAAACACGGAGCCAACTCTCAGATGTATAAGCCTTTCTTTCTTTCTTTCTTTCTTTCTTTCTTTCTTTCTTTCTTTCTTTCGTTACTTCATGCAATGCTTTGCTCTCTCTCTTCACTATCTGCTTCAAGGAAAATTATGTGCCAAGTCTATCAGTGTATTTCTTACACTTTTCCATTTTTTCCAATATTGGCACTCGTCAGTTTATATTAAATGATCTATGTGCCAACATGCATTGCCAGGAACCATTGGTTGTTAGAGTGTCCCACACTTTACCTTAAGTTATTTGACAGCTCCTTAAAAGGTCAAGATAAGCAGCTATTCAACTGAGGACTGTCTTTGAGATATAAGTTTAATGTGGTAAAGGTAAGTTTTGATTTAACTTACCAGGTTACAGTAATTTTTTTTTTGCCAGTCATGAATGCAGCCCCAAAATGTGACAGGTCACCTCAGTGATGAAAAACTTGCTTTTGCTTTTGTTTTTTTCATTACCCTTTTTTCCCACATACTGTGGCGAATAGCTAAGTGTTTCATCACAACTGGTGAAAGCAGGCAAATGTTTATGAATTTTGTGTGTGAGCTGTATTCATGTAAACACGGTTAGTTCCGTGTATAAAGTTGAAGCAGGAGTGAGAGTTGAAGCCAAGGTCAGCCACTACTTAATTGGCTGCCACAGCATGGCCACTCACAGAGCCAGCAGCCAGCAACAGTACCAGTCGAATAACTCAAGATACATTCATACCTATTTATTTAACAGGATACAGATGTATTGCATGAAGTATTTCAAGCCAAAACAATTTTGCTACCTGTGTCTATGCTCTAAACTACTGAAAAAAAGGGTACAGTCATTCAAGCTATCCAACCTAAATGGTAGGGGAGACCAGGGCTTGTTGTCACACTTTTTACACTCTTATATATTACTTCGAATCAATACATTATAAGTAAACAAAATGTGTACCACACGAAAGACCAAAGTCTCAGATATATATTTTGTATTGATTTATTAGCTAGGGTCACCTGTCTGACGGGCCTCAGCATCATGTCAGGTACTGCACTGCCATGCTCTGTTTTTATTTTGTAATTCCTGACCATGTCTTTTCGCTTTCTCCTCTCCTTTAAACCACTCTTATCTCTGTAAAAATAGTCAAAATTTCAATATGACAACTGCTGATAATTTTGATCCCTTTTAAACATGTGACAACTAACCCCAAAATGACTGAGACCTGTTGCCCCAAACTATCATGTTTACTAATTCTAGCTCTAGCTTAAAGTTAGCTTAAAACAGAACAATGACTGAGGTATGACAGGATGTCTTAATCTCTCCTCTAACAAGTCCACGTGTTTCACTGCTGGGATTTTTATCTAGAAGAAGCTTATTTTAAAATATATAAAGTTAATTTTTTTTTTACTTTGGGTTGTGCGAAATGGTCAATTGGCGCTCATCTCAGCTCACAATGTGCTCTTCTCTTCTCAGACAGGATGCGACCCCTGACCATGTAAAGGACGAAAACTAGTATTCCACTTTTTAGTTGCGCCCTCTGGTGGCAAAGATAATTGCAATATGACACCTTACCCATGTGACAACAAGCCCCGGTCTCCCCCATAAAAAAAACTTAACAACAATATTCAATTATCTGTGACTAATAATGTTAGATAACTTTTCTATAATACATGAAAAGAAAGGTATGTTGACCATCACAGGTGAAGTGGGTAAAATGGATATTGGAGCTCATTTGGCATGAATGTGTGTTTGTCAAAAATATAACCCCCGCATTACATTGTTATAACTCTATTCTGGCCTCTGCAGCCTTTTATCAGCAGTGATTACACTGTGATTATTGAGGTTCATATAACTATGTGGGATGTGTGTTTTTTTCTTGTGAGGCTTGGATCCTTGCAGATCGGCATTTTTCAAAGAAAAACAGACATAGTCACTTCTGAGAATCAGTGATAGATATTTTGATGAAAGATGAGACAGCGACATGCATTAGATGGCAGTAAAATCTGCCTGATGAGCAGAGGTGTGGGAGAATCAAAAGAACCAACAAAGAGTGGAATTGAGCTATTAAATGGATATTCAGAGAAAAGCTAATGGAGGAGAGGATTGAAATAAATGACAGGTGATTGAGAGCAACTCCCTCCAAAAATCAGACTCACATTTCAAAAAATGACAGTTGACTGAGGGAGAGGAGGGAAAGAAATGACAGAGAGATGGATAGAGCTGGAAATAGAGGGAGAAAGAGAAAGAGAGAAGAATGCAGACAAAAGGAAAAACACCTCCCGCCTGCCCTGCCTCCTCATTGCTCCCTGGGGAACGAGGGATTATGGAAATGTATAAAATGTGTGTGTGTGTATGAGAGAGAGAGAGAGAGACTGACAGACAGAGAGGAGGAGAGAGCAAATAAGAGAGGGAGGGAGACGGAGCCATGCTATTGGTTCATCGTTGTACCATCAAGCGTGATAGAAACATTTCTCTCTCAGTCTAAGAAATACAGGAGGACAGGCAGAGACAGTAGACTCAGGAAACACAATCAGGTCTGTTTTCTAGAGAGATTAAAAAGAGGGCATTTGAAACAAAGAAACCAGGGGACACAGTAGAAAGGTGGACTCATTGACTTGAGACTTCTGAGATGTGCTGTGGAGATTTTTTGCTTTAAGATCTGGAGAGATTTCAAAATCAGAGTAAATGCGACTCATGATGTAGACGCTCTCTAGGTTTCTAGTTAAAGTTCCTTCTTTGCCTCCACTAGAATTAAAATTCTAGCATGAGATTTTATCAAAACAAATGTCTCTTTTTTCTGAGGGATGCGTCTGGAACAAAGATGCAGAACAGAGAATTCTGACATGGTGCCGACCCAAATTGACAGAGACGGGGACAAAGTGGACTGTTCAGAGGCTTACACGTCTCCAACCAGACACAGGTATTCTCTACTCTATTTCAAGAACAGTCTAGATATTGATCCTTCTTAACTAAGTACATGATTGGTATTGATCTATTACATCATGTTGTGTAAATGTAAGATGTTTTACTTCTAACCTTACGTAGTTCCTAAAATCAAAAAAAGAGTTTATGGGGTAATTTTATTGCAAAATCAATCGTCAAAACAAGTAATTTCCTTTGTCAGAATACAACTATCTGATCTGCACAGCAATACATTTTCAGATTGATAATGTCTGAGTAAAATAAGTAATACACCAAGAGACCACCTCTGTCAATGAAAGCCAACATAGTTGTTTGAGAAATGTGTTCCTGATTTCAAGCAACAGATGAAGTGAAAGCCATACAACTACAAAACTCTCACAAGCCATAACCATCTGAAACAATAATCCTCTCTCCTGTTGAAAACACACTCCTCTGCAAGAGTCCTGTGCCTCTGTTGTCGGCGTGTCAGTCGCACACTTTGTGGCTTGTGTTGCTGTGAGGCAGTGAAAAATGTGTAGGCTTTGTGTAAAGAGAAACTACACGGAGGAGGAGGAGACAGACATTTTGCCTGTCAGCGACTGAAAAGAGGAGCATCAGGCCAACAACTGTGGCTGTGAACAGACACTTAAGTGCTTCCTAATCAAAGCCAGAGAGAGGAAGTCCTGCTGTCAGACATTCAAAAAGGGACAAAGAGTGGAAGCACACTGAAGGCACGGCTCATGCTGATTATTGATTGTTACTAAAACTGAGAGCTTTACCCACCTGGACGACACAGACTCTCAGTGGGAGAACCACACTGAAACCTCCTCTGACTGAAGGAGGGACACCAGGCAACAGAAGAGCAGAGAGCAGGAAGGGAAGTTCCCTTTTCCTGCTTCTCTCGACCCTATCTCATCGTCAGGCTGGCCGGCTCAGCCATGGCGTTCACCTTTGCGGCCTTCTGCTACATGCTCACCTTGGTGCTGTGCGCTGCTCTCATCTTCTTTGTCATCTGGCAGGTGAGTGGCACAACTGCATTTACACACACACTGTACATACATACACATATACATAAACACACAAACTGAAACTAAAATGGATCACATGTAGGTCCTGCAAATATTCATCCCACACAGGCAGACAAACACATCCACCTACACACAGTTGTACAACACTAACAGGAACACTGCAAACACACACACCTCACTCAGGTGCTGTGGAGGTAATGACATGCGGAAATATGTCAGCTGGATCTTCAAGAAACCCCCAGCATGATTGCACTTTTAAATGACTGGCATTTTGAATTGCCTCTTAAAAGCTAGAAAATGACACTTTAATTTGAAAGAGCTGGCTGCAGAGACAAAATAAGAAAAAGATTAATGTGAAGGGTGGATAAAATAGACCGTGGAGTTGCAGGAGATGGATGCATTACATTGCTGAAAAATGGGGGGAAATAATCATCAGTGATGGAACAGTGTTTCCTCGACGCCTCTAATCTTATTTTCTTTATGAACATATTTATATATAAGAGTTTATCATAAACACACAGTGCATGTATGTACCTCCACACATGCTCATCTTAAATTCTTGGTTGGTTTAGCTAAGTGGTTAAATTGTCAATAGAGGTTACTGAAGTGGCAGCCCCAGGTTGAATTCATGCCCTTTACCCCCTGCTGCGTGACATTCCCATTGACTGTATAAAAATATGTATGACGCATCTCCATCTCTGCTGGCTGTGCAAAATGAAGCCATAACTACCGTCTGAAGGGGATGCTGGTAACTCAGGATGGGGACACTGTTGGAGTTGAACATGTAAAGCTTTGAATTATGATATTTGAAACAAAACCTCATCATAACATCATGATAACAACTAACTATGATGATAAAAATATGTAAAAAAAAATCTTTTTGAGGTGTACTTTAATTTTCAAGTTTAACCCATGTCCCACCTGTTAACATGAACATGGGGAGGGGGGATGTTATGACCTATACTGCAGCCAGAGGGAGCTCTTTCCTGTTTCCGAGTCAGTAAAGGCATGAAAATTCCCACAAAACTCTTGACCAAAAATCCCTTGTTAAACAAGTGAATTTTAAATCTGTATGTGCATATGCAAATTCCCAGACAAAACAAACTGTGTCTGCTCTCTGCTCAGCTGCAGGGTTTGCACTGTGACTTAACAGGAGCTCCACTGGACACAGCTGCTGGTTTCCCTCTGTGACTGAGCGGGGGTTTTGTTTGCATACCTTTATTTTTAAACCTGTCATAAACTTGGAAACACATGAACACTCTCTCGACACCAGAGACATATTTGCGAGTTACTGTAATTAAGTTTGCTGTTTAAACAGGATGACATACCTGGAAGATGTTAAGGATGTATCTCAAGTGTCAGAGTGAGATTTCCTCGAAAATTCAACACACAGTGTAGACACAGATCAATTCCATTGCTTTTAAACATATAAAAATCTAAATCTAAATCTAAATAAAAAAAATCCAGTAATTTAAGGATTTATAACCATGTCATATTTTGTAAAGGTTTTAAAATATTTGATATGTTTTTTAAATTAGTTCATATAAGTGAAAGATTCTAAAAGTTGTGTTGTAAATTTAGACATAGTTGAAAGCTATAAATAGATATACATAAAAATTCAACCAAGATGAGTAAATTCTTATTTAACTTGTTGGTATGCATGCTAAGAATTGGACTCGAGTTGTTACATTATTGATGTATATACACACGATTAAACAAAAAGGTAGCAAAAGCATTGAACACATAAAACTGACTATAAATGTGAATCTATAAATATTTTTAAAGGGAGGTCATTTGATTTGAATTAATTTATATTCAGTGGCTTTAGGTGACCTTCCTTCATGCTGGGTTTTTATAATTAAATGCTGCTAATCTGACACCTGCAAAACAACCATAAAGACTTCTATTTACTGTCTCCATCCCTTTATATTAAAGCAGCGTATAATCCCACAGGTCAGACAATAAACACCTCTTCAAACAAGGTGTTCAGGCTCCAACAAACAGCACAAAATGAGAACAGGGAGGCCGCTAAACACTTCACAGCACAAATGCCACCACCACCAGCACCAGCAGCCTATACTGTTCCTGTCGGCATTTTGAAAGAAATCTGCACAAATGTTGTCCGACGCTGACACACTCCGACTGCTTTCACAGTTGTTGAGTGAACAAACACTTTGCTTTGATTTTTCACCTTTGACTTTTGCGCCATGGAGGCAGGAAACAATGTGCATTTCCAAACATATCATCATGGATATAAGCCTTAAAATGACTAACATACAAATTGACTAAGTGGGTGAGACTACATATGAGTCAGGCACTGTGTCTGTGTGCGAGAGAGACGATGGTGAGAAGCGTGTGTGTGTGTGTGTGTGTGTGTGTGTGTGTGTGTGTGTGTGTGTGTGTGTGTGTGTGTGTGTGTGTGTGTGTGTGTGTCTGGCTTGGCGCTCAACCATGTGATTGAAGCGCTTATCAAACTGATTCGGCTCACCCCTACCCCCCCAGTCTGCCTCCACCCACGGCCACAGCACCCCGATTCTATACGGGCCCTCCACCAATCAGAGCGCTTTTTCACTGCTCTAGTAACCATGGAGCCCACTGAGGGTCTCACCGTGTCACCATGGAAACTGCATCTGTTTACAACAGAGCTAAGTGTGAAAGAAGAGGATAGAGCACTGAGCCTTGTACGGAGGGATGACCACCAGGAGTGCTTCTGTTTCAGACAGATAGACGTGATCTATCAGATGCTTACTTATCTACACATAATGTCTTGATTTTATTGTTTCTCAATGAGCCGTCAAAATGAGGCTTCGCTCATAATGAACTCAGCAGGTGGCATTTTTAACAAGATTCATCTTTTTTAATTAGGCGATTAATCAGGATTCTGGTGAAGAAAATGAAGAAAAAAAGTTGACTCTGAGGGAGCAGTTAGAAAGCAGTTAAATGTTTATATTCATATTTATTCATATATCAATATATTTATACTGTACATTTATATTTTTTTGTTACATTTCTTTATCTACACAAAAACTTAATTGATCTAATTGATCTGAATTCTCTTAAATGTAACACTAAAAACACAAGCATGTCAATGCTAACTTGACTCTTGACTTTCATCAGTTGTTTTAATCCCATGAAGCTGTAAGCAAATATTAACTTATTGTAATGAAAGGTATCTTTGTCTGGAGATATTGTAGCATATCAAGCTTTAAAAAAGACATGTTTAATTTTAGAGTGTATACAATGAGCCCCCTGGATGCTCAGAGACTACATATTGACACATGGTTAGGACATAGTGGGGGCTCATTTACAGTGCAAAGTGAAAGAGCAAAGCTGCAAGTAATTATAGATGGACTCATTCGCCATTTAATCACCATGTGTACTTGGGCAAAGTGAACAATGTGGCTGCAGCTGTACAAGATGTAGCCAGTCTGCACTACAGTCAATGGTTTAGCGATAGCATCCCAGTGCTATGTTGCCATATAGCAGCCAGTAACGTTTTTTTCAGAGTTGGAAAGACACCAGCGACGTCTTTATTTGATCAACTGTATATGCAATACTCCTACAGTGTGTATATTTGTGGTCCAAAGATATCTCAATGAAAACAAACTAACATGTCTGCTCTTTTTCAGATCATAGCTTTTGATGAGCTCCGCACAGACTTCAAAAACCCCATTGATCAGAGCAATCCCACCAGAGCGGTAAGAACCCTGCTGTTTCATTTCTTTCAAGAATGATCAAACCCCCAGAAATCTCTTCGTTTCATTGCCAAGAGGAACCCCCCGATCAACACAAAAAGACTGAGAGCAAGTTGAGGATTTCTCAACAAAAGTGTTACATATGTTCCTGTTAGAAGTCATTATAAAAGCACAAATAACCCGAATAACTGCATCAACACTCTTTTATGAGAACCCCCATTAATCTGTCATTCAACGCCTGTTTTCATCCCAGAGAAGGAAACATAATTACAAGTAAATTGAGGTTTTGTGAAATTGGAACGACATCTTTTAAATGATTTATTCCGCTACAATCATGCTCTGCATTAATTTACCAACATGAAAATACAATATTTGTGTGACACTAAAAAGAAATCGAATCCAAGCTTCCAGGTGATTCTAACAGCAGTGTTTTTCTTGAACGCTCATTTGTATGCAGATTGAAGCAATCAACCTTCCACAGACACAGCAGCTTGTCGGCTTAATCAATTAAAGAGACTGATGCAGATGAAGCCGCTGTTTTTATAATGAGATACTGTGACACAGCCAAAGTGCAGACACAAGGTATCACCTGTCTGTTACATGAAACAAGCTAATTCCCTTGAGTGGCAGTGGAAAAATAAACGTACAAAATCTTTCAAAAAAAAAACAAAACAGAAGTATGTTTTCAACAGTAAGACTGTTTTCTTCCCCTCTTGAAGTATTCCATATGTGGGTTACAGCAAGTATACTTCTTTAACTGTCATATAACAGTTAATTATGAGTCAGTAATGAGTGCCATTATTCGTTTAGCAGGATAACAGCAGCTGTGAATGTCTTTTTCACGAGTTAGCTAATGTTCTAGCAGTCATGTGAACCTGCATCTGAACTGCAAAGTGATGAGGAGTGGGAGAGGAAACTGTGAAAGCCATCTGTGGGAGTGTGGAGAAACGCCAGCCACGGAGGGGTGGATACAATAACTGCAACACCTGTACAATATAAAGCAACTGAATACAGCGGCTCTGCAATTAACACAATCAACACAATGTGAATATTCGATTGGATTTTTCCTCTCAGACAAAGATAGAGAGCTGTTTTCTCTGGCTAAGTATTAACACATATCGAGCATTACAAGCCTTGTGGCAGTGGGGTTTGTACCGAGGCTGCTGTGTTAGATCACATCATAGTTTACAGGTGTTGTACAATCAACCTAAACTTGTTATCTTAGCTGTTGTCGACTTGTCACATGTGTTCAAAAAGAACATGATCAGCCAGGATGTTAGACTGCCAGGATCTTCCAAAATCAATAAACTGCACAAACAGACATGGCAACAACAGCCGCAGAAAAGTACACAGCAATTATTTCTGATGTTAGCAGAGAGCCGCTCTATCTCAGTCAGCTGCTGTCATCGAAAAAAAAAGAGACAAAAGCAGCAAATATTTGTGAGTGAGAGAGAGATACAGCAGAATGTAAAGGAGACCGAATGAGTGTTTCCAAATAGAGCCATTTATGACAGTCACAGTGTGAAAGGGAGCTGCACCGTTATCGGCTGAAGACAAAAAAGGGCTAAAAAAGTGCCCTGTTCAAAATCACATAAAAGATGGTGCCATCTTTGTACTAGCATCTCAAGGTTTATATTATCTATACCTTTAAAAATGTTGTTTAAGTGATGCTCCTGACATTACAGTCACCCCAACTGCTAATAAAATGAAATGGCTAGCAGAGTGCTGTTTCATTTTGCTTTTATGTGCTTTCATTTAAAGCAGAAAACGGGGTTTGTTGAAGATACTGATTGGCTATTGAAGATGAAAACTTTAAAATACAAACATCCTGCCAGCACATGCAGGTCGAGGATACAGTGTGAAGAAACAGGGATATTTTGTGATATCTAGCTGTCAGATTATGGATTGAAATGTACCTTTCTTCACAGCCCTCCTGTCAGGGAAATCTCAGAAACGATGGTGACCTTTAAAGACAAGAAGCTCCTGAGATGCATGATAAATATGATCCTCCATTTGTCAAGTCTTGACCATCAGAAACCCACTCCTATGTAGATATTAAAAGCTCATTCTACACTGTATTGAAAACAAAACTATATATGAGTGAATAAATAATAATCTGAAAGCATACACAGGAAAAATATAGTTCTGCCAAGTCAGTTTTTCTAAATGCTAAAATGTTGATGAGACTACTTGGGGCTCTAATTGGCTTTTTCACTGATTCCTGTGAGATTTGACCGCAACCAATATGAGATTTACTCAAATCGTGTCATCACCAGGCAGTGAATCTCCTCAAAATACAAAGTTGTCATTTTGTGAGAAGAAACACAACTTTGTTGCATGGCAACAGTGAAGGATGCTTCCAGAAGTCTGGGCTCTGGAATGCTGGGGGTGCTTTTAAGGAAAAGTGGCTTAAATGGAGCATCTCAGACAGAGGCTGAAATTAGGGTTTTATAAGGACAGCAGCAAGAGTAATGTTCAGAATCGACTGAGAAGCTAGCAGAGGGACAATATGAAGCCAAAAAATAAGCACAACACCATCCAAATACAATGCAGCCCATGATTGCTGATCAGCTTGTTGGTTCTGTGTAACAAAGGGTTGGACATAAATAATGAACAAGGAATCAAATTTGACACTAAATCAGTGTCCAGAGCAGGACATCTGTTTAAACGTTTAAATGTTATCAGGATGTAGAATATTACAAATACCTACAATGCAACTTTATTCTCATTCTTGGGGCACATATGATAAAGATATTAAAATACCTAATCTGAATACAGATGTACTGACATGTAAAGGGCTGCAGGAAAATGTTAAAAATATGTTATTTGAGTCTTTTAACCAAACAAAAAAAGTCTCACTTGAACTTGACAACAATTGTTTGTTGATCTTCTCCATGTTCGGTAAACCGTAAATCGTCTCTTCCGCCTCTGATTAATGTTCTCAGTTCTGCTTCCCTGATTGGAACAATTAAATATTCAGAGTGAACGGCTGACCTAACACTAATTAGTGCTGCCCAGGAAAGCTCAATGCTGTAAAATCCAAACAGCTTTACTGCAGGACAGCAATTTATCTGTACAATTACAAACCAGTGTACAGTAGCCTAACAGGAGGGTCTGTTGTTGTGCTCGCCACAATTTAGAGTGAAGTATTTTGGAGGCATGAGGCACACAGAGCAAGCAAAAAAAAAAAAAAGAATATTACACAGCCAAAACAAACAACTGTAAATAAACAGTGAGGCTGGAGGGAGTGTCTGATCTGGGGTCTGGATGCTGTAGATTCAGAGCAAAATCCAATTTCAGTTCACTGGGGGAGTTTGATTTTATGTCCACTGATTCATAAAAGATGCAGCCTGTGGCTCCAGCTGGGAGACAGGAGCCGTAGAGGGGCCTTACAGCTGGACGCCATTGAGGTTTAAATAAGACAGATGCTTCTATATATTGCAAATATGTGTCTTTCCATTTTGGCGTCAGTGAAAACAGAGGAAAGAACGACCGACATGGGTTTATATTTTGGTATAAAGCAGATCCTTCTGGTGCTTTTGACCTTGAGTCACATTATGGAAACCGATCAATCTTGGTTGATTAACTATAGCTAATCTTCTCATTTGCTTTGATAGCTTTTCAAACATTAGAGGTCATTGCCTGCTAGTTTGCTAGTTTTTATCATTATTGGCAGAATGATGAGTATGAATACCCATATGCTGCATGAATTGCTTGAAGGGCTACCTAAGATCCATAGACAGACGTACCCCTTCTTATTAATAGGTCTTCTTTCATATCACAAGAGCACATCCAGATCTTTTGAAATACCACTTAAAATAAGGTTTGAAAAGCCTGTTTTCTCTTAACTTTTACATTCATTTTAATGAAGAGCCATGTTCAGTGAAATCCGTAACTCATTAATCAGTCTGTTTTTCTATCCTCTCCACAGAGGGAAAGGATTCTCAACATTGAAAGAATCTGCAACCTGCTTCGCAGAGTGAGTAATAGCTGTTTTTTTTTCACCTGTTGGGTGCTGGTGGGTGACTAAAACACAGGGGCTTCAGACATGCATAACCAGTTTTTCCCCTCTTACCCTATGTGGACCATGACACACTCTGATTCATTTCACATGCAGTTCATCCCACCAACTCTTCATCACTGCTCTGCAGACACTCAGTAACAGGCAGCTTTTTTTATGAGCAGAGTAATGTTTTCCTTTTTACTGGAAGGCTCAGAGAGAGAGAACTTGATGTCCCTGAAATGTGATGTGCTGTAGAGGCCATTTTGAATACGTCTGTGACAGAAAGTGTTTAAAAGCACATTCTACCGAAGACAACTTGAATAAGCTCAGATTGTTAACTCAATATACTATTAAGATGCAAAAGCAGATCTTATTTGTCAGCAATGTTGGCATGCTGACTGTTCTCAAAAGGCCCACATTCATAAAGAGTGACTTGTGAATACACAATATGAGTAAAAATGTGTTCCACATTGGTGCAAAGGTACCGTTGTAAATGATCGAAGTTAGTCAGATACAGAAGTTAGTCAGATAGTCAGCTTGTTTCTAACGGGGATTAATAATCAAAGATCGTGATTGCTTCCTACACAAACTGATTCTGACAAAGGGTAAACAACTTTCAGATCTGTCTGATATTAGTGAGTGAATAGGAGACATCAGTGAGTGAACAAATGTTAAGTAGCATTATGTTTTTTTTATATTCATTTAAAAACTCTGAATGTAGCACACAAGTCACCTTCTGCTTATGGCTATATTATCTCTGGTCGTGCAGTTTTTCAAATATTAAGAGAAACAGGTTTTGTGTCTTTAAATAGGAAATCCTCTATAGCCAAAAACAGGCACACAAGACCACGATCACGACCTGGGTCATGGGAAATAAGCCAGAAAACCACTTTTAAAGAGTGAACGGCCCTTTACACCAGATTAGTGTATTTTTTTTTTGTGTAAGGCTTGTCAGCCAACATGGTTATTAGGTGAGACAGCTGTAATGTGAACATGAACCATTACTAAACTCTGTGTCAAGTCCGAACCCTAACCCTGTCTTACCCTTGTTTCTTAGTCATAGCTAAGCCTTCACACCAACTTTTGATCAACCACACACCGTAGCAGTTGGGTCAAGAATTTCATTTTTTTTCGTTGAATCCAGATTGAACTGAGGTTGGATACCTTCAACACGTTTAATAGCTTGTAGCCACATATGCATCCAGTGTATTGGTGTAAACGATGACCCTGTTAATCTGCAACTTTTAACTGAATGTAATAATAATAATAATAATGCATCAGATTTCATATAGCGCTTTATCAGAGACCCTCAAAGTGCTTTACATTGGATACATCATTCATTCGCTCACACAGTCACACTTTGGTGGTGGTGGAAACGTGGCTGCCATTCTGCGCCTACGGCCTATCCGACCACCACCACACAACACTCACAATCATACACCAGTGGAGGACACACACAATGTGTCTCTTGCAAAGACATAACTGATTGTTTTTTGTTTTTTGACATTGTAAAAATAATCAAACTAACAGCTAATGTAGTTACAACAATAACTGATACAGTTGCCAGTCAACAGGGCCACTCATTAGACTGAATCCCTTTTAAAATAGTTCTGATCTGTCTGAAATGTGTACAAGGCCAGGGTTTGGCTGGAATGTTGAGTCTGAGAATGGTTCATGTGTCAAGGTCAACCACATATTTTGATGCTTTTAATATTTTTCGTTCAGTGTTTAAAGTTTTCTAACATGTCTGGATGAATGATGCAAAACTGTGTGTGCATGTTTTTGATGAGGAAGGCTGCACGCTGACCTATCACACAGCTTTCTTTTTAATTGATCAGAATTGGTCAGTTCTCCCTTGAGGCCGTCTGTTAATTCTCGACAGCACACCATTGCTATGGATACAGCTGTAATCACAGACACCAGGGGACCAACTGAACTCAAATCAATCCACCAAAAGACAGAGAGAGGGCAGGAGAGGTTAAAGACACAAAAAACTGTAGGCTACAACAGAGAACTCCAAAAGACTGAACACTGCAAATGAATGAAACACTCAGCAGAACACGGTGCAGTATCTACAGCAGGGTTGGACTGGTATATGGACAGAAAATGCCACAGAGAAACATCATGAGGCAGAAAACTCAATCAAAAAAACTGACTAATGTGGACATGTGGCAGGTTAACTTCCACTTACCTGTTACTCATTGCTCCATTTATGTGCTAATATGCCCTTTGAACTGGAAACAGACTTCTTCCAATTTTATCCCTATTTTTTAACCAAAATACTGCTAAACTGCTCTGTCCTTGGAGACACCATCTGTCATCTGTACTTGCTTACCCACTGATACAGGAGGATAAAAACATTGTGGCAGTCAGCAGCTGGAGCTACAGCTCTCGCTTGGTACAGCTCAGACACAACATGTGACCTGCATTTCAGACAACGTTAAATTAATTAGTCGCCCACATCCCTTTTAATAACGCCTCAGTTAGCTCATTTTGATAGGCTGTAGAGTTAACTAGTTAAACTTGGTTTGACCATGCAAGTCAAAGCAAGTTTAACTAGTTTGAATTAGGCAAACATACTTTAAGTCAATTAAATTATGGCCTGTCAATATTTGGTTCAAATGATTGATTTACTGAGAAAGTGTATAAGCAGGATAAAGTACTATGAGGGAAAAACTTGTGGTAGAATTTATAGATGGTTATGCTGATGGTTCATACCAAGTATGGATACTTGTCAGGTTAGGTGTTGGTCGCCAAGACAGTCAGACTGAGTATTCCCAGAAGTGTTAATGTCACGTTGACTCCACAACAATGTGAGATATTATGTTCCTGGCTGATTTCCCGGGCATCCTGTTGACCAGGCAAGAAAAGAGACTCACACTTTGTAATACACACATATTATACTCACAAACACATTCACCAGAATAAAAAGTGAGGAAGAGGGGAGTTTGGGAACTCCTCCGAAGATTCTGGTCTGGACTCTGTTCGTCAGATGTACTGATTGCTAAGTCCATACAATGAAGCAGCCGGCTGCTCTTCATATCTCGTTCTCTCTCCTACGCCTTGATATGCTGCTTTATTCATTTTCCACGACACACTTCAGTTGTCTTCAGCTCTGCAGGGCTTTTAAGTATCTCTCTGCTCGTTGTTTTGATTTTCAGTCCAGCAGATTTTCTGTTGCTGTGAAGTCACGGCACATTCGCAGGGTTTTTCAGGCTACAGAAGGCAACTGTTTGTTTCAATCAAAAACTACCATTACACTGTTCTTTGACTGTGTCAGCACCAAACAGTCAAGGTTAGCGACTAGCTTTTGAAAGCTGTGAAGCATTTAGCAGCTAAAGAGACAGATTTTTCACAAGTTTGTGTAGACCAAGGTCAGAGTTAAAAGGAGTTGTAATATTATGTTAAGATTCATCAAGTTGCTGGATGGCAGAAAGCCAGTGTTTCTCTTTATCAGCTAAGTGAGCAAACACGCATCTAATAGTTTCCCCACTGAACCAAAATGTGGAGGGAGGTTACGGTTGAGTCTACAGCTTGTTGATTCAAGTGTCTGGAGGCATACTAGCAACTTGAACTGGTTTTGTCAGCCTTCATTAACTTCTACCTACGTCTTAAACCAGTCTACATACGGCTGCAAAATGGATGCAAAATCAAATAACCCAATCATGACGTGCATGTACATGCACCAAGTTTTGTTCAGATTAGAAGCATTTGGACATGTGCAGAGTTGTCTAATTTTGCTAAAACAACCTCAGAAGAAGAGTTTACGTTTGTGCTGTCAACAAACCAACAAACACGGTAGTGACTCACTCCATCCACTTCAGGAGCCCCAAACTTTTAACCTGACTTCACATGTCTGTTCTTTGTAGTTGGTGGTTCCAGAGTACTCCATCCACGGTCTCTTCTGCCTGATGTTCATGTGTGCCGGAGAGTGGGTCACTCTCGGTCTAAATATCCCACTTCTCTTCTACCATCTGTGGAGGTAAAGGCCCATAACAGATGTCTGTCCCGAGCTTATATTGCCACCATAAAGGTAACCAACGATTTGTTGATGTTTTTCTAGGTTCTTTCATCGGCCAGCTGATGGGTCAGAGGTCATGTACGATCCTGTCAGTGTGATGAACGCAGATATTCTCAATTACTGCCAGAAGGAGTCGTGGTGTAAACTGGGCTTTTACCTACTTTCTTTCTTCTATTATCTCTACAGGTGGGTAAAAATCAGAAACTTGACAACATTGTTGTCTTTAAGGTTCCAGCGATGCCTTTCAGAGTTTTATGATGTCGTATTAACTTGTCAAAGTTACAGAAAGCAGTGCAAATAACTTTTTTTCACCCTTTTTTATCTGTTGCCACGATCTATTTTCCTGCTACAGTATGGTCTACGCTTTGGTGAGCTTCTAACAAACAGGAGATCTGGAGAAATCAAAGGAAGACACTCTAAGAAAGACTCAATAGAACAAACGGAGGTCTTGACTCACACTCTCTCCAATCCGTCACTGGCTTGGCTTTTTAAAGTCTAACTTCAAACAAGACAAAAAGACCAAACTGAGTGATAATGTGAATGTAAAGGTGTTGCCTCTGCTTGATTATACCACTTGATACTGCTGTTGGGCGGCTGGACACAGTTTGGACAGACTAAAATGAAACAAAAAAGGACGTTGCAGCAGGTGTTTGTGTTGCCTTTGACCCATTATACTAAATAACAATATATCTCCGAAGGGCTGGAGTTTTTCCGTGCTGCTCTTACTGATCCAGTCCCTCAACTCACTGTGAATCTCCAAACACTTTGGGGCTGGAAACAAAATAATACGTCTGTATTCTCTGACTTTGAAAATGTTACTGAAAGCAGGATTGTTTTCTGTTTAAGTTGATGGACATTTCTGAAATAAGACCTCTGCTTTGATTGTGTTACAAGCACTGAAGCTGTAACAAACAAATACCTTTGAATTACTGTAAGAAATGCACAGGGTCTGGCAGAGAAATAAAGAGGAGGATACAAAGGGTTTGATCGACGCTGTAGTCAAATACAACATCTCCTCGATGCCAGCCTCTGCCAATTTTAAATCTCACACTTTCAGAAAATAAGGTATTACTCACAAGTTGGTTTTTGAGGTTCCTAGCTTGTATAGTGCATTCATAATAACTATGTCCATACGGTCTGAACATATATTAAACTACATGGAAAGTTCATGCTTCTCAAAGAGCCTCATGCTCTTTGCCAAAAGTTTGTCACTGAAAAGATTTGTGCCAAATTTGACGTCTATTAAAACAAGATTAAAGACAAATAATCAGGCTGGAGAAGCTAAGGCACTGTCAGGACTTTTTTCTGTAACTCACTTTCAATTTTGGCGCATCTGGTTTTTTTTCCAGAAAGTAGATTAAAAAGTAGTTCAGCTGTATGTTTCAGCGTGCAGGGACCGCCTTATTCATGTTTCAAGTGAAGTTTACTCTTACTCATCTGCATCTATACTGTAGTCATTTTAGCAAAGCAACTTTCTCTGATCTGACCTAGAGTATAGAAATCTCATGTACAAAAAGCAATCAAAAACAAGCGAACTAGCAATGTAACATAATTCATGAGAGATATCGATGGAGTGACATTCAGTGTATGTGATAACAGGGCATAGGCGACAAGGGGCAGATGAGACAATAATTACTCTAAGGTACTGTTTCATGTATTTGAGAGTGTAAAGACATGAAGTCATCTTAATGCATCAAAAATCCTACAGTTGAGGAGAGACAGATGTAAGCGAGCGACATCCTTTCTCAGCTTGTGCTGCCTTTGTTATCATATGTTCATTAGCTGGATCTGTATGTAGGGAAGTGACAGCTCAAATGTGTGATTTTAACAAAGCCTGAGAACAAACTGTGATGTTTGCGAAGAAACGTCTGATATATTAACAGTGGGACTCATCTGGAAGAAGAAACTGGAACACTACAGGCTGCCGAAGTGGTTTCTTAACATGAGAAATGGTCACATCTTATCCATATTTGGGTCACTAACCTGCAAGAACCGCTGGTATTCAGGCTTTGATGTGATTCTGAAAAGACTTTTAAGCAGAGACAGGATCAGATTTAAAGTGTTAACACACTTCAAACCGAAACACATAACTTTGCATACACATAATTAAAATGTAATGCCAAAGGGTGATGCTTGCTCTGTCTTCTAAAGTTCCCAGTAAAAGATGACCCGCATTTCTTAGTGTTTATGTTAAAACTTATGTCCCCTTATCACAAGTTTTTAATATACATCTATAAATGTTGGAAAGGACACATCATCCAAGGTTTCATGGGGTCATCTTCATATCAGATTCCCTTTCTGTAGAGACCCAGCCAGGGCTGAGTCAACCTCAGATCACCTGGCTGGATTCACTACCGTTCTATTTCGTTGGCATCAGAGGTCTTGGCCCAGCATTGTGCAGTACTGTGATCCTAGGAGCTTGAGGACCAGGAAACACGTGACCAGTGAAGTATATGGTACTCACACTGGGCTCTCCACTGCCAATTCTGACAGTCACCCACCAGCTCTCATCCTCTCAAAGGCTTCCTCCAACTGTTCTTCACAGAGTACAGTTTGCTCCTACAGGACTCACACACATTGCACATTGTTTCTGTCGTAAGATCCATGTTTAGTCTCAGAGTGGTGAGCTCACCAGTCCTCTAGAAAAATAAGCTGTTCCTTAAGGTTGACTTTCAGCTGCTTAACCAAGAGTCCTCTTGCTGTACTTGGATGTGGCAGCAGCATCTTTCCTGCTTTGTAAAAGGCGATGGACTGCCTTGCTTTTCCTTGCTGCCAGCGATGAATGATCTGAGTGCTAATGACATCCACTTCGGTCTTCAGCACCTGGTTGTTTGTGTCAGTGATGAAAGCACTCTTCTCCCCGAGCTGTTACATGATTTCACTGAGGTTGAGCGTGGAGGGGGCTGTGGTGGGTTCTTTGTGACTGGCTCCTGATCTTCCTCCAGATTTCTGCAGGTTGTGCTGAGGTACAGTTCTGTCATTTTGAAGTGAAAACCAGTTGGTCCCTTTGCTTTTGCCCAAAGATCCCAGTGAATTTAGATGAATTTGACATAAAAACTTAAACAAAGTTGCAGTGAGCCTTTTCCTTGCTAACCTTTAAGCTCTGCAAGTCCAACCTGCTTCTCCTCCATTGTGTGCTTGTACTACTGTCCATGAGGTTGAAACTCCTGTCATAGTTGACTAATCTCTACCTGCCATTTGATAGGCTCCCCTGAACCTTTTGTTGGTTGTTGCTTCTTGGTGTTAAACCAAAGAGAAACAAACTGGTGATTATTGTGTACATCGCCCGTCTGGTCTACCTGCCCTTAACCTTTAGTCACAAGGGTTTGATTTACATCCTTATCAAACTTGAGCTACTTTCTCTCTTTGTTGGCAAAAGGCCGCTTAGGGGCCTTTTACACCCAGGGCTCTATTTTCGTGCCTCACCGGCAAGGCGACGCATGAGCCGCATTAGTCAGGTCCGCCGTGCCAACAAGGCGTTCCCAAGCACAATTTGGTATTTTGGTGAGTGGCGCAGCCCGGCGTAAGTATCCCCCCTCCCTAACTCAGCTCCTTCCAGCAGCGTAAGTCGTAGGGAGGGAGGAGAAAAGGTGTGGAGTGGGTTTAACACAGCAATTTAATTTAATGCGGTTTCAGCTGTGTTGATTCGGTCAGGTTGTGTGTCCAAACGCGTGCCAAACACGCTCATCAGATAAGATATAGATCAGAATATATCGATATAGATCTAAATGTACGTATGTGCTGACTCAGATGATTATTTATTGCACTGAAATGTGCCTGACACTGTGGAAACCTGCCGGTGAGGCATCAGTGACGTATGTCGATACGCCACCAGTCTACCAAAATGCCACTAGACCAGCTGCACTCCACCTGCGCTGAAAACTGACCAGGTTTGAATCGGCGAGCTTTCAGCGCACTTTACACGCCGGTGGTGAGCACGAAAATGTCGCTGCGCCCGCTGATTCTGTCGACACCTCCCCCTGCCACACCACCACGTCCAGCTTGGCGGATCTCGTGCGCCTCAGTCCACGAAAATACCAAACTGGCTGTACGCCGGGCTCCGCCAGACAAAAATACAACTGCGCGGGGTCACCCTCCGCCGCGTCCCCGGCATACACGAAAATAGAGCCCCCAAAGTCTGCTTAGAAGGTCCGGATCAGGGACCAAATGTTTAGATTGTTGTATTTTGCATTTGGTCTGGTGGGACTTTTGCTTAGCGAAACAAGTGGTGAAAAAAGAGGGAAAATTACGAGGGGAAATCGCTGTCTGTCACCTGCTTATTTGGGGCACAATCTTCATTGTCCCACAATACACAGAAAGTAGCCGACCAGAGAGAACAATAGGTGTCCTGCTTCACGCAATTCACCAAAGGTGGCAGAGACGTGCAAGGAGACACCGGGCAAAGTCTGGTGTTTTGACCGTCGGTATTGTGTTATTAGTTTATACTGACATATAAAAAGTCCAGCTGCATCGGCGCTGCTTTCACACCTGCCGTGGACCAGAACATGGTTTGTTTGGGAGGGGGCAGAGTCCTGCATTATTCAGAGGTCCATGGTCCATTTGTTTGATCTGAACCACGGTCCACTTGCGCGTTCATACCAAAAGAGTGAGGGAACCATGGTCCTTTCAGAAGGAATCAAACAGTCCAGGTGTGAATGGGCCCTTAGCCTGGTGCTGTTCTGGCATGTATATTCTGGGGTGACAATGAACCTTGTTAGTCCTGCACTTCACCTGCACATTGAAACACATGCTACTCCGTAATTCTGTTGAATCTCAAGGGCATGGTGGTTTTTCAAGACTATACCCTATAGGCAGACATTAGTCTCAGTCATTTGTTCAGCAGCTTGAGTCACTGGGGATATATCCAACTTGTTAGGGTGCTCCCCCTTTCCCCTTTGGGTACCCCTGGGGGTTCAACACAGAAGGGATTTCTAAAGCTTTTTTGTTGGTTCTCCATAATGGGAGCTGTGGACATATTTTAGTTGTGCTCCTGGTTGCCCCTGGTTGCCCCTGGCCTAGCCTGAAGGAACTGCCAGCTCAGAAAAGTCACCAGATATTTTCCCTAGAGCACACTGAGTCCTCTGGGTTGCTCAATATCAAATGCTCTCCCCATAGCTTAGCTGAGGTTATTCAGACCCCAGCTCCAAATGAAGAAAAATACTACTAATACTAACTCTGTGTGTAAATCCACGATAAGAGTTCAGAAAGTTTTTGCAGCTTTCTGTGGACATGTAAAATATCAGATAGATCTGTCTTGAAATAAATGCATCGATTAACAAAATGGAACCTATACACATACAAAATTCCTGATGTAAAATTTTGAACGTTTTTTTTTCTATCAGATCTTACCAGTGTGTCACCAACAGCTCTATTGCGGAGAGTTTGTAAGTTAAAAAAGCATTTTGGCCTGACTGCTTTCAGTATCAGCATCTTGAACCATTTCCATATGTAACAGAACCTCCATGATGGCGACAGAAATGAAAAGCAGCCAATTTAAAAAACACCCAACCACACACAGACAGCTCTTGTGCCAATCAAAGTCTGTTTCGTGTCACTATGGTACTATGAGTGTTTTATAGGGAGAATTTCAAACTGCTTGTTTGATTTAAACTGAAACATTTACTTGACTGAAAAGACTTTGATAGTCTGTCAGTGTTCATGAGGACTCAGTGGACAGAGCACGTCGTACCAAATGTTGTTACCATTAAAATAATCGCAGGATGCTGAGACCTCAAAACTCTGCCAACAGTGTGAGCCTGTCGAGTCTGGACAATCACTATTATAAAGCACAGGAACAGGAGGAAGAGAGGAGGAGAAATACAGCTCATTTGAATGTCATTATGTAGTGGCTCTGAACAAAGCATTTTAGAAAACTGTATTGAAGTATATCTATTTGTATCTGTCTTTTATACATTTATCATCAATGTACGCTACAGTAAATTTGGTGGATTACTTTATATTTAATAGGTTACTCTATGATGTACATTTAATAAGCAGCAATTCTCATGCCGTATTCTAATAAAACAGTAATACCAAAAAGATCATGTCCAAGTTTCTTATTTCTTTTATGTTTGGGGTTAGATGTAACCCGTCTGTGAGGACTTCTGCACATGGATGCTCTGCAGACTTAGGAGATGTTATGAAGGGAAAAAAAACATTTCTAAGCAAGGACACCAAGTGGTGCATTAGACGGCGCACAGAAGTATAAGAGCCGCATTGAAAGCAGCTGCACCTAGAAGTGGTTTCAGAGACATTCACACGAGCCTCTTTAAAAGAACCAAAATAACTGAGTTCCCTGAAAATGCCTCACTGATGTGAAAAGAGCCCCTACTGGAGAGGCAGCAAAGGGAGGATGATAGTCTTTCATTAATGTCTGCACCTCCAGAATACTAATACATGAAATTATAGAGTGCTCGATGCATAATACAACTAACACAGCAAGAGATCAGTAATGAAAATGTCACTGCAGCTGGAATATACAGACATCCCTATGTCTGGTTACTTTTGTTTTGTTTCTTATATCTTGGGGGGGAAATGCTGAGTATATCTCTGAGGTAGCTCAAGGCTTCATTTGAAGGTTCTGTAAGGTTTGCCAGGTTATCACTTGTCAAAATAATGATTCAGACAGAAAACAGAGCAACAACCAGGCATCAAGCTGGCATTTTCCCTCTGTTTGAAAAGGACATATCACTCCCTGCTGTCACCATGGAAACTAAATTGTATTAGAAATTCCTGTTGACTCACTCTGAGGCTCTCACTCAAAGCTGGAAAAATAGAAATCAAGGTAGTTTTCTTCGCAATATATCATGCAAACTCAAATATGCTTCAAAGTATCATGAATCTTTTGATAAGGACCAAACCTCAGTTCCTCTGTGTTTGACACCTGCGTTTTCCTGCAAGCTCACACAGAGACACCCTCACCTTAACACAAAACCACACACACACACATACTCTTGCTACACATGCATCTGTTTCTCGCTCTGTCTCATCCCACGGTTCACACCGTTCACACTCATCATCGCGGGCTCTTCCTCTTCCAGCACCCTCCACCACCATAATTGTCTCACTCCCCCCACCCCCCTCCCACGTCTGTGCTCCCTGGGAGCTGTTACCATAGGAACTGGCTACAACTGATGGGTCTGAAACGTCACGATTGGCATGCACAATTGGCAAGTGCATGCACGCGCAAACACACACACACAGTATGCAAAAGACACAAATGTAAGTACACACAAAAACACACATTTTTCTCATTCATTATTATGCAAGGCACTCCTGGATGTTGCACATTATTACTGTTATGAGAATATGCAGACATAGGAAGACCATAGGCTACCATATATAATGTTAATATACTGTGAGGATTTATACCCACAATGCAACAATGATTGGACAAACTGTAGAGACTTAGAGGTAAAGGCACAACAACTCAGGCAGGGAAAGGATAATAGTTCTCATTTGCTTCATTGTCTGCATCTGCAAATTCCTGCTTAGCACAGAATGTAATGTAAACCACTGACTAAACAAATTGCTTAATTGCAGTATTTCATACTGAATAAGAAAAACGCAATATAAACTAAAAGAAAAGATCAAAAATTTTCTGTACAAAAGTTTTATCACTCGAGTCATATATCTACTGATCTCTAATAATGACAATGCGTAGATGAAACATTTTCTTGTTCACTCTAGATGACTTATGATGATCGTATCATGATTTTATTCTCTACATCGCATTGTGAGTTATCATCTTTAAAGTGTTGACCTGTGTTTATCTATATTCAAGTTAATGATTCTGTTTCATAGACATAAAAAAACTCTCTGATGAAGTTTAAATCTAAACTCTGATCTTATAAAGAGGCATTTTTTCCGTTGACTGGTAGTGATATGCAGTGTTGAATCTGATACTTGACAGGACCTACAGTATTCTCATGTGCATTCAGTACGCAAAAACATTTAGACATAAAATTCCTTGAGACAACTATTCTCCAGCAGTTACAAACATGTCACTTGCGCTGCAGCGTCTCCTTCTCTTGTGCCCCCTGTTACCTTTAAAAGGGTTTTTTTTTCTATTTGGAAAATTCCCATTTGTCATTACAAATAAAGATGCTGTGTTGCTTTTTTTTCCTCCTGGGAGTGGAGGGGAGCAGATGTGGTGTCTTCACAGAGCTTGTTAGTGTCCAAGAATGTGTCAAACCTGTTCACACTTATGCTTTTTTATTTGGACCGTGGGTCGTCTCTCCAGACAGAGACTTCGTGGTGACTCATTGTGACAGTTGCTGTCTCAATTTAAAAATTGTGCATTGCTTTTTACTAAGTCTGAGCTCTGATACAACAATGACATTTACTAAAGAGCTGCTCATTTTCATTTAAATAAATAAATCATTTTCTGATTTGTTCGTACAACACAAATTATCAAAGTACTCACAAAACCAAAGTAGACAATCAAACCTTCAAAATCTGTTTCACTGAAAAACAAACCCAAACGATGCGTCATTCAAAGAGTTGCTTCTCCAGCTTGTCCAGGATATGAGCTGGTCACGTTATTCATCAGGTTTAAGGTTTAACTCAAGCCAGTTGTAATGGCCCTTTAAAAATATGACAGTTTTGAAATTTTAAGCTCAAACCACAGCTTATATTTTATGAATGAGGCCTGGGGCTTTTTATCTGCTATCCTCTCTTTGTGCTCAGTAATGATCACGACAGGGTCTAATTTTAACCCAGACTGCTGAAATATTGATCATAACCAAGGTTAAATCTCAAATGATTGTTGTCACTTTTTAAGAGTAGAAAAGGTCACAGAAACTTTTCTCAGTAAAAGCATGAACTAAATACTGATGAATGGCAGATATTAATAAATAAGTTCTTCCTGTTGGTTGTAAAATGTGTTCGTCTATTTCCTCAGCCTCTCCTTAAGTAAGTGATGAAGAACAACAGCTCTGCTCTGTGTGTTTGGAGTTATCCTGGAAACGTACTCAGACCCTCGACTGAAACATACCGGCGCAAGAGAGTGCAGTGAAATGACGTTAGTTTTATGGGCGATCAGAGTAAATGCATGCTACAGGGGAGACCAGGGATGGTTGTAACAATTTCAGCTTCAGCACCCATAACTCACTGAATTTTTGAGCTCAAGTTTTCATATTTGTATACAAACTGCCCACATTTGTTTTACTGCTACAGACAGTAATTCAATCCTCTCTAAGAATACAGAGTTGATGTCAAGGATAGGCCATTCCTGTGTTACACTTGCGGTTGTAATATATTCTGGGATGAAGTGTAACAAATGATTCGAAACAGACTACACCATGTAATATGTTTCTAAAAGAGGTTTACCAAAATAAAGGAACAATTCAGAATAATGCTGTGAGACACCAAAACCTAAATGAACTCCGTCTTTGACTCTGACATGTGTGTGAATGTGTTTAAGTGCATAAACTAGTCTACATGAAAACTTGATTTACAATTTCTATCCAAAATAAGAACAACATGGAATTATTCCAGTAAGTTTACAGCTGTACAAGTAAGAAACGTTTGGTAATAATACTGAATTGAATCTCAGACCAGTTTTATGTAAACAAAGAGGTACGACCCAGGAACAGTATTAATAAGTTGTGTGTTACCACCAGACAGAGTGCAGTACAAACTGCTTGAGTAGTTAGTAGGTTGGGCATCAGTAGTAGTCAAATAAACTTTGATAGGCCTACGTTACAGTTCTTATCGTTACACAGTGCCTACAAATGTATTAAAGCATAATTTAGTATATTATCTTTGTCATTTCCTCAGATGCTTTTTCCAAACAGTAGCAGGCACACCTTTGTCAGTCTTTCTTTTATAACATCTTCAACTATACTTAAAGATAAATCTTTTAGTAGTTAATTACATAGTAGAGTAAAAGGTACAAAAGTTTTTTTTAATCTAAAATGTAGTGCAAGATAATTTTCAGGCAAGATTAAAGCTCCTGTGAAGAATTATTGTCTTGATTTTGGCGCCCCCTGTGGACAAAATTGTGACCCTTTTATTGTTGTTGATATCATCTGCCCCTTGAAAGTGGGGATTATTGACAAAAAAAAGTACCTTTTGAAAGTGAAACGTATCACTCACTGTCAATATTTGCTGTGAACAAAGTAATATTGGCTGTCTATTCCTACCCCCTCAAAGCAGCCGCAGGCATTAAAATGGTAGAATAGAAACTGTCAGTGTTGTTGATGGTCTCAATAGCTCTACCTCATTGAGACACATCATTATTCATGTCAGTCACTTTCATAACCAATCAAAAACTCCTCACAGGAGCTTCAGTGAAAATACACAAGTATACTCAAGAATATAAAAAACTACGCTTTAAAAATATTGAACAATGTACCAGGGTCAGTAAATGAAATACTGGCATGATTTATCCTTGTTAACGTTGACATGGTTACATTAAGATGTCGAAAAAAAATCAAGTTAAGTTTTAAAGCCAACACCAGCATGACATACCCATATCATGAACCAAGGCACAGAGGAGAGGACACAACAGCATGACACTAAATCAGTTTGTCCAAAAGACAAGGGTTTAATGAAAAACAGGCAAAGGTCAGTACACAAAAGGTAGTCAGGTCAGGCAGAGGTCTCCAAAAACACGAGGCAAAAGGCAAGGTCCAAAATAAGACAGGCAAAGGTTACACAGGGCTTGACAGTTACTACGAATAATGCTGGAACGTGACTGAGAAGTGCAATGAAGTGGTGACAAGACAGTGAGACACATGAGGTTAAATACAAGAGGTAATGAGGGTGATGGGAAATAGGTGGGGAGACACAATTAGGCAGCAGGTGTGACAAGACAGGGGCAGGGCAGACCAGACAGGAACAAAACTAAAAGATAGAAACTATAAAAAGGATAAACTTAACCAACATAAATATACTGAAAAATAAAAGGAAACTTGAACGACATGCCAACCCGTAAGTATCATATATAATCTTCTATTTTCTAAACAGATGTACACACTTTTTGCATAAGATTCACATAAATAAGCTGTGATATAAACTCAGTACAAATACAGCAAACATGTTGAGTACCATGTCATTATACAAGCCCATTCTTAATTAGCACTCAGCACTAGAAAAACAACACAAAATAGCTTGAGTGGTGTGTGGGTGAGGCCAGAGGCTGCTGCAGTGAAAGTGGGCTTAAAGGTGAAAAATGAAGGTATGCATCAGCAGAGTGCTCTGCTCTATAGATCTCACTATTAATGTATTTTAAGGAGTAAATGAAGAGTGGTTCATCTTTAAAAGTGCAGTTTAATGCAGATAATGTTTTGACTGACTGCAATTCCTGTTAATACAAAATGAATATAAATCAGACTGAAAAAAAAAAATTCTATATTTTTAACACACCAACATGCAAGATAAACTACTTAGTGAACACCTTTCAAAAAATCCTTTTCTTACGTTGACGCATCAGTCTGGTAATAATACACCCACCTGTCACCTCCACAGTGAATCAACCTGCTCTAAAGCAAGGCCTCCAGGAGAAACTCGGCTCTCAGTCTGGTTCAGGACTATTTTTTCTGCAGCCTTTAGCTACATTTATTCGCACTTATACCTCTCCTTTCTTCACAGTAATTTAGAGCAGTGTTGATTCAAAGCTTAAGCCTGACAGACGTTAAAGGAGCCCAGAGGTTTGGTGAGCCTCGGCTACTAAGGCAGGTGTGCTGGAAAGAAAATCCACTTAAACAGGATGATGATAACAGGTTGGAAAAGGTTATTAAAAACTGACACAGCTATTAGCTGCAATCTTCACAGGCTGTGAAGATCGCAGCTAAAAGCTATTAGCTTCTCCATTCAGCTGTCCCCAGCATACTGACGAAGGTGAAGATTGAAAGATTTTATAAAGGAAAGTTTTTCCTCTGCTCTTAAACTAACAACATTATAAATCCCTATTATTAGTGTCACATTGTTTTATTCTCCGCAATCCTCAGAAGTTATTTAAAAAAAGTCAACACATGAAATTAATCAAGTTTAGTATGTTGTCATGTCATATATTTATTTCAAAGTCACAGATAACACAACACAACATGACAAATGAAAATTGTAAAAAAACTAACAAAATGTTAAAATCTTTTAAGTAAGAAGGCACTTTTTTTTTTACATGGAAACCTTCTTAAATTATTTCCAGTGAGATAGTTTCTCTTAAAAAAGACTCCTTTATCTAAAACTGATTTTTTTTTTCCTGCTGTGTGAGCATATACTCTGGAAAATAAGTAATACAGACAAACTTTTTCTTCATCAGATTCCCCTGAAATTTAAAAGCCAAATTACTACAAATTAAAAATAATGAATCGCTGTGTTTAGTTTTATCAAGTGAAAACTTACAAATGAAGCCTAATTAAAGCTGTCCGTCTAAAAAAAAGCATTGTTCAAGTTATTGCTCAGCTTGTTGTACTGATGTGGTAGTTTTGGTCCCATCCGGCTCCTCTGCTTGTGGCTCAGTATATATAAGGGAAGATCCTGTAGGGCACACGTCTGCAGTAGGTGTCCCACGCCAGTCCATATTTGGCTCTGCATTGTCGCTCATCTCTGTCCTCTCGATGAATCAACAAGATGGTGAAGTATATGACGTAGAAGTACGGCAGAATATGTGAGAAACCTAAAGAAAAAACATGAACAGACATTCAGCAGGAGATTAAAGGTATGAATAACCAAATAAATACAACAAAATGTCAAAGAACACTATGAAGCATGTGTGACTCACGAATATGAAATTCAAATGATCATCGAAGCAAAGAAAACCAACACCTTTCTTTCACGACTGACATCAATGCTCATGATGTGAATGACATCAAAACACGTCTCAGCGGTGCGGTCTGTATTTCTCAAAGACTCTTGGGTGAATACCAGCTCAGTGAAGCTAATAATGTTCCCAGAGTTGATTCAAGTCAAGTTTTTGGGACTGAAACTTGGATTGTCTCTGAGAAAAATACCTTTTTTGTTCCACTCATTGTTCCTTCACTCAGGGTCTTGATGTAACTGTTGTTCCACTTTGTCAGAGCAGCTTTCATCAGTCCTGAACACGTCTGCGTGTTTTTTTTCTTTTTGAGTGCATAATTTAGCAGTTTGTGACATTTGCAGCAGCAATTATGGAGAAAACTACAGTACATCTCAATTACAAAGGCAGCGAGAAACTGAAAGTTAGAATTCAAATGAGCAGAATGTGTCAGTGCGAACCAAAGTCTGACAGTCCCCACTATAGGAAGCGAGCTTTGAAAGAAACATAAGGCAGCTTACAGAGAACAAATAATGGACTGTTGCTGCCTTTTGTTGCTTTAAACACAGTATAAAAATCTGATTAGAAAGCAGGAGAGGAAAGAACGGCTGAAGCTAGATATCAGACTTCAATCTTTTTACATCATCAACAGAAAAGTCTTGATAGTAAGTTAGCACTCAATGTACCGTCATTTTAGACCGACAAAAAATAATCGACAAACTGAAAATAATATTTTATTGCAAATTTGTCTTTTTCACAGTTTTTGGAAGCTTATCAGCATTTAGCTGTGTGGTTTTGTTTTGTTTTGTTGTTCTAAGGTTATAATGTTAGCTTTTGGTTTAAGGCAGATTTTTCAGAAACAAACAAACAATAAATAAATAAATAAATAACAAAAAGTTACCAGGTGGCCCAAAACATGAAAATATACACATAAATACACTAACCTACTCCTCTATCTTGATTCATGGGTTGCCAAAGGGACATATCAATGCTAGATTAGGACCGCACAGATAATATGAATAAACAAACAAACAAATATATTTAACACTATTAAAAGTATTTTAACTACACTAAAAGCTTTGACTAAATTTTGATAACGTTTTTTAAACTAAATGGCCGAGTTTCACGAGTAGGAATTTTTAAAGGGATTTTAGAGAAGGAATTTCATGCTGTTATTAAAACTAAAGGACCTGAACTCTGTCACAATGTACATTTTATCGCACACAAGTAGACACGCACGCACGTACAAACACACACCTGCCTCTTCTCCCTACTCTCCTCTCTCCACCTGCAGCTTTATGATAGTTTGTACACAACATGTTGAAGATACAGCGGCCCATAATTTCTCACACTCCCAAACTCAAATCTCAGCCCATGATGATGAAGTTAAAGTGAGGACTGTCTAAGGGGAGGGGTAATGCACATGCAAGCACAGCAGGTGAAACAATCCTGTTCAGTCTTGATTATCATATTTTTATGACCGTAATCGTGATTGAAATTGAAACCTGACTAATCATCTTACTCTGTGCTAGGTAGCAACTTCATAATGTCTACTCTGCTTTAAGATCCGCCTCACCTGAAAAATAAACACCATGCTGTATTGAAGAAAGCGTAAGATCATTTACTTATGAGCTTAACTTGAACAGCGGTATTTTTGCAGATCAGTTATATGAAAATTTGATAAAATTTGCTGTAACCTCCTGCTGACCATCAGGATGAAAACAGGTTTACACTCTTTTCTCACTTTTTTTATTTAGATCTTAAGGCTTCATAAACTTAGTTTATTAGTATTAATTAGCCAAATCACTACATTCATTAGGAAAACTAAATAAGAAATTGCTATATTATTGCAAATTTACCATGAATTTAAATCAGCTTGTCATTGAGCTGACCCTGCTTATGGCTTTGATCTGATCCTCCACCTGGTTTCTTAATTAAGGGGTCCAGCTGATCCTGTGTGGGTAATACACTAATCATCCCTTTGACCAGTGCCTTTATTGTCATGGCCTGTTCATGTTAGACCTCCTAGAATCACATGCCTTTCTGCACCATGCCTTTGACAGGACATTTCTGATGAGGGAGTTTTCTTGTATTTAAATGTATAAAGGTATTCTGATATTCACAGGGGGGAGTATATGCATGTGTTTTAGTAGTTTTGTAGTCTATTTGAGTTCCAGTGAGCATGAAATAGTGAAAAGACAGAAACTGTGTCATTAAAAAATCCAACATATCTTTTTCTCTCAGGTTAGATATGGCTGGATGTAATTAAAATATCTCTTATCTATGGCCTCATCATCTCTCTCTCTAATGAAGATTCTCTGCGTTACAAACTGTATCTGTGAGGGCTGCATGCAAAACAAGCTGTGCTGTGTCTGTAAAGCTGTCTCACCGCACGGCAGAGACCAGGCCAGGGCCATGAGGAGGTCACCGAGGTAATTAGGATGACGAACTAGACCCCACCAGCCGGACACCAGCAGACGTTTCCCTGTTGCTGTGGCGATGGTCTCCAGTCCTGCGAGGAGTAAGGAGAAATGAGACATCTCAGAGGAAAATATAACACTTATTCAGAGGACATGCACACCACACTCTTCCTGCTACATACATGCATCATTAATTAAGAGATGAAAAAAAGATGTGAAAGATTATAGGTGAGATTATCATGATTAGGTTAACATATTGGCAGGGAATACTGACTTGCAACACTCGGATGTGTAGGATCTCGTCTAAACTGGTTCTTTTGTGAGTTGGATTTCCTGAAAATATAATATCCGATACCTGACGGAAAAGAGAAACCTGTTAACATCTCCTCCATCTTAAACTATGACATTCAGCATATAACAGCTTAAGAGACATTTACCATTCAGTGCTATTATAACTGCTGCTCCAAGTGAACTCAGGGTCTGTGGGTGCACCACAAGGAAGGCAGCCTGCAGGCCATATGTAAAGGGAACCCAGGCCAGGTCCCCGAAGACCAGCATAAAGCCGAAACCATCATGAACTATGTCCATGGTTGTCAGAATTGCCTCCTGTTTTGACACAGTCACAGCAGATTGAGGTATAGTCAAGTAAAACAGACACAAATACAGAGATGCATGGTGGGAAGTCTCCCCGCACCTCGTTCCAGAGAGCGTCTGCCACGTACAGCAGCTGGAAACTGTTGACAAGTATCATGGCGAGTGAGGGGGACCCTCGGAGCTCCACCTCTTTCATCAGCATGCCGAGGTTTATGACCACCTGAGAGGAAAACAATCAAGGAGGGGAAAACAATCAAGGAGAGGTGAACGCTGTAAAGAAACCATCAAGAGGAGATTAACGATAAATGGTCAAATTAACAGAAACAAATAAATATTTAACAAAAAAGCCATGAACACACTGGCTTTACAAGTACATTTTTAAATAAAACAGCTGATAATAAAAATAATAATCATTTTTACTTATAACGTGCTTTTACAAGTGCTCAAAGACTCTTCACAAATATCATACAGAACAATTGGGAGTAATACACCAACAATGTAAATGGTTAAAAAGACAAAACATAGAAAGAGAATAAAAGAACAGTTTACAGGTTAAAAGCCAGTTTTAAAAGGTGTGTTTTTAGGAGTGATTTGAATGTAATAAAGGTCTGTACAGTCTCTGATGGCAAATTTGGTTCTGTTCATAGTTTCTGCCTGCTATGAGGTTTTATATCTTGCTGCAGTTGAGAGTGCTGGGCTGGATTATTTTTCTTTATAAAAGACTACCAAAACCCTTGAATTGTCTGTCTCATGATTTCTGGATGGATAACACAGAACGATTCAGAAACTTCACATTATAAAAGAGGCCTGTAGCTCTGTTTGTGCCTCTGAATCCCATCATCTTCATTCATCCAGTAAAAAAGGTATAAACCGTAAACAATCACTGCATGAGATGGTTTTTGATACACAAATGTGAGACGTTAAAAGTTACAAGTAAGTTGTTTTAAAATTCGACAGGAAGCAGAAATCTCCCACACACTGTCTGTAGTCAGTTGGTGGGAGCTTTTTCTGTCCTCTCCTACGCACCTAGCTTGAAAACAATCAGATGAGCAAAGGTTTGACTGTTTTTACTGTGCATGGAGATCAAAAACTACAAACAAACGGCTCTTTAAATCAACATTTGCAGCATAACCAGATCATTTTCTGTTCTTTGTGTGTTTGTCTTTAAGATGACAAGAATCTTGTGATCATTTTGGAAACTTCACTAAATCTGGTCTCATCATTTTTTATGTTTTCTCACTGGGCCTGAGGGCTTGGACACAGTTTATGATGCACATCTTTATCCTCTGTTAGATGTCTCAGCGGGTCAGCTCATCAGGGGGGAGCTCATCATTCTGTGTCAGGGTAAAGTCATGGGAGGGCAACATCGCCCCCTGTTGGTCCTTTAACAGTTAGCCATCTGTGGTAAATCATGATGAGTGCTGACTTTTAATTAATTAGACTATTTCGTCATTAACTCCTTCAGTTTGACTTTTGATTTAACCATTGTTTTGCTATAGTGTTTTACTTACAATTCAAGTAGAATGTTTCATACTTTTTTTGCAGGTATAAATAGAAAATTTTAGTTTTGATTTGTCAGATTATTTAATTGTTAATGTAAACCAGGAGAAAACGCAACTCCTCCACCAGTTTTTACTTGAGCAGCTCTTGACAATTTCACATGGTGTACATATGTTTGTGAATGCAGAACATAAACCATTTCACACTATGTTTCTGTCAATATCTTTCAATCATGGCTCAGTGTAAGAGTGGATTAGCTGTCAGTTTTGCAGGTAAACTCACCCAGCCGATCAGTCCTGGTCTGAGCTCACAGAAAAACTTGAGGTCAAAGTCTCCGATCCGAGGGTTGAGCTCGCGTCCAATGAAGAAGTCGTACAGAGGATTTCCTAGACACAAGGAGGAATCAATGCATTGAATAGCACACTTTCAGGTGACCTTGGTTCATATAGGGGTCAGTTGATAAACAACTAGCTGTAGCACAAACCTGTTACTAAAAAAAGTTAGCTAGTAAAGTGGGAATGAAAACAGAATGCAATGCTTTAGAAAATAATGAAACCCAAAGTTTACTGGAAAGCAACCTGAAGGAAAAGTTTTGAAGGCTGAAAAAGAAAGTTTTCTGTTTTTTGACACTTACATGGTCATACTGAATTTGTTGATGGCAACGCATTTCAGTTCAGTTGGGACAGTTAAACAAAAGACTGTAAAAGCTGTGAAATTTGGTGGAATATCTCACGATTAACTTGGTTAACTGGCAAAAGTTAGTGTGATTTGGTATAAAGAGAGGCAGATTCTGTCTGAAGAAAAGATGGGGAGGTGTTCATCAATCTGTGAAGACTGTGAAAGACAAATACTGAGATCGTTTTAAAGACAACTGAAAAAAGACTGAGGTTTTCATGGTTGACAGTGCATAATATCATACTAAGATTCAGATCTTGAAAAATCTGTGTGAAAAAGGAACAAGGCAAATGTAGACCTAATGTAGATCTGCATTAGAAACAGACATGGCTCTGGAGTAGAAATCACTGCATGGGTTCAAAATTGTTTCAAAAAGTTGTTATCCATGCTCGCATCTTGTCACTGTTTTCACAAATGCAAGTTGAAATTGCACTATATATGTAGGAAACCATACATCAGCAAGACTGCAACACTCTGTCACCATTTCTGGCCCCATATGTGATGAAGATGGACTGAGGCAAAGAGGAAAACTGTTCTGCGGACAAGTCTAGATTTAAAATCCCGATCTGGCATCCTGCAAGCTCAAGAAGAGAAAGACCTCCTGGCTTCTCATCAGTGCAGAGTTCAAAAGCCAGCATCTGTGATGGTAGGGGGATGTGGGTGTGCATTAAAGCACAAAGAATGTGTAACCTGCACATTTGGCACAGTTCATGCTAAATGTTATATGCAGCCAGGTACAAATACACAACATGTTGTCAACAAAGGACCTGCTTGCCAAATTGCAGCCTGCATGTGTTACAACAGCACAGCTTAGCAGTAAGGCGGTGCAGATGCTAAACTGGCCAAACTGAAGTCCCAGCTGGTCACCTACTGGAAACATTTGTGCATTATGAAATGTAAAATACTACAACAAAGACTTTTCACAGTTGAGCGGCAGAAATATTACATTAAATGAGAATGAGAACATTCTGCTGTGAAAATTACAGCATTTAGACTTTGGAGAGTGTTGCTAAAAAAAGAAGTGACAAACAGAGTGCTTTCTGGCACCAAGTTCAAAGTGGGCATTTGATTTGCAAAAGTGGTTTAATTTCTCAGTTTCTACCTCTCAAATGTTGTGTTTGTGCTTTTGGAGATTAAATGTGGGTTTTATGACATTTTCAAATCATCACATTTCATTAACATCAAAATCTCACACTGTGAAAACAAGTTTGTGTATTTTATGTGTAAAACTCTGTCTCTGAGCTTTATTCAATCTGTCATCCAAACACATGATAACTGACAGCAAAATTATAGCAAAGTTGTATTTGGAAAGGTGCAGCTCCCATTGAAACTAATAATATTTGACAACCATCAATCTCAGTCCCATCTGTCTTTTTTGAATATTAAAGTCTGCATCATTAGAAGCTCGATGGTCATTTTTAACGTTCAGTCCTTAACATCAGTCTTAAGAGATTCCACCTTTCCATCTTAACTTTGTGATTGTTTTTTCAGTATTTTTTACACTTCCCTGAATGTCTTGCACAACATTTTCTCGCTTCTCAGAAACAGAATTAGAAAAGTTTATTTATCCCAGGGGGTTTTGCTTGCTCTTGGTTGTTTCTACATGGATGAAGAAGAGGAACCATGATGGTCGACTGAGAGTCTATAATGTTGGGAAGGAAACTATTGAGGGCAGCCTGAAGCTTCCTGTTTACTTTTTTAAAAACTAAACTAAAATAGTGTGTGGCCATGCTTGTGGCTCTTAGCACATACATGATACATACTTTTATATACTTCAATCAATATGATCAACAAATTACTAAATAAACACCTGAATACAGTCCGATAAATGATAAAAATGTCCTCTTGAAGTTAATCAGTTTCCAAAAACAACTAATGTATGAAACAAACTAACTTAATAAATATATTTGTTAGATTTTAAGAACATTTTGATTTTTTTGGTTTTCAGTCGAAAGTGAAATAAACATTTCAGCAAAAAAAAAATTGAATTTTCTGGCCATAATTTGTGGTGTCAGGCTTTAAAGAGCTAAGGTTTAAAAAAAGCTTTGCAGGAACTTTAACATGTCGCTAAAGCCTCTGTAAATCATACATGAATGTGGAGATAAACCACCACACCTAAAGGGACCCATTTTGTATATGTGCCGAAAAAATACTGCACTCTGGTCAAACTGGCTTGAATATAATTGTCAGTGAGCGTAGCTGAATCACAATACTCGATGCTTTCTAGTTTCTGTCTTTTGGATGCAGTAGGACACAGCTTGCCTGTGTAGCAAGGTCAGACTGCTTGAAAGTGAGTGTTCAGCTGCTGCCTGATGCCTGTAGGCTCCTGAAGAGCTGGGCTGTTACATAATTACCCAGAGGAAAACCAAAACCCTCCACCAAGCCGTAAAAAGGCTTTAAAATGCACAGTACAGCATCGATAACAGTTCTTGAACAGTATTTTACAGTGAGATTCTCTTTTTACGGTGATCTTTTGTTCTCACCTGTGTTGCCCCCTAAAGCGAGAGCGTGAGAGTGAGCCCAAAAGGAGCGGATGTAGAGGTAGATGGAGAACAGGAATGATAATGCCACTGAGCTCATCGCCAGAGGCAACAGCAACTCAAACAGATACCCCAGAGGAGCCCCGAGCCCCAGAAACAACAGCAGCAACACACCGCTGATGCACAGGCTATGAAAACCTGAGGGAGACACACAAACACAGGTGGGCTAAGTCCTGCAGCCCGCAGACAGGTAAAAGTTGTCAGATGTAAAACTTCAATTGTGTAACTTGAGTCAACTTTTACATGAGGTTAGTGGGTCAGTGTGTATAGATTTTAACTTTAAAATAAAAAGCCAGAGTAGAACTTCACCTCAGTGAGAAGGAACAAAAAGCCAAAGTCAAACTCAAATACAGACAGAGGGCAGCTTTCTTAAGCCTCTCTAAAGTACAGTAACATAGAAAATAATGCTTCAGTGCAAAGTATCCTTCAATACTCATGGTTGAAAAAACTAAAAAAAAAAGCTGTTAAACTACACATGGTCACAAAATCACACCTCAAATTTGAAGATGCATGTCATTTAAAGAAGCATATTTAGTGATAAAATAAAAAAGAAGGGAAACATACCGTTTATGGGATATTTCAGACGTGTTCCATCCCTCAGCACTAGTCCTTCAGACACCTGCAGACAAAGACACCTGTTTCTAATCTGAACAGTGTGTTGGCATGCTTATAATTATTTCTGGTTCAGACATAATTTTATCTCGTGGTGAGGATAGGGTTTTTTGATCAGCTGGTAAATGGCTGTAAAAAGAAGAATTTATATTGTTATGCTGTTATGAGATCATATTTTCATGCCATGATTATTGTGGCCAAAAAAAAATCCTGATATCAATTTTATTTCAGTATTTATCCTGTATATGAGATAAATATATGTAGAGTCCCTCGCTTTAATCTGTCATCTCCTCCAACATGATCTACACTGCAGCATCAACCACACACTGCAGTAAAGGCTGATGTAAGTGTGTTAAACTTCAGAGAAGGGATCACGCCTCAAGGCGACTGTTTTTGATGCTTTATTCTGACACTTTTGCTGCCTTGCATTTTGGTGACTTAATTTCATGTATTGTAAAAAAACATGCTTTTATTTTGAAATGACGTGCTCAATATTTCCAGTTGGCTGTAAGTTAAAAACAGAGAAAAGAACAGTAAGACAGTATAAAATGTAATGTATGGGCACCCTTGAAGATGCATATGTTTATTTTTCAATCCATGATAAAGTTTAGTACACAAGTTTAAATCTGTCTTGTTAGACTCTTCATGTTGTCACTGCTGCTTCTTCATCTTCCCTCCATTTCAGGGTGGATGGAAACCTCGACTGCCCCCTACTATGTACCAATCAATTATGTTTGCCCATACTAAGACCTAACTCTCCATCATGTAACCTTTACCATTGCTAACATCATTAAAACCTCCAATATGCCCCTTAAATGCCTGGCATGGGCGTCTTTTTGCATCTTTTCAGTTATTGATGTTAAACTTATGGCCTCTGAATCCAACATACCTTTCCTATTGGCATCAGATAGAGGAGGGCATGCAGAGTGATCCAACCCAGCAGAATCACAGCAGCCAGAGGGTCCCATAGCTGGTCAGTGGAGGGCAGGGGAGGGGGCCACTGGAGGACACTGGCTTCAGGGGATCGACTCACAGAGATCAGGAACAGCACCGTCAGGGGAAGAAAGATGGGGATGCATATGGCACCTGAGAGGTGACAGCAAATAGAAATCAGATGACATACCGGGCGTCCCTGAATAATCTGACGTATATTACTGAGCTGAAATGAAATTATAAAAGTGAAGCAGCATCACACTGAATCATAAATTTGGTTAAATAACTGGGTAGCAGTAAAACAATTAGATTAGCTGTCAAACTGGTGGTTCACTTGAGTACTGTCTGATCTGTGGTCTGCTGAGAGCCGAGCTGTCAGCTTCAAAACATAATTTTACTTTTAAAATAAATGGTGGGCAAATTGGCTGTGATGCGCAACTTAAAGGAGACAGCGGGGGATGGAGAAGTACAAAGAAACCCACACACCAACACACGCACATACACACACACAAACACACACACACACACACACACACACACACACACACACACAAACACACACACACGCTGTGATGTATTTTTCTCTCTTATATCAATATAAAATCTAACTCAGTGTTTGTGAAGATTTTCAATTAGAGCCGTTCTGTTGATAGCGAGCAGACTGTGAAGCTGCTGATCTGAGCAGCAGAGTTCGGTTATCTCATTAATTTCTATCCTGTAAGTGGTTTTATGATCTGAAGAGGCAACTTAGTGTAATACTTTAATTGGTATTTTAATGGAACAACAAACATGATCATGTTTGCATGTCACATTCAGTAAATAAGCTGAAAAGCTCCTTACTATGTTGGCTGTTAATGTTGCTATCTCTCTCTTTCTTTAATACAATTAATACAATTAATTCATTAATAATAAACACGTGCAGCTCTCAAAAATGATACTTGAGATTCATCAAACTACATAGGCGACAAGGGCAAACAGGCCACAGTGGTCACAGGGAAACACACTGATTATAGTTTTAAACACTCAGTACTGAAATTGGCTTGAGTTATCATTATTAATATCCTTATTAGCTTTATCTATTTATAAGTTTATAGGCTGTTGGTAAGAAAGCTAAAAGCCTGACTTCACTCTGCCTGTTTGCTTGTTGCTTCATCAACCAAGAGTCGAGTCAGAATCAGCAACCTTCTTTAACAATCTTCAAAACTCTGCTTGAGAAACCAGTGGAGGACATCATAGAGACAACATCCATGTTTTATACAGTCTATGGATGTGCCTCATCATGTGTACATATTTAACAATTAATTAAAAGGATGATTTCCCCAGGTGGTGTGCTTGAGAGAACAATTTAACACCTATTTGATGATACTGATTTGCTGCTGAGTAATTTTAGCTTGCCACATTATGCTTTGCTAGTCTAATCATTGCCTCATCATTGGTCCCTGTGGTGCAGCTTGCTGACCCACAGTTCGCTAATAACTTTTTTCCTCTGTTTTAACATTGTTTGGAATTTATCTCTATGAGAAAGACGACTGACAGACTAGGGTTAGGAGCCTAATGGAACCAAACATACAATAAATAAAAAAGTATATATATATATATATATATATAGATGCAGCGACTGAAAAGTGCTGCAAATAGGGACTGCTGTTTGGGCAGCAGTAGCTCAGGAGGTAGAGCAGTTGTCCAATGACTACAAAGTTTGCAGTTCGATTCCCCCCTATCCCAAGTCGGCCCATTGTGTCCACGGCCAAGACACTTATCCTAACTTGCTCCCAGTGTGTGTCCTCGATTGGTGGTGGTTGGAGAGGCTGTAGCCATGTCTCTATCAGCCTGCCCCAGGGCAGCTGTGACTACTAAGGCATTTTACCACCACCAGGGTGTGACTGTGTGAGTGAATGAATGATGTATCCAATGTAAAGCACTTTGAGGGTCTGATAAAGCACTATAAAATCTGATGCATTAATCAAAACTCCAAACTAATGCACTTTGAGCAAAAGACTTACAGGTATTTCCAGAAAAAGATCTCCAGTAAAACTCTGCCTATCCTGTTAAGTTACAGGGAAGTTTCCAGGCTTTCAGGGAAATTTGCCTCCAGTCTAAAGTCTGCTATTAGTCTCTCTACAGGAAATCACTGACCGATGGAATGGAAGTTTGCACATAAGACAGGAGTGCAATAAAATGGGTAAAGCTATTCTTTTATCTAAATGCAGCACATGTGGTGGTAAATGTAGGGTTCATTGTCCGGTAAATATCAATATTTTGAATACACTAAGAAGTGACTGCACTGTGTCAGCTGTGACTTACCCAGGGTTCCTCCAAATTCTCTCTCTGTGTCATGTGAAGACTTGTGTTTTAGTGTTTGACTGTTGGGCTTCATTGTTGGTCGTCTGTGAAATTAGAAAAACAAACAAGATATGGATCAGTGTAAATAAAAACCTTTTCCTAAAGAAATACATGAATTATCAGGCCATTATTAAGTACACAGCATTCTCATCCATTTTCATCCATTTTTGATAATTAGTTTCATTTAAGAACTACACTAATCCACGGTGTAATCTGCGGTCTAACTAAAAGTAATTAACCCCTGACTATTTAATAACACTCAGGGTTCATATTTAAACATGACATTAATTTGTCTCGGTGTTACCTCTGACCTCAGAACAGGATGAGGTTCACAGAAAATTAAGGTAAAGCTACATTAGCTGTCAGCACATTTACTTTAACTCTAACCTGTGAGCAACTTTTAAAGACATTTCTAATTTATGACACATTTGTAATTCACACAGCAACTCCACAGAACAAAGTACTGTATATGATCAACATTACATGTCTAATATTGTGCATCATCAGTTAAAGGCTCTGCAAATTATTCTATTATCGCTGATATGACCTCCTCCACCATAAAACTGCTCAAACAGTAATAAATAAATGTTAAAGAGAATTTATTATGTCTAAAATGTAACAGGCTATTGCAAGAATACCACCCCAAGGTAAATCTGTACCATTAAAGTTAGATTTGATAAGATGAAATGACTTATTTCTGAACAGATTGTGATCGCTGTATGGTCCGTCTCTTTCAATGACATATACTTCCGTTGACAGTGTTATACTATATTTTTCTTATGTTTACTTAGAATAATAGGCAGCATTTTGATGTTGTGTGTTCAGTGAGGTTCTGTGCACTAATCACAGAAATAAACAGAGCACAATGTAAGATAAATGTTTTTTCTAGCCAGAATAAAAATGTGGGAACCCACCAACTACATTAAAGGTCAATAGCTTACGTTTTGATATCTAAAGTACATTTTTCTTCATAAGCATTGCAATATAAAATGTAATGGAGTATTTTCTACAAGATAACATTTCCTTCTTCCAATAAGGATAGTAAACATAGTTATACTGCCTCTGACTTTCCATAAAGTGGATATCTTGAGCAGAAGTGCAAATTTTGAAAAGCAAAATAAAGTTATCTGATGGAAATTTAAAATTCAGTTAAACACAATTGGCTTAAATAAAAGATATGAAGGATAAATCTTTAATGTTGACATTTAACCGAATGACAAGAGAAGTGACTCAGCCAGTGATGTTTACTTCAAACTTCATATTTTAGTTTTATGGAAACAAACAAAAATGTTATATTTGACAAGCAATTGTATTAGTTCGATGGTTATAAGCTGGAGTCAAAGTTCAGGTGGTTCTTGTGTCAGGGCACAGAAACCTGTCTATTATGAAACACGACGTCTACCTGCTGATGCTAACGTAACGTGAGCGCGAGACAAACAGAAAAATATATATATATGCAGTATTTCAAAGAGCAGGAGGCTGTTTGTCATGTAACACAGTAAAGTTAGTGGCTTACCGATGTTAGGCATGAAGGTAAGGACCGGGTGATAATTTAAGTTTAGTGAAGTGGGTCCATTCAGCAGCATGCAGATGAAAACGCCCTCGAAGGACGTCTCACAACACTGAGCTGCCCCTCAACCAATCAGAATCCTCTGCTGTCATCAGAAGAGGGTGGGGACAAGAGGGTTCAGCCAATCAGATGAGCTTCTCAGGTGGCGACAGTCAACCGCGTGCAACAATGAGTAAGTTGTGAAATCCACCTTAAAATATTAATATTTAATACCAGTAAAAATAATTACCTACATGAGAGTGAGGTTAGGTTTTTCCTTACGACAGTAAATGTTTCAGGAAGAGCGCACATTTTCACACAAATACCCTTTTATTGTAAAAGAGTACATGCAGACAGTTCCTAGGTTCTGAGAGACATGCACAGAAAAACTGAGAATCAACAAACCTGAAGGCAAGAGACACTGTAAATCTGTTTATATTTATTTTAGTGTTAGACAGATGACATAATCACGACATTCAGATTGCAAATCATTCAAAAAAAAGGCCCCAAAGCATTTTCTTTTATTACACAAGACTTTCACAACATAACTTTTTACTTTAATCATTCACACTCTGCATTCACATTTAACACATTTCCTTCAGCGAATAAAAGCTTGGGCGTATCATGGATTATTCAGTCATTTTTCTGAGCAAACAGGGGAGATGACAGAGTTTCTCATCTTATATTTCATGGTTTGTAAATGACTCTGAACATTAATACTTAGTAAGTATTGGAGATTTACATGCCCTTTGTAAGGCAAATGCAATGCAGAGTGTAATGCAGCTCTGACCAAAATTCACTGACAATCAGAATTTGAGTTTGTGGTAACATAGAAACCAAGTGCTGTTTGTTTTTTTGTAGTGTTGAAGGATAGCTGTAAAGAGCTATCTACAAAACCAGATAAGGGAGAATAAACTGTTACAGCACAGACAGTCATCATTTTCTCACTGAAAACTGATAGGTAAGTTGAGATCTTCATAAACGTTTGAGCATTTGTGCGTAACTTTTGATTTATCACGGTAGTCTGTATCAATAAAGTTAAAGTTGAGATGTGACGTCACACAGAGACAGGTTTATTTTAGATGCAGGATTTGAGTGTACATTGATATTCAGTCTGTTTGTGAAACAGCGTTCTTGCACTTTGAGCTTCAACCCCTTTCACAGATGACCTCGATCACACTCTGCTCCATTGGGGCAGGATCCAGACAGCGGTGGGCGGAGCTTCCCACTATCTCATCAAGCAGGAAATGAACAAGGTTTTCATCCGAGACGAATCTCCACAGGTACATCTGCAGGTAGTGGCAGTCCACCTGGATCTGCTGCAGCCCATAACGGCCAAACGTGCGAAGGCGGACACACTCCAGGAATGTCTTTAGACTGATTTTTATAATTCCTGTCATCACAGAGACCTGGCACGAGGAGACAGAGGTGTTTTGAGAGGGTTTTCATGGACGGCTAGACATCAGCATGACAAAGCTCTGCACTCACCTTGTTGAACTCCACTGAGCTGAAGATGTCGATCCTCTCAGAGAACAGCTTGTGTATGTTGCTCAGCAGATTAGTATCCATGGGAGCGCTGCAGGAAAAAGTCAAACTGCTCAAACAAATCCACAATTAAAACCATGACCTTGTTTTGTGATTAGAGACGGCACAGAAACAAGTCTCTCCTACAGTGAGAGTGGAGGAGATAATACAGATCAGCTGCTTGAATCTGTCTGTATTCCTGTGACACACAATCTCACCATGCCACTCAGAGAGAGAAGACATGTCATTACTTTAGGCAGCTGTGGCATTTAGTAATAGGGAAAAAAGCAGATACTGAATGCCACTTTAATCTCTGATAAGATCAGAAAATCAGTAAAATATCAGCAGAGGAGGAGCCCCTTCATTTCTTTAAGTTTCTAAAACTGACAATCTGGCATTTCCGCCTACTTCCCACCATGACTGGTCAAGCTGTGTGGAGGTGAGAAAGGAGCAAAGGTTTGAAGTCTAGCTTTCTTTATAGCACGACTTCAGGAGTTATTTCTGTCAACCTTCATGTTAACAGATGGATGCAACATCATAAATGCAGTTCAGCAGAGGCAGACTGTAAACAAGAAAAGTGCTTTCAGCTATAGGAGATGTTTTTTTTATGAAGTTGGACCTAAACAACAAATGTTCAAAATTCTACTTATTAGTTATGCTTAATTTGCTGCTTCGAGAAGATCAGAATTACTTATATTACACTGAAAAATGTTAAATATCACTGGTTCATCTGATTCCAGTGGGTCTCAGTTTCATTGTAAACAGTAAAGCACCAACTTGCTATACTTCAGTCATATGAGTCCAAGAGACACAGCTTTTCTTGTGATTTATTGCGAAAAATGTGTCTTGAGTGTCTGAATTAGCATCAAGATGCAGATTTGTGTGAAGTAAGACTTTAGATCTGTCTTCAAAAAGAGGAAACAACTTTAAAAAGACTTCTCCACCCAATGGTTGGGCCCACTACATCTGATGCACTTAAGATTGAAGGAGACGTGGTGATATAAGTAACATAACACCAAGCAGATTTGTTGCTCAGGGTGAAATTTTGGATCTTGAATGGTAGTTGCTTGTTGCACTTGCATGCAGAGTTCTGTTTGTAAATAAACAAACTACTGACAGACTAACACTGATGGAAGCGAGAATATGGTTTCAGAGGATCATCTCCTCACTTTGCTTTTTCTCTCTGTACATTCTGTTTTTCCTCCACACACCAAAGCCTGCTGACATGTAACTGTTAATCCTACAAACATACAGACTCCAGACCTCCTCTCATACCAAAAACTCTTACCCTGCTTGGAGAGTCTGCCTTTTTATGCTGCATCTGCAAACATGTACTGTAGACAAATACATGATAAAATCTTCCCCCAGTTTGGGGTGTTTTTCTGCTAAATCAGAGCTCTCTCTACAAACCTAAACTGCAGGGAAACTACAATCAGTTGGTTTACCTTGGGGTGTAGCTGGCAGCATAGCGGGCTTGCTGCCTCGAGCTGCTGTAGACAGAGAAAGTTCTTTTGCTGGAGTCACTGCTGTGTGCTTTCCTCACACCCTCCTCGTACAAAAGGCCAACCTGTCGAGGAGCACAGAGAGGCAAATAAGAGACAGTCAGCTCACATGTGGACATGGAAGCTTAATGAGTAGTTTTAATAATGAAGATGTTAATTCATCTTTAACCTGCACATCGATGGAGGTGGTGTCCTCTACCACTCTCTTCATCACTGCACGGACATTTCGTGGCTCGATGGTGTTAACCCAGTCTCGTGTTTCCACGCTCTTTCTCAGCATTTGAGAGATGATCAGTCCCTGGACCTGCAAAAAAAAAAACAGATGAATAAAAACAGTTTTGTAAAGAGAGTTGTCCTGCACCTATGAATCATTTTCCAGAAGCACCGAAAGTAACAGTCAGGGAAAACCTACCTTCACATAATGATTCAGCAGTTTCTGTGCTGCCTCCCTGGCTTCTGCACACAAACTTGTAACAGGTGTTACTGGACTGTGGTGCTGAGGGAGTACATAGAGGAGAATACCTTCATTTACACATTTATTTAATAGTGAATTATTGTCATTTCTTTAAAGCCAATGTGTTTGTAAAAGAAGGATAAGTCTTGTTTACCTGCACGAGGAACTGCTCATCTGTGAGGGTGAGTATGTAGGAGATTGTCGAGGTTTCATAGTCCAGGCAGAGGCGGGACAGCAGCAGCAGAAGGGCTGGAGGAGTAGAACCTCCTTTGTCTCCTGCACTCTCACAGAACTGCCGAGAAGACTGGCACACAAACTTTATAAAGCTCACCACCAGGCTCTCACGCACACCCTGACTGCAGAATTCACCCTGCGAGGAGAAGAAGGTACTGTCATTATCACTCTGCTTGTGTATTAAGAGGAAGCTGACAATTTTGGCAAAGAAATAAAAATCACCTTGAAGTACGGCTTGTTGGAGAATGTGATGTCCTTAGCTGTAAAGAGATGCACAGATGCAAGCACAGACTTAATCTGATTGAGGATGGAGGCTGATAAGGAGGACAGCAGCTCTGGCAGGCTGGTTGGGGCGTCTCTGCTGGAGGCCGACCCTCCATGAAGAGCTCCGCCTCCAGAGACGGAAGCACTGGCCACAGAGAGCCGAGGTGTGGCCAGGGCCTGCCGCACATCTGTCAGGCTGTCCATGTAGAAGCTCTGCAGGGCAGAGAGGTACTGCTTGACCCGCTCTGTCGCCGCCCGTATCACTATCTCAGTCCCCTGGTTTGGTACTGCAGAACCGGGCAGCAGTTTCGCCACTGCCTGAAGTCTGCGGTGGAAGCGGTCGAGGGCACGGACCAGGAGGGAGTTATCTGCCACCCCTTTCTCCTCTTGTATCCTCCGCTCCACCAGTGAGAAATACCTTGCAGCCAGATCATCCACAAAGGCGTGAAGCTTACCATTTGCCATCTGAGGAATATTCTTGGTTGCTAGCTCTCCTGTCTGAGCATGGTTGATGAATAGTTCCTGATAGGACGTGATCACCAAACATAAGCTGCTTACAAACTCATTACAGCCTCTGTCAATGAATTCCAAGATGTCGGTATTTGAGGTGGGAGAGGGTATAGCGCTGGTTTTAGGGGAGTTATCAGCGGAAGATCCAGCGGCTGCAGATGACGGCCTGCGTGCGGATACATCTTTCACGGCTGAGGAGGACGGGTACGGTCTTATCTCTGCTTCCAGACCCTGCAAGTCCAACTCAAGTCGAGAGCGTGCATGGCTCAGGAATTTATCACAGAGCTCTTCAGCTGGCTCATCCAACTGTAGCAGCAGCTCAACACACTCTGATAAATCTTTGGCGCTTGAGCCACCATCCCTGAAAAAGCAACAACACGGGACAAAAAAGGAGTTGATCTTCAAGGTACAATAAGTCACTATAAATCTGTTTCCTTACATTCTGTATGGATAAGCGCAACTGCCAGTGGGGACAAAAAAAAATCTGTGTTATTGCATATTAAAAACAGACTTTTTATTTGAGCATAGATATCTTTACAAAATGTTGAAATGTGATGATTTAAATGAAAGTAGGAAAAATATTGGCATCAGTCTGAGAGAGAAGATGAGTATTTGTATTTTCAAGACATGATATTTACAAAGCAATTGCACTTTGGGTAGGATTTACTGCAGCAGAATTAAAAATCGACTCTCCGTGTGATGTTCCCTCACAGGTGTGTCTCTAATCTGTATCCAAGCAGAGATTCTCACCTGAACTTCTGCCTCAGCTCCTGTGCCAGCTTGTCCATGATGGCGTGACAGTCGTCCTGGATCCCCTTGAAAGAGGGCAGGTGGCTGTACTGCTGCAGCACACAGCGGGCACGGCGGTGAGATCTCACAGCCTGAGCGTAGGCTTGCAGCTCCAGACACTTATTTAACCTGGCAGGCAGCTCAAAGAGAAACTGCAGCTTTCTCAACAGAGTGTGGACCCCTGAGGAGGAATACGGCAAGACGAAATCCTGTCAATGACCACCCTGAAGCCCCCCTTCTTCTGAAAACACAAAGCCAACTGCCAGTGCTCACCTGAGAGTTTAGTGATCTGTGCGTGCTGATCTTGGAGAGTTCCACTGATACTGGCACTGAACTCAGTGATTGCTGCCATGTTTGCAGATAGGCAATCCATTTCATCCTCCATCTTTTTGAAATCATTCTTCATTTTTCTGATAGTGTCTGAAAAAAGATGGGAAAACAGTTCACAAAATTGTTTAGTTTACATTCATCAAAATCAATATTAGACATTTAAAAGGCTTTTGTGAAAAATATCTTTTAGGCTTTTATGCCCCATTCAGAGAGGACAGGACAGGGCAACCAGAGAAACCAGTGGTACAGCTGAGACTGACATGCCGAAAAGGTGCTGCAGGCTGGAATCTAGATTGCCTGTTTCAGGAACCCAGCCTCAGTTTGAGTGTGCATCCTAACCGCGAGGCCAAACCATCACCTTTCATTTGAACTGCATTACAACAGTAAACGAAATATCCCCTCACCTGTTGCAGATATGAACTTGTTGTAGTTTTCATACACCAGCGTCTGCATGTCACTGTCCAAAGAGCGGATCTGCTTAACCATGCAGGTCTCCTGATCCATCAGCTCTCCAAGAGAGCACTCTCGTCTGAGCTGCACAGAAACACAAAATAACCACACATTAGCTTTTTCAACCCAGCGTCAGTTGCAGCACTGTGTAATTGTCAAGTTACTCCAGAGCCGACCCAAGGCATAAGCGAGCTAAGCCTTTGCTTAGGGCCCCACAGCCAATAGGGGGCCCCCCAAAAGCAATCAAAAAGATTTTTAATATATTAATTTTTTTTGCATGTATGAGTGGTGCTTTCTGTATAATCAAATTGTAAAAATAAAATAAAGTAAAAACATTTTTAGTGCTGCTGCTGATGTAGGCCTATGATTCTTACTGCTGCCGTTACAGGCCTTCTGCTGGGCAATATGCACTAAGCATCAAAAGCGCAGGTAGTTATGGGGCAAAACAATGTTGCAAAAAAGGACATATCCTTCAAGAGCAGAGAAAAGAAAGAGGAAGAAAGAGGAATAGGAGAAAAAACACCAAGATAGAGGTATGTTTGCATGTCATGGAATGTTAATCAAAGAGATTTGTGAAGGTGTGTGAATGATCAACAATTAATATTACTGGCTGAAATAGAGGGCCCCAGAATCAAATTTTGCTTAGGGCCCCATTGAGGCTTGGGCTGGCTCTGACTTACTCCTCCTGTGCACACACTAAAGAATGGAAATGTGAAACCCAGTGCTGGCTTTGGAGAGCAATATTTTGTCATCACTGTATCACCCATAGACTGTATATAATACATAGTATAGTATATACATATACATACATAGTATATAGTATAGAATATACAGTCTATGGTGTCACCACATGCTGAAAAAAGTAAATACAAAAACTTTTTTTTGACTATTTCTGTGACATGTAGAAAATATTAAATCAACACATCTTCATTTATGTCATTAGGTTTATGAAAGCTGGGTGAATTTTGTGGTTTATACGATTTTAAACAAAGACTATAGACATGTTAATAAGCGTGTTAATCCCATAGACTATATAAGATCTTATCTTATCTCATATACAGTCTATGGTTAATCCTCTATTGTACTTTCTAGTGTGCGTTTACATCATAGCAGAAGGCACTCTGGGTATTGGTGTTTTTAAGACAGGTGCCAGGTACCGGGGACAGCAACAAGCCTCTATGAGAACTATCTCGAAACTAATATGACAAACAAACCAGGCCAATAAATGATAACACTGGTACGAGACAAACCATTATCATAATACATTGCAGGGGCCATTATGTTAGTCGTCCCCCCTGTGTTCACAGTACTTATACCAGTAGCAGACCCTCACCTTGTTGAGGAAGAGCTCCGGGTCGAAATGCGGCCCGTTGATATCACAGGGATCCAGAGACTCCGGTTTCTCGTCGGCCTTTCCCTCCTCGTTCAGACCGTAGTACAGCTTCAGCATGCCGTGGACCCGGCGCCTCCTGCCAGGGCCGGAGTCCTCCATCCCCGGGCCGTCCACCTCACCGTCCATCATTCCGATCCTGTGCGCAGACCAGCTGAGAAATGATCAAATGAAACGACCGTAAACACAAATGACCAGCCTAGTTACCTACACTACGGCTGCAAAACACGGCCAACTTCCTACTTCAAAATAATGGTGTTTGTGTAGTTCAGCTTTGTGCTGTAGATAAAAGGATTTTTTAGATTTTATTTTACTGAGAAACTGTCATATTTTTCTCCTAAATCAGAAGCAGCTAGCTTGAAGAGAGTAGCAGTTCCGGGTTTGCAGCCTATCCGGTGTAACGTCATCAAAGAATGCCTGTAGTCAAGAGAATTCACTGTCGTCGACCGCTCACTACTGCGCATGTCAGACTTTCACACTGTTTATACTGGAACCATGTAAACAGATGAAAACCTATCGGACGTGAGAAAAAACAAGTTTACTACAACTTTATCCTTGTGAAAAACGGCTTTATAAAAAAAAAAAAATACTTAACTCAACTTTTTTTATAGAGCACTTTAAATACAACCAAAGCTGACATAAAATGCTATACATAATAACATAAAAACATATTACAACTATAGTTGCTATAAAATATAATAAAAGGCAGTAAAACAAATGCCGTCTCATGCTGGGTCAAAAGCTAAGGAATAAAAGTGGATTTTATTCCTTTTATTGAAAACATTTAAAAAGTTCAATTTCTTGAAAACATATTTAATTTGGATCTAATACCCCTTCATTATTCGACAACTGTGCATGTTTATAAACAGTTCGGGTCTTTTATATCTAGATAGAAAAAAGTGGCACCTCGAAGGTAATGAAATGCAAAACAAAGTCAAATAATTATTAGTTCCATGTGCGTTTATGGTTAGATCTGAAATGTCCATACTTCCACTAAGCACAAAAAACTGGCTAAAAATGATAATGTTGTGAATTTACTTCATAGAGATAGATGACACATGTAAGCTCTTATTTTATATTTCATTGTAAGCAATAGTTAAACAGCATATGACCTGTGATATGCTATGGGTATTTCTTTTTTTCTTCCTCTTTTAGTTAAATACTTTTTACCTTACAGTTTGTAGCACATTTACAAATGTAGTATTTCCTCAATAAAATAATGTAAACAGCTCCAGCATAATCAGGCTCAAGGTCGTAGGCATGCTTTCAATGTATTCAAAGAGACAAACTCATTTTACATTAGTTTATTTTAAAAAAGAACATTATTCATATGTGAATGCAGGTAGGACTGACCACTTTACTGAGAGGAACCACAACACACTGTTCAACAGCAGCCCAGTGTAGTTATCCAGAATGTCAACACACTCACATCAGATGAGAAAGGTGAAATGCAAAACTTGGGAAGTATATCATAAAAGAAACATCTTTTTAATATAGCGTTAACACAAAAATTTTGATCTCTTGTTTCCAAGCAACAGCAGTCACTCAGACGCCTACCCTGTACAAACAAAAAGGCACTTAATGCTTCTGCAAAACTGAGAAGATAATGCTTAATATGACCCATGTCTTCACTTCAGTCTTGTTAACAAAGAATAATGATAATGGAAGTAAAAATATTCTCATTAAGCCAACGATAGAAAAACATCTGCAATTTTTCAAAACTTATAAACAGTGTATTAATAGTGCAGCATCACATGGTGTGTTTTCTCGTGGAATGCCTATTCTACAATGTGACATGCATAGTGTTAGTTAGCAAAAATATACTGGACTGCTGCAGTTAGGTTACAGACAGTAGCTGATTCATTACAATATGACGTGTAGAAAGGTAAAAACATTCAGATTGCATGCTCAGAGGAATCAGGAAGAATACATGACACCTCCATATCTCCAGGGCATGTCATGTTCAAGTGGAGGCAGTTTTAGAAAGATACACACCTTCTGTCATGGTTATTATGGAGGTGGTCCTGTTTGTCAGATGTACAAGGACAGAAACTGCCTGAATAAGCTTTAAGGTGGAGTTCAGAGGGACAACCTGAGGACTCCTGGAAACTGAAGTCTGTCTTTGATTCATTTAGGTAGCACACTGGCTTGCAGCATGTTACATGGGCTTGCTTTGGTGTAGACACAGATTTAAACAGCAGATTCAAATCCTTTTTATATCATGATCATTGCGTTATGCACGAAGCAGTGAGAATAATGTGTCTGAGAAGTGTTTCTTTTAGATCAATAGTGGTATTTAATGATCCTTCATAGACAAAGCAGTAAAAGGCAAGCACAGTATTTCTACATCAGTGCCTCATTTTCTTTTAGCTGGTATTTGTGATTGCTAAGATATGTAGGCTGAAGTCTGATTCAGATGTTTTTAATTAGTGTTTAAACAGGTTGGTGTCTTATGTCAGAAGTACCTATTGTATCGGTTTTTATTTTGCTGATCAGGCCTCACAAAGCAAGGAAACCCAGTCTGAACCTGTGCATGCAGAATTCAAAGAAAACTTTGAATATCACATGCCCTCTGGAGACTAACAAGTGGCAGGAAAACAACATGTTAGGATGCAGTTATGATTTCAATTATGGATTTTCATGAGATTGATTGATATGATTATTGTTAAACTTTTTTAAAGTCTTATTTTAACGGTGCATATCTTTTCATGCTGCCTGTTAAGGAAACTTCAAAGTTGAATCGGAGCTTTGATATCAGAATGCTATATAGATTCCTTACATGGTCAAACTATATCGCTGCTATTTCACTCTTAGTAATAGGAAAATGGGATATGCACCTGCACAGTCCTCTTTTAGGAACCAGCTGAAAACACAAACCACATCAAACTCTTAAAAAGCACGTACTTACAAGAGACTTCCACAACACAGAAAATCTGCCTCCATTTGGTCTTGACGATCAGTAACAGTAACCATGAAACATTTCTACGTGTTTGTTTCTGCGATGTCTTTAGGAGAAAAAGGCACTGGCAGTTTGAGAGAGCAGACTAAATCGAGCGTCAGACATCCCTGAAAGTGTCTGTCATGCTGACTGTGAAGAGTTTGCGGTTACTGTTTCATGTTAGAGGAAACAAGGATGTGCTGCAAAGTTGCAAATGTTCAGCCATCAAAAAGAGGTAATGCAGTGGTTATACCCATGAGGCTCAACACTTGAATAATAGCAGTAAAGACAGCTGCAGAGGGCTGCAGAACGCTTGAAAGATCTCTCTAAGGCTTGTCTGATATTTATATAGCAGGTCTGCTGTATGCTGCATACAGAGTGTGATATGTTCTTTATGTAAGGCCAAACTAATAAATAGCCCACTTCAGTTCAACCTTGGTAGATCACTCTGTTTTTCACATTACTGTACTTACTCAATATATATACACCTTCAGAGGATAAATACTGTAGCTCACACTAAGATCCCTCACTTGGTCCTTTGCATGTTCATATATTATCAGTTAAATGTCTCAAGCTTGTGAAAAGTCTTTTCGAACTCAGTGTATATTGTTCAGGTTTGGTCTTTGAGAGCCGTGTGCTGCTCAGGGGAATTTAACCCTGCTCCAGACTCTCTGTCACCTGCACAGCTGAGTATGCAGCTGCAGACGGTTGTCGCGCGAAGAAGGATGCAGCTCTTTTGGGCTTCAGGCGTTTGATTTCTTTACCTGGAAAAGAAACATTAAAAAAAACAATTACAATTGTGATAGTAGTAGTATATTAGTTAGTCTTTAATACTCCCTTGGGAGAAATTCATCTTGGACAGACCAGAGGCTCCAGGCGCCACAAACACACATACACAAACAATCATCATATAAGACCACAAACAAACAACACGTCATCATATCCCCTCTCCAAAGCTCCACGAACATCCCCCCCACAAATGTCATGAAATCACCTATATGTATACAATAGATAAAAAATGATAATAGTCATAGCATGATGCCCATCTGACCCGCAGCATTATTGCACATTCCTCTTTACATACAGCAACATGCTCACTGTCTCTCGTCCCTCCCACACACACACACACACACATACACACTTCATTTCCGGTTATTAAGTAGCTTGACTGATAGTGGGATGAATGAGAATTTGCATCTATTGAGCTTACTGTATATGAAGTATAGGAAGTATAACTGAACTCACTTAAGTGTATTCATAAAGTGAGAACATGGTACAAAGTCCATCTGGTAATACTTTAAACCGTGAACCATCCTCTAACTTCACACTCACCATTGTCCACGTAGCTGATTGTGTTCAGTGAATGAACCCGACTGCACAGAACACTGCTCTGTCTGCGCAGCATCCCACGCCGTCCTCCACGTCCGTTCTTGCTGCTGCCGTCCTGCCCAGCGGGCTGCTGGGAACTCACCTCACCATCCATCTCGGCTGCAGCTCCACCTTCTGACGCAGACTTCAGCTCCACACAGAACTCGATGAAGCCGCTCATCAGCTCGGCCTATCACACCAAACACACAAACGAGGAAAGTGTGATGGTAAGAAGTAAATTCATTATACAGATGTCCCTTTTTTATTTTTTGATGGTCCACTAGTGAAATATCAGTCACGTTGCCTTTGGATTTAGGCCCTGTGTTATTCTGTGTTACAGCCAGTACTGTTATGTAACATCTCTGCACTATCTGCTGGCTGAGACCCTCCTTTTCCATCTCCCGATCATTAATGGAGGATCACATGAACACTGTGAACGCAACAACATTTTTCCAACCTATCTGGCTCCAACTCTGGTATCAAGTGTTGTGCTGCTCTAAGGGCAAACAGCCCCGGCAGCTGCACCTGACCCTGAATCTCTCACAAACGCCAAGTGCTGTCTGCTCTCTGGAGATGGAAGTGAACCCCCTTCTCCTCGTCACAGAGATTCGAAGTGGGAAACTCATCAGAGAACTACATCTGTCCCCTTCTCTAGTGGCAACACATTCTTATAATAATGTTTTAACAACAGTGGAGGTGGCGGTGTAGTCAACCACAGCAGGTGTGAAAAAATACAGTCAGTCGACACATTACAGCTAATTCAGCACTTGTGGGGCTCAGTGTGACACTCAACCGTACAGATGTTTATGTAAGAGCAGGTGTGAAAAAAATGAAATTTAAATAAAAAGATCTTCTGAACCTGTTTGGAGTAGATCTTCAGCAGCTTGTTGACAGGAGTGCCATCCTCCTCTCCGTCAAACTCAAGCCACAGAATGTGCGAGTCGCCCTCCTCCTCAGGGTAGCTGTGGTCCCAGGAAAGCTCATTGAAACGCAGACCAAGCAACACATGCTGCAGGAAAACGTGTTGAAGAGACGGATTCAGGATGGTTACATCATTTCTACTGTGTGCAGGGTGAATATCATCATATGATAAAACCTGGCCGATATTTTATTTCACAGGTGTGTTAATAGCTGTACTAACATGAGTGAGAATCTCCTAAAAAAACCTCTCAACATTTTCAGGGTGAACAGCATGGGTGAATGCAAAAAAGCCAATATTCTCACACTGACTTTATCGAAAATTCTGCTTCCTTCCTTTTACAGTTTTAAAAGAAGTCAGGGTGAGCCAAAACGAGAATGAAGCAGGAAGTATGAAAAATCTGTGCAAGTGAGGAAGTAAAGGGAACACTGTTTGTGGCACTGGCAAAAGAGCGCTTAACTGAACAACGACAGAAATCACTCAAGTTTGAGATCAAAAACGCCAAGGCGTCTCCAGATCAGTTTTTTGTACGTTGCAAACTCAAAAAATGTGACCTGAGTGTTAATCTCCATGCTTCATCTACCATCATGTTGTTATCATTACACTGAGGCCTTTGATTTCACACCCTGCCTCCTGATTTATCTCTTGCACCCTACCCACCACCCTCTTTTGTCTGACAGGGAAAGCTCCCCGCTGTGACGTGATGTGAGCGAACAAAGCAGCTTTGAAAGTTTCTGGGGTAGAGGGAAGTTTTCACGAGTGCACACGTGAAAGAATCGTTCCAGCACTCACCTTTTCTTTGACATCCATAACATAAACTCCCTCCAGGCAGATCCCCACGTTGACAGCTTTACGTTTTCCCCTCTGGAGAATCCCCTGGACTGGTTTGTCAATCTCCCCCATGAAGAAAGCACACCTGTAGTAAATTCAAAAACTTGAATTTTGTTTGTGTTTATTTTGGCCTCTCCAGTGGACATAATTATACCTCCATTATCTTTGCTTTTCTTATCCTGAACATGTTGAGTTCTGTGGTAAAAAAATGTCATTTGACTTGTTTTTTTCAGTAACTTGGAGAAAGTAAAAAAAGGTTGCATTTATTATTTATATATTTATTTAACCTTTGTTTAACCAGGAATGTCCTATTGAGATTTAAAACCTCTTTTTTCTTCATCATGGTACATCTTCACTCACTACAGCTACTGCTATGAAAAACTATGACATAGAAATTGTCAACCTTTATGCCAATAGTCTAGTTTGCTTTTGCAGCTCAAGTAGAGGCATCACTCCCCTTAAAAACACTATACACGGCTCATCATAGTAGCACTTACCCATAATAAGGCAGCATGTGACATGTGTTGAGGTACTGGTGCAGGAGCTGTGTGGGCTCAGGAGCGTTTCCAGCAGATGTGCTGATCTTTCTGTACGCCTCCAAGAGGTTCTGCTCCAGCCCCGCCTGACGACTCGACTTGCCTCTCAACGTGGAGAACAAACCTCCGCTGCCCATGGCAACGTGTGCCGGCACAAAAGAGGACAGCTTCTTCTCTCTGTGGGAGGAAAAAAAGGACATGGTGTTCAGCTTCATAGTTTGAGGCCCTGGGTATGTTTTGAATGATCTGATCCCAGGTTAACATCTCAAATCACATCTGTTCATTAGTAGCATTCAGTGTGTCTCAAGGTGCAGCAGTAACCATGTTACACCAGTAATCATATTCTCAATTTGCAAGGACACATGTACGAAAGTTTTACTGCTGAAAGACAAGATGGAGTGAACAAAGACAGAAGCCTAGTACAGACAAGTTTTCTATTTCTCTTAGTCAAAGATCATCATCTGCAATGAATCTTTAAGTTGATTAAAATAAATCGACACTCTCCCTTCTCTCTAGTCCCTTATGTAGCTGAAGAGAGCAAGTCTCACTTCAACACACACAGACAAAAGGACACCTCCTCTTTCCCCTCCCCTGTAAAGACAACAGTTAAGGTATCATGTTTTGGGCTTATTAAATACCTGTACATGAAAAGTGTCAGAGGTCAGCTGGTTGGTGCTGCTGCTATTCTCTACTGGGTTGGCTTTCCTGGTTTTGATTTGCTACACAGCAACAACTCTAACCTGAAGCGTTTACTGTTTATTAAAAATTTAAAAAATCTGAAAAAAAGGAATTGTGAGTGAAAAATATTCAAACACAGTTTTGTATTTTGGTGACAAGAAAAAATACTGAAGAAGAAAATCAACAGGGCAGACTCAAGCAGAGAGAGAAACAGCGGGAGGCGGAGCAAACCTCACAGGTGGATGCGAGAAGGTAGTTGAGTTTGTGTAATAACAGAAACAAGGTGAGCAGATTGACGTCATTAGGCACTTATTGTACATATTGTTTAAAAAGTATGACTGAGTGAGTATTCAGATTAGCATGTCCTTTCTGCATGTTGAGTGAGTTTACAACTGTGCTTCAGCTTTTTCACGTGTGGTCAGATCACCAAGAGCATGATAATACCAGGTCTAAACTAAGACTGAGGAAATCTAAGACACAAAGACAATTTTGTAACTCCTGATAAAATCCCTGTTTTTTTTTCAAATATAAGAATTATTTCACATCCAACTAAAACTCACTGTCTCCTGTATTTAGCTGTAAAACAGTGAAGAGTAAAATCAATCGACACAGATAAGCTACGACCTGCAACTTTAAGTACTGAATGTAAGCAAACCTAAGGCTTTCTCTTCATTTTTTGTTGTGACTACAAGCAGACATCACGTCATGTGTCATGGGTTTCTAAAAAAAGGCAGGTGGTGACTGAACTTCTCTTTTTTAAGCAGTGATTGAGAGGCCCTGTTTTGAATCTGGTATTTTACACCCTGAACACAATCAAGTCTCAAGAGGCTTTAAACAGTCAAAAGAAACACATTCATGCCACTACAATCAAAAATGTTGTCTCATCCATTCTTGTACTTGACACTAACAAACTGACAATTATCTGAAAAGCACTGCTGCGGCACAGTGTGAATGTTTCAAGATTTAAAAAAAAAACAAAGCCCCATCAACAAGAGAGGCACTGTTGACCTTCTTTCACAATGCCTGTGGATTTTCATCAAACTGCGGCTTGTGCTCACTGATTGCACTGAAGTACCTTGAGCTGTTCAATCTGGGAGCTGCCCTTTAGGGAACACGGGTTGTGGGACATGAATTTTGTTTTGTTTTTCACAAGGTCCGGTCTTTGTGGTGCATTAAGCAGGAGAGAGGTGGCCTCTCACAGTCTGACAAAACAAGCAGCAGAAGTCACTTCTTGGTTCTTTATTTTCTAAAAAAAATACGAAACTAAAAGCAGGTCAAGTGTACACTTTCACAAGACGCAGCTAAAAGAAAGTCCAGCTTAGAGGCCAAAAAAGCAGAAGGTCGGAAAGGAACAAAAATAAAGACTAAGTGTCTTTGTCAGCAACATCATGAATGCCTGACCAGGAAACAGCTTAAAACTTCCTCTCTCAAGTTAACATCAGACTATAAGCTGCATATTTATTATTATTATTATTATTATTATTATTATTATTATTATTATTATTATTATATTTAGTTGCAACACATCCAGGACAGGCTGTTGAGGATTTAGTAAAACTGATCAAATTGGGAATATCTTTATACAAAGTGAGGACATTTACACATCAGTTAATAAAAGAGATTGCACATTAACTCCTCTTTGTGCATGTGTTTTTCTCAGTAAATAATGGGTCACCTTCCCCATGACTAAATCAGATAAGGAAGGGATCAAGGGCGGACATACACAACAAAAGTCAGCCGATTAAGTTTGATTTGGCACATAAATGATGTTTTTTTAAAGCTGCTGGGGATGATTGTGTTTTTGCTGCTTCAGTTTTTGCGCAATCAATTCAGCCAAAATCAACGGATTATTCTGAAAAGCTAAAAGCTCCGATTTATGATTTATAAAACACATGCTGGTCTTTTAAAGCCCATAATGCCAACTTTAGAACAAAATAGAATTAATCAAAGACTAGACTAATTTATTTAAAAGAATAGGGAACATTTAAAGGCCTTCCCTATCTATCTATCTATCTATCTATCTATCTATCTATCTATCTATCTATCTATCTATCTATCTATCTATCTATCTATCTATCTATCTATCTATCTATCTATCTATCTATCTATCTATCTATCCATCCATCCATCCATCCATCCATCCATCCATCCATCCATCCATCTATCTAACTAACTAACCAACTAACTAACTAACCTGTCATCGAACACCAAATGTAAATAGGCTTCAAGCTAACTCTGGCACAATAATTCAAAGGGCAACATTTATGTTTAATATAATGCATGAACTTCTTACAAATAAAATTAACAGAATAAAACAAAACATAATGAAATAAAATATAATTAAAATCTTGATCCGCTTGCAGAAAAACTTCACTTTTTTGTCAGCACAATAAGAAGCTTTAGCCAGGTGATGACTGGTTTAGTTTAGCATAAAAACTGCAGATAAGAGGAAACAGTTGGCTTGGCTCTCTCAAAAGGAAAAACAACATGGACACAAACCAAGGTGGAAAAAGGCAACATCTATATTTAGGAGTTGTTATATGTTGGTTTATTTCTGTGCATTTTGCAATTACCTCTCATGTTCACCCCTTTGAGGTGGTAGATTGGCTACAATTCAATGACTACTTTGATTTCTTAACAGATTAAACATAAACTTTGAAAGTGCTGATGGGCAGATTCTTTTTCCTTTAGACAGCGCCAAACTAGCACTTCCCTGTTCCTAGCTATTATGCTGCGCCAAGTTCCAACTCTCCTGTGTTAAGGCATCATTCCTCTCGTCTAACTCTGTGTGAAAAATGTGGGAAATCCATTTGGCCTATCTCTCTAAATGACCAACTAAAGCTTCAAGAGAAATCAGATGTAAAAATACATTCATATGAATTTTTAAGCATTAATAATCAACAAAGAGTTCGGTCAAAATTATTTCTAGCTGATGTTTCTGACCTACCTTACAGTAGTTGTAAAATGTGTGTCGTCAAGACCAGTTCCCTCTTCTAGAGCAAGAGACAAGGCCCCGAGACCCGTCCAGTGCTCAGGATCACAGGGATATCGACCAGAGAGGATGTTACTCCTGGCCTCCTCGTACAGAAGTCTCAGCACGCCTTCGTCATCTATCTGCTCGGGATGGAAACAGGGATAAGCTTTCAGGAAAACCAGCTCAGGGTCAGTCTTAGGACACTATTTTGAGGAAAACCTTTAAGAGTCAAAAGCCTTTAGGATCATTCAGGATTTGGGGAGTTAAAACAAAATTGACTCTAAGAGGTGACAGATACACACATGCTTCCATAATTCAGTCATATCTGCGTAAACAAAGGTTCTCAGTACCTGAAGCTCTTTGGATTTAGGATAAAACACGTTCCGGCGGAACTGGAGAAAAGGTTCATCTGAGGACAAAACGGAGCACAATCATGCATCAGAGACAGACGACCATCTTTATTTTCATTTGGTCCAATTATCGCTCAGTGGGATTCAAACCGCAGTGGAGGAGTTAGAGAACTGAGACAAACGCTTAAGTGGAGGTGGGGGTATCTGCCAGTCAAGCCCCCTCAAACCTACTCTGCCACAGCTTATTGTCCTCCCCTGTAGTGTGGGAGGAAACATTTCTTTTCCATATAAAAACATAACATATAATGGATTATGCAATGCTTTTGTTGGTTTTTTAACTCAAGAGCTGTCAGTGTGTTTTACGATGCACTTTGCAGACCATTACCTGTCCTTGTGAAAAGACCTTCAGCGTCACAAATAAACAAGTGTGGGCTGTTCATCTTTGACGGGCAAAGCCATGACAAACAACACCAGAGTGAGTCAGCGTCTGACACCTCACGGAGACCTCATTTAATCTGTGTCTCCTTAAAGTTAACTTAACAGGAAGTTTATCCTTGAACAAATGCAGCCATTTTTTTCCCCTTTATTGCTTTTACACATCGCTGCAAACCCTCAAATGACAAAATCTCCAGAGCAATGTACACAGAAACAACACAAATGGGGATTTTATCTAAAGTTGTGTGTCTTTTTTGAACTGTAAATTGTTCCTGAGAGTGTATGACACTTTGGAAAACTTAAAAGTAGAATGAAATTCCCAATACATGGACCAAAACTTTGTGGAGAAAAGCTGTGTCTGTTCTGATCCGACCATTTGTCCAAAATACAAAGATGTGTAGTCAACCTTTACATACGATGAAGAAAACAGAATAAACTCTACTTGTTTTTTACGAATAGAATTGAAGATTGGCTTTCATTGTTAGACTGGCATCACTGATGGGAAAGTGCTTTTCATTCAACAAACAGCGTAACATTTATGCAATGTCTTTCTTGAATGCTTGGGCTTAAGCACAGGTATGTTAAAATGCTGATAGTATTGCTGAGTGCATTTTTCCCTCTTCATAAACGAGCCGCAGTACGATACTGAAAAAGTCTCAAAAGGTCAAAACAAGAAAACGTATCTTCTCTGCACAGGATTAATATTTCATGTTGTACAAACATATGAGGTCCAATTCTAGTGGTTTTATCTCACTTGGCAATATCCACAAAAATGTGCGGATTGTAAACATTTCCCCTCTATTTGAGTCGTTTCCCTTCACGCTGTTTGATACCTGATATGTTCTACTTCGCTTGTTTAGCCACAGGTGTTTATCGGTTTGGATGCAAACTCTCTCCATTTCACTTGTATTTATCCCAAACAAACCTCACAGCACCTTAAACGTTATTTACACTGAGCAAGCTACTAAGCACCAGCAATTTATAAATACGCTGCAAATCCAAGGGGAACAGCTGCAGAGAGAGAGGCAGCATGTGCTTAGCATACAGAGACCCAGAGTGTTTAAGAATGCAGGTTACCGAGCAAATCAAAGAGGGTATTTACTGTCCTATCTTTGCACTCGGCTGTATGTACTTACCATTAAATTACACTTTATGACACTATGTGATCAATGATCACATTTGACCCTGAGATATGATCACATCTGGAAGCTAAGTTGGCATGTACAGTTGAGGTCAGAAGTTTACATACACTAAAGCAAAAACTATTCAAGACAGCTTTAACCCAACTTGCCACCCAATTTGAATGAAGACATATATGTGGTTATTCAATAATAGTATCTTCATTATTCTGCCAATGGGGCAGGTCAGAATTTTTTACCTCAGATAGATTTTTAGTTGATTTCCCCAAATGACCTCAGATTCTTGTGGTTCATAAGTTTACATACACCCACTTGTCTGGCCTATTTAAGAGTAAATTAGTTGAAATCAGGTTGTGAAATGGAATTAATAGAATCACCCCTTTAGTCTGGGGTTCATTCGTGTTGTGTAAAAGCCAAGGTGTAGAAATTATGGGGTATAAAAGGAGCTTCACTTTACACACACTGCATTTCGACTTGAGACTTGCAATGGGAAAGTCAAAAGAATACAGCAATGACATCAGGGAGCGAATTGTTGCCTTGCATCGGTCAGGCTCATCTCTTGGGACCATTTCAAGGCAGCTTGATGTACCAAGGGCATCTGTTCAGACAATTGTCCACAAATACAAGCACCTTGGAAGAACAGCCGTAATGCCACGGTCTGGAAGGAAACGAAAATTAACATCCAGAGATGAAAAGCTTTTGGTCAGAAAGGTGAAAATTAACCCCAAGATCACCAAGAAAGCCATCTGCAATGATTTGGCTGCCTCAGGAGCAAATGTCTCAGTGTCCACGGTCAAGAGAGTTCTCCATCGACATGGGCTGAGAGGGTACCGGGCCAGAAAGAAGCCATTACTCAACGAGAGACACAGAAAAGCTCGGCTGAAGTTTGCGAAAGAGCACCAGGGTAAGGATAAAGCCTTCTGGAAGAGTGTCATCTGGTCAGATGAGACGAAAATTGAACTGTTTGGGCATAATGACCAGCAATACGTTTTCCGACGAAAGGGTGAAGCCTTCAGTCCCAACAATACCATCCCAACGGTCAAGCACAGTGGAGGAAGTCTAATGTTGTGGGGTTGCTTTGCAGCATCAGGAACTGGTGAACTCCAGAAGATCAATGGAATCATGAGAAAAGAGCAATACTTGAAAATATTGCAAGGAAACCTCAAGAAGTCAGCCAGATCTCTGCAGCTTGGTCGACATTGGATCTTTCAACAAGATAACGATCCAAAACATACTGCAAAATTAGTTTCAAAATGGTTTCAGCAGAACAAGGTGAAAGTACTGGAGTGGCCTTCACAAAGCCCTGATCTAAATCCTATCGAGAATATCTGGAGTGAACTGAAGAAACGAGTCCGTAAGAGAAGACCAACAAATCTGACCGAGTTGTACCAAATCTGCCAGGAAGAGTGGTCAAAAATTCCAAAGGATTACTGTGAGAAGCTCATTGATGGCTATCCAAAGCGACTTGCTGAAGTTATAAAACTTAATGGAAATGGAAGTACTAAGCCCTGAAGACAAAGGTGTATGTAAACTTATGACCCAGTAAAAAAGCAGTGTTCTGCAAAGAAATATCAATAAATCTTGAATTATGAGGAATTTTTGCCTTTTCTTTTTATTTCCCAAAAGCATTAATCCTAGGGCTTCCTGTATGCTAGATTATTCATGATTCAAGTTGGTAACTTGAATTTAGCATGAGATTTAGTGTAGGAACATGCACTGTATGTAAACTTCTGACCACGACTGTATATAGTTGGATTAATACATCATGGTATAGCCCTGTTTTAATGTTGTTGGCCTCTTTTAATGAAGGGCAAAGTAATAGGTAGGCTATATCTTCATAGAGCCTAAATGTATGTGTCTTCTTTTATATCTTAGCTATATTATCACATTATCTATTGTTTATGTGTGGGAACCAAAATACGGGACACAGACTTCCTCACTTCAGGTATATTTTAAGTGGATTTACGCTACATTGCTACTAGTGATGATTCTTCCTTTCACTGCTTTGCTCTGCATCGCTGCCACCCTTTTCCTGTCTTTGTTGAGCACCAGTACTTTTTAAACAACTCAGTTAGAAATCCAGCTAACTGTGAGAAAACCAATAAATCATGTCTGTTAAGCGTCCAACAATCTCAGCTTCGAACAGGAAAAGTATGTTTCTCAACAGTGCACAGATCAAACTCTCACCTAGTGAAATGTCTTCCTCGGAGGCCAGAGTGAAGCGATAGAGCAAGTCCTGCCACTGCCGACACAGCTTGTATGGTTGATGCCTCGCCTTTAACTGCAAATCTGTGGAGTGAGAGAGAGACAGAGAAATGTAACACAGAGAGAAAAACAGCGTCAGTTTTCTGGCTCCAAATGTAGTGTTGTTTCTTAATGTGATCCTGGAGCTGCTAGATAAGGTAGCTAAAAGCTCCCATGAGAGGTTTTGGGACATTCATGAAACAGAGTGAAATTCATATTGATGCTTTTTATGACACACACAAAAAAAAAAAAAAAAAAAAACCATCAGCAATGACAACAAGGTTATCCATGCTGTAATTCTTAATGCCCAAAACTGGTGCAAGGGGGTAGATGTCAGCCAAGCAGCTAAAGAAACAGCCATGTTTTTACATTTCTGCATTGAGTATCCAAAAAATAAAAGGATTCACTTGACTGTCAAAGGTCAGCAGAACATGATAAGCCCTCTGCTTTGTCTGCAGGGGGCACCCAAATTGAAAGCTTAAGTTCCTCAAAGGAGCTTTAAACTGAAAAAGTAAAAGCATTATTTTTTCATACTGCAATCGAATCCTACTCCTATGCATGACTCCACATACTTGGTTCGACTTGCATGTATGAGTTTATTCATAATACTAAAAGCACAGTACTCAGTCTGTATAATTCAAGCTTGTTCAGGCATCCAGACACATTTCCTGTCAACCATCTGGCAAAAGAAATTCACACATATCTTAATATTTTGTAGCCAGACTATGGTAGTTCTTGGAAAAAGATGCATCCATTGACCCGTCACCATTCACACATGATGGCACTCAAAGATAGAGCGTGACGGCTTTCCTGAGTATGAGTAAATGGTGGGAGGAGAACAGTTCTTACCAAGCAGTGGAGAGCAAAGCCAGAATGCAAAAGCATCCTGTGCAGCTTCGGGAACATTCAGAGCCTCACGAACACTGCGACCCAACTCCTGCACAGTGACACTGCCAAGCCCTTCTACTGATAAGTGTACTGCACTCTCACCAAACAGGTAGATAAGCACATCTTGAGCTGTGAGAACACAAAGAAGCTAAATGAAATGAAACAGTTTATGCATAAAATCCCCCCAAAGGATTATTTTAAACAAATAAATAAAGTGCAAGCTGTAAAACACAGAGGGATATTGTTTGGCTCTAACATACCACGGGAAAGTGTTGCAGAAGAAGCAACACTTCCTCTTTGTGAGTGATCATCTGATGAGTCTGGAGGAAAACTGCAGTCATCTCCTTCCATCTCTTATCTGAAAGACAACTCAAAATCACTCACAGCTCATGCACACCATTGCAAGATGCTTGATGCAACATATGTACACCTTAGGCTGAATTTCTTCTTTGTTTCAAATAGTTTATGTAGAATCTAAATGTCCTCCACCTCTGCAAAATGCAAACATTAACAGAACATCGGCTCGTATCCAACACTGCAATGACAATAACAGTGAATTTTATTAATCCCCAAAAGAATGTAATATTGTAAATCTGCTGTTATTATCTGAGTGATATGTTTAAGAGAGACTTTTAATGAACCTATGAAAAGACAGATATTGGGTCATGCTATAGATGGCTAGATGTGGCTTATATTGCTGTAAATACTAACTATTACAACACAAAACAATATCAAAACACTGTTTTGGATTTGATATGCTGTTGATGGGTGATGGAAAAGATATGTTGTCATCATGTGGGAGAGATGATAGTGATAACCGCCTTGTGAGGGCTGATGCTGAATAATTCCGACTATGTCAAAATGCCAATATTCTCCCCCATTAATCAGTCAGACAATTAATCAGTCAGTCGATTAATCATCTCTCCTTAATCTCTCCCTGCAATAATGGGCAGATGTCAGAGTAGAAAGGCTGTGTCCTTGAGCTGTAGGGGGGCATATACTTTGCCCAAGGGTGCCTCAAATGTGCTGAGGAAGTAAACTAGTGATACTACAATGACCAGCCAAATTTTCAGACCAAGTCAGACGCAGGACTCAAACTGGGGACCCTCTAGTCCCAGGGTTCAGTCTCTACAGACTGAGCCACCTCCGCCCTTTATCCCATCAGGTTTGCATCCTAAGCAGAAGGGTCTCATGTGAAATATAAGGAATATTTGCAATCCAGAGGAATTTCTGACAGATATGTGGTATTTGCACATCTCAAAATTTAGTTTTCTGACAAATAAAAAAAAATCATATCCTGCGTTATTCTGATCAGCTCATAGAAAAATATAAAAAGGCTTATGAATCAGTATAGCACAGTTCATCAACTGGACTGCCACGTACCTCTTATCTGTGGCTCTAGGAATTATAACATTTCTAGGAATAGAAATTCATCGAAATAATCGATCTGGTCACTAATGGCCGTGTTTGCTTCCTTTCATAGGTCATAAAATGATCAATATTCACTTCAGTCTATTTGTAAAATAACAGAAAATCCCCAGGAGCTTGAACTCCTTAACATATAAAACTTTAGGGTATCCACACAAAGATATTACCCCCAAAGTGGACTGTCAGAAAAGGTGTGTGGGTGTGTATGTGTTTCTCAGGCTAACATGTGTCTCATAATCTTAATATAATAGATGCCTGGTTGGTTGTTGCAGTATTATGGTTCATACTAATTTTAATTCTGTTTCCATAAATTACTAATCAGGCCAATATAGTAGGTGCCTCACTATGCAGCAGCGCCACCATGTGGCTTCAAAAAGACCCTGTAACACCAACACATTCGTGTCGACAACTACTGACCTCACCCTGTTTAACAGGAGCTTTCATCTAATCCCAGCATTTCACTGTTATCCATTCACATTGACATGGTATTAAATATGACTAGAAACACAGTACTTAGAGCTTTGATGCATAGAGACATCAAATACAGGATCATAACACCATCTCGAGGCCCGTAGGAGAGGATATGGTCATCGTTGAAGTTAAACAGACTCTTTTAACATGACCAAACAAACATATTGACTGAAATATCCCAGGAAACTATGAGACACTAAATTGTATTTTATTGTGTTGTTTTAAAGGCAAATTAAGTCACCATGCTAGCTGCTGACGAATTGAGAGTTATATCGAAATACTGTAGAAAATCCTGAACGTTCCCATGTAACTTTAAATAAGATATAAAGCAGAAAAGTCAGTTCAGGAGAAATTCCTCTCCTGTTGGTGATCTCTGAGGTTTAGTCCCACAGTCTCACTCACTGTTAATGGCAACCGAAAGAACAAAATGTTTCTATCGACCACCTACCAGTCACTTCTTGTGAGCTTCCTTCTGTTTACTGCCAATTCCCTGGACGGGATCCTTATATCTTTGAATAGTACCGTGGATAAATACATAAGCTGGTCCACAGCCCGCTGTTATTGCCCTGGCCACGGCTAGCCAGTTGTCTAAAACTAGCTTTCCGGGCAGCTGCAACAGTTAGAGTCTGTGTTAGCGGATGATCCGTTTTTTCTGAACGGCTCTTCACTGGGCGTGACAACCTCGTCAGAAAACTCGCGGAATAGATAAATCTGCGGTAATAAAGATTGAGATAGATTGAGAAATGTCTACAAGCTTATATTTTAACTGGAGAATGGGAAAATAATTTTAACTCAAAATGACTAATAACCTGTGGACAATTCGAACGCACTCAAACAAAACAGATTCAAAAGATCCGATCTTGAGAAGGAGTTGAACAATATGTCTGATATGCGAGAGCGCGTCGTCGCTGGTCACATGACTAAAACGTCACTACAGCTGTAATTACCGTGCTGCAGATATGGCAGTTTGAACGTTTGAACGCCCTCGTCTGTTGCTTGAAAATTGAAGTTTGACGCCAAAATCTCACCGTGTTGCTCTGACATTTCCTTTAAGAATTTCTATATAGAAAGCCCACTCTACTTTTCAGTACGTTAACAAGATACTCTACTACAGCATATAACTCCAGCAGAACACGCCATTCCTAACCACGTGTCCTTAGAAAGTGAGAAATGTAGAGATATTTTTAAGAACTTATTTTCATCTTAGTGTGTTACTTAAAGTGCACAGAAATACAACAGCCTATTACTTCAAAATGTTGGATAAGCTAGTTTTAAAAGAGAACTTGTTTATTCATTGACACATCTATGACAGACAAAAGTTTTAAAAAGATATTTTAATTTTATGACTCAAAGCCAATAAATGATTCAGCTGGAACAATAAGCACATGTGAGCCTTTGCAGAAATAATGTTGGGGTGGCTTTCAGTTCTTTCTTCATACTATGACAGCAAAAGCTACTATATGAGAATGAATGGCTTAAACAAAAGGAGTCTGCCCAGCTTGAATAAGTCACTCAAGACACAGTCATGGACTAAAGGACGACCTAAGGTAGATCTAAAAAATAACCTAACGCTGCCTCTTTTTTAGAAGTTACATCTTAAAATATATTATTGAGTTTTAAGGCCAGTATAGCCTTTACATTGTCCATCCTGCACCATCCACTTGTTGCAAGAGTGGAACTGCAATGGCAGCAAGTTTAATAACAAATAAGATTAAAAGCTTTAACAAAGGTGTCATAACAGAGGACATGCTTAACAGATTTCACTGCATTACAGACTGCAGTTAATCAGTCTTTATAATCCTCCTCCTTACACCAACAGCAAGAAGAGACAGACATCATATACTCATAGAAGCTCTTTTTTTTACAGAGGGTGACAGCTGACGGGTGAAATTATGAGTTATTTACATTTGCCATGATAGAAAAAGAGGCAATGAGTGACTTCACTCAATAAGGCATTTTGTAACCCCCAACTTAAATAAATCATATGTAGTTTTGTGCCACTCTTCTATTACTATGCCTCACTTCTCAACAGTCAGTTTTATATCCAGTACAACCAAACAATATTTGTGTGCACTGTCTCATTAATGACTGTTTTTATGATGACTAATCAAACACAGTAAAACCATGATAAACCAATCATTTATGGGTTCCTGCAGCTCAGCCGCTTGTGGTTTGGAGAGGCAACAAGATCAGTGTTTAAATTTTGTGTAGGAGTTTATAGTTGTTGTTCCCCCATGATGGACATCTGACAGTTAAAAATCCATTATGTTTCAAATTGAAAAGAGAATCTGTCATTAACATTGTAATTTATAACTATTCCTAAGATTCCCTCTCTGGGTTAACATTATTTATGTGAGTGTACATCCTCTGAGGTCTAGCTGGTCTCTGGGGCAGCAGCTGTGCTGGTTGACGCATCCTCCTCCACCTTGTTATTGAACAGGAAAAACTTCATCAGAGGGTCGATGGTCTCCATGATGGTTTCTTTTACTCCCTTCTCTAGCAAGTACCCCTCTGTCTCAATTTCTGTGTTTTCCTTCCCTGCCACTGCCTCCATGGAGGTTTGCAGGAACCGAAGGCTCACCAGCACAGAGCCCTGAAAAGGAGGAAGAGTTTTTAATGAGTGTGTAAAGATAGTGCACAACAATGAATTAGATGTACCAGTCTCCAAGAAGTCAATATAACACCTTGACCATCCTCCATATTAAAAGTACACTGGGGCAACACCAACTCTGCCTTTGGTCTCTGTAATTCTCATTCTGTACCTGTAAGAGGAAGACTGAGAACACTCCAGCCCCGATGGTGTTCATTAGCCCCATGTAGAAGTTGACCAGAGCCTCCCTGCAGCCTCGGAGATAGATATTGAGCTCCTCAGTTTGGTAGTCATAGTTATAGTGAGCAGAGTTATTGGTGAGATGATATTGGATACATGGCCTTGGAGAGCTGGGGTTGCAGCAACTGAACGGGACTCCATCCACCAAGTAACGGCCATCAACATTGCTCTTGATGCGGCTAGGGAAACAAAACATGGGTACAGATATGCTCAAGATGATTTTGATAATTATTTGTGGCTGTTTAAGGACAAAACACTCAGACAATGAAACCAACTCACTCTTTCACCTCCTTGGAGTTGAAATCTAGGTATCGGTTGCTGATCCACTGGACCTCAAACCAGTCCCTGAAGTCATTGTTTCCACAGCACTGGAAGTTCATCTGCAGGCGGTCAACAATCTGTTTCTGGAAGCAGCGGCCTGGTGTGTCTGTGTCCTTGTAGAAGCGGATGCCGTTCCTCAGGCCAACCTTCAGAGATGACTCCAGACTGCCTGTCATCGCATAGCTCATGATAACAGCTAGCAGCATGAGCATGGTGAAGAAAGAAGAGACAGCAAAATATGGCTTCAGGAAGTTCCTCCAGCGGGGAAATCGGCCAGCATCCAGAGCATCTTGGCAGATCTTTGAAGCAAAGTAGTTGATTCCCAAAGAGGCCAGACCAACAATAATGAGAGTGTTTGGCACCACATGTATGTCTGAGTTATCCATCACCTGTAAGACACAAGAAAAGACACTGAGCACATTAGACACCATTTGTTTTTTAACAAGCAGACAATAAACTTATATTGGAAAATATACCACCTCACATTTTTATTTGCCTGCAATGACCCAAGTACTCATGAAAATACATGTTAAAGCTATAGTGATTATTTATAGCTATTCATAAAAGAGACTGAATTCATAATGACTCCTATGTATGACCTATAGAAGCAAACAACACCAATGACATATAGATGTTTTATCCCTGTATAGTTTGTTTGAGCGTCTGAAACTGCTGCCAAGGGTAGTTGTCAAATACAAAATAATGAACAGCACACTGCAGTAAACAACCTTCTATTCCACATTTTAAAAGAACAAGATTCTTGGTTGGAACATGACAGATTTTTCTATTAAGGAAAAAACAACATAGCATGTGTCCACAAGGTGGTGCAAAAACAGACACAAACCAAAAGCTCCTTGCAAGAGCTTTAAATAAACACTTAAAAACTATGAAACAAAAAAGTTTTCTTATCATTTCTTATCAGACTGTAGGTCCATGTAACTGCTAATGAGTGAAATATTTACTTGCAGCTGAATTTTAAGATGTTTGTATGAATTATAGATGTACTGTGTCTCACTTTAGGAACATGTCTTACTAATTCAGCCTGACTTAATCTTACTTCAAAGTTAAAGTTTTGTGAGAGCTGGAGAGCTTTGAAGTTCAAAGAAAGTGTGATGAAGATGCTCTGAGAAAGGAAACACAGAATTTAAAGTGTGTGTGTGTGTGTGAGAGAGAGAGAGAGAGAGAGAGAGAGAGAGAAGGCTTTTCTCTGGAAAGAAGTAAGAAATATTTTTGGCTCTATAGCTATATAATGCTATGACTATGACAACTCCAGTCACAAAATAATTCATAATTGAGAGCCTCTCAGTTTACATAGAGCCTTGGAGCAGTGAGCAGCCCACTTCAAGTCTTTCAGGAGAGCTGCTGGAACACATTAATACAGTCTTTCATCAACTCAATGTTAACTTAACCCACTTACATGATTGGTTACTGTCATGTAAGTGGAAATACTATAGGCTATTGTGGAACCCAGTGATGTTTAGTTTTCATAGAGGAATTTCTCGACAAGATGTGTAAAGAGATGCCAAGAGCATCTAACATGTATTTCACAGTATTTTGTGGGTCTTCATATGTCTAACAATTTGTAACATTAATAGCACTGACAGTGGTGTTTCAGACTCTGTTTTATTCATTTACTTATAAATATCATGCATGACTCTAATTTTCATTCATAATATGCACATGTTGATTTCCCCTGCATAATGACATTAAAAAATGAGATTTTTATTATTTTCAATTAATGTTAACAAAACTGAAAATGAATGGAGGTCAAAAATGTCTCCTCATTTCAGTTTAAAATGTCATGGAAATATCTACAGCCTGAAAGCTTATTTTGGTGCTTGAATGTCTATATGACAATAAAATGTTATTTACACGATCTACAAGACTTTACAATCAATGGGCTTTGTAGCTATATGAAATGTAAAGTTGAGATGACCTTATTCATAGAGATTAGGATGAGTGACAGAGCTTAGTCTAATAAATGATGAATCAGGACCTTAAGTGGGTCACAGGTATATCTACCTCTTCATTGTATCAAATCAACATGGAAAATTTATTATCAAATTCATTTTTATCACTTTTTCCCTAACTTCTTTCTTGTTAAACACCAAAAATTAAAATCATAATAGTTGTCAGCATACTGGACAATATTGATGTAAATCAGCTTTGTCACCACACGGCTAACCAATATTCTTGGAGTGTAATAACAACCAAACAGAAAAGAGTTATATGGCATTAATATGACAATATTAGTTTAGTGGTAATGATCTCCAAGTCACAAGCAAAATCAGACTGGGGGCAGCATGACTACAACTGCATACACACTACTACATAGTTAAGCTTTGAAATATGAGAACAAGTTGATTACTGTTGCTTTGAATTTGTTTAGTATCACTAGTATTTATTGTTAGCCTACATGTTAAAAAAAATCTTTTGAGAATTATAAAAAAAAGTCCTAGAAAAAGTCTCAAAAGGTACCTCTGCCCTCCTTAGCAGCTCCGTCTTGAGAATGCATCCGAGGCTGAAGGTTAATGCTCCAGCCACCGTGGCGCCCCAGGAGAGGAGCCACAGTCCCTGGGCCAACTTTACCCTTTTCTGAAAGGGGAACTTCATCTTCATCACCACCATAATTGCAGCAAATCTGACCCTTGGAACAGGGCAAGAGGACGCTGAGGGGAATAGAGATGATGCTGTGCTTCGTCTGCAGGGAAGAAGAAGTGAGAGGCGGGACGCTGTAAGTCTCAGGGATTAAGACATAAGAAGCGGAACTCTATACTCATTGTGAAATACAACAGCAAGAAATAATTATCACACATAAAACACAGCAATAACAACTTTAGTGAGGAAAAACTGTAGCTGGAAAATGCTAAAGTTGGAGTTCAGTGGCACATTCTTCCAGAACAGTTTTTAAAGAATCACCATCCACAGACAACACCTCAAGTGAACATAGAATGAATACAGAGTGTAAGTCCCTGTGATTTGTTGGCCAAAATGTCCTGAAAAGATGTCCAATGATTTTTACATCAACTACCATCCAGTGTGCCACACAGTAGATTGGACACACTGGATCTGAAAACCTGAGTTCTGATAGCATCTCACCTCTAAAGCCCACTCATCTTAAAGCTGCCCAGGAATCCAGGCTACATTCACACAGCACTGTCTTTACCCTGTGACCAGTTTGGAAAACGTGAAAGTTACATGGATGAGAAGGACAAATTTTCCTGATGCAACGAGCCGGACAAAATCCTAAGAACTAAGCCAGTTGTTGAATCAGTTGATGTTTGGCACAAGCTCTTCAGCTATTAGTGAATGGATACAGACAGTTAAGTGAGCCATTTCTCTTATTATACTAACTATTGGTTGTAACTGAAATTGCAGGGAAACTGTATGCTTGCATCCTTACTACTGGGCAACCACAAGCAAAAGTATACTGCATCAAGCAGCTGTTTATTCCAGTTTCTGGGTGGACTGCAGTCTTACTGCAAATGAACCACACCAGGTTTTAGCTGGAAACGAGCTCTTCCAAACAATCTCTTCATGCATGTTTTGTTCTGCATCAGTTGAATTGCTTGTGTCAACATATGTCCTAACCATCCTATCCAAAGGGATGTTTTGGAACGGCATCTCCAAAGGTCCAGGTGTGCAAGTGCCATGAATGTGATAAAAGACATGACTAAGTACCAGAATGGGTCAAAGTTTGTTATTGGCTATACCAACTGGCTTTGGCTGCAAATCTTTGCACCCAGTTCCATTGACAGTAGAAGTTTTTGTGCAAATCCAAGCTTCCTTTTTCTCCTTTGCAGCTGTGCATTCTTAGATGTCTTCACAAACTCAAAACTGTCTCATCCAGCTCTGGTCTCCACAGATGGAAACCTTTCAGTTTGCTCTAGACAAAGTCAAGACTTTGGAGGTGAAAGGTAGGCCTGTGCATCTTACTTCAAATGAAACTCTTGTCTAGTTTTCTTTGTTTTTTGTATTTTAAGGCTTGTTGGTCTACAGGGTATGACTCATCAGCAACATCAACAACCACTTTGTACTTTGGTTCAAACGAAAATTTGTCGAATGTTTCTCTCCTCTTGATGGCAAATCCTTGTGGCTCGTTGGTCTAGGGGTATGATTCTCGCTTCGGATGCGAGAGGTCCCGGGTTCAAATCCCGGACGAGCCCACTTTGATGTTAATAAGGATTGTGACATGAAAACATTACAATTGTCAAAGTAGAATCTGAAATTGTGACTTGTGACATGAACTGATCCAAAATCTCAGGCCAGAGAAAACTGTTACATGTTGGCAATGTTTCAGGACGCTTTGTTGTGGCTAAAGACAGAGGTTGCCTTTGTGCCCCAGTCTTGTTTGCTTTGTGCTGATTTAGATGGAAAGGGGAAGAACTACATTTTCACTCTTTTCTCACTTGTGTGTGTTATGCCCATAGACTGTATATACTATGGACAACTTGGTTCCACCTCCCGCCTGTATATGGATTTGAAGCCAAAAAGCTTTCGGTATTTCCACAATTTTTCTTCATTTCCGGAATCCAGCGCTGCGCAGTAGCGTTGTGCGCCTTCGGAGGGGTAGTCGCCGTCACTGCGGTGACGCTAGGCTAAAACAGTGTATCCCCCGGGTGAGCTACGCAATCCCTGAACGCCCATAGGCTGTATCAGGGGTCAATCAAAGAAAACATGAACCCCCTAATAACTTTTAAAAACGGAGCTTCTCAGAAAAAAAGAGGACTTGAGCACAAACCAGTCTTACAATAACTACATGTCAACATCGCAAGCAGGGGGGAGATACATTTATGTTCTGTGTAATAAATTTCTAAAGTTTGTCCACAGCCCCATAAGCTTTGCTGGTGGAGGCAGGATTTATGACCTATACTGCAGCCCATCACCAGAGGGTGCTGTTCTTGGAGTGGCTTCACCCAGCGAGGACGCAGACTCTGGTTATGGTTATGCCCTGCTCGTGCCTAGAGCATAACATAGAAGGGAGGTCGACATAGTGACAGCTTTTAAATAAGGAAGTAATTTTTTAAGGTGATCAACAAAGAAAAAACTAATGGTTAAGTCAGCAATCAGTAGTGAGGTGAGGGTGTCAAAACCAGACAAAAAACCAAGGTGGACATCTGGCAGACACCAGCCTTCCAGGAGGGAGAGAGAGAGGGCCAGCTTGAATTCCCCCAGCTTTTAAAGGCTCCAAGCAGGTGAAGCCAATCCCTGAATGAGAGGGGAAGAGCAGGCACTACAGGTGTATCTAAAGGAGGAAAACAGAGGGTGGAATACATGAAAACACACAGACCACAAGGCCTGTAGTAGTCACATGTGTTCAAACTGCAACACTGTAGGGTGGGCTAAAAAAAAAAATGCACCATGGTGGGGTTACGTCATGGCCTTATTTTCCTTCTGCATACACAAGCAAAAACCATGCAAGATAGCATTCCCATGAGTCCATACAAACCAAGGGGTTGTTTCGGGACAACTTCTCCAGGCAGTCCACGCATGAATACACCATGAATGTGATAGAAGAAGACATGACTGGGTACAAAAATGTGTCAAATGTTGCTGAGGGCATTTTAGCATGTTGTCCCAGGTCTGATCCCCATCTTTATGCTATTGTGCTATTCAGCCTGTTGAGTCAGCTAAGTCTGTCATTAAACATATTACCTGATGATGTGATACTTACTTTTGCTTTGTTAAACTCTATTAAGTTGGGCTCAACATGGTAACCTAAAAGTTCATCAACTGCAAAGCTAATCTTTACAATTGAAAAGTCTGATTATCAATGCTAAAATGGTTAGCATCTTCAAAATTGACATGTAAATGGGATGAATGGATGAGAAAGTTAGTTGAAAATACAGTAACGAACCACAGGCAGTTCATATTTTTTTATTCTTTGTTATTATTATTAATGTTTAATGTGATTGGACAGAGAACCATGGAAGATATTTACATATGAATGTAGCACAGTTTTCATACATGTGCTTAGGCAAGTTTACTAACCAGAGGGGTGACACTTATACACCTATTTTATGCTCTATCACAACATTTTTTTGTAATGAGTATACATAATATATCATAAATACAGATACTATATAATTTAATCATAACAATAGACAGCACTTACACTATGACTTTTTTTACAACTGGATATTTTTTGCTGTTAAAGCTAAAATTATAATACATTTACAAAAGCATAATTTTAGCAAACTACTCAAAGCATAAATAACTACATAAACTTTCATGCAATCAAGCAATCAGATCATCTGAATAACATTGTTTTCCATGGAGACAAAAAGACAGGGGTATTAATGCCTAAAATATATCTTTAAACACAATGAAAATATACATCTTTATTATAAATGGCCAATTCTAAGAAGTTTCAGGGTACAGAAAAAAAGTGTTGAAATACATAAATCATTTATCTACCTCCTGTTGCACCTGGGAAATGTATATTGATCTCTTTATATAAAACAGATTTGATTTGAACGTGGGAGGGAGACAGTCAATTATTGTAATAAAGAAAGTCTAACTATTTGAATTCATTGTTTAATAAGCCTTTGACATTTTGGTGCTGCTGAGACAGCAAAAGGGTCTTGATTTTTCTCTCCTCATAAATAAAGAACATAGCAAATCAGTATTTCTGACACAGTGTACAGTGTTTTTGTGTTTCTGTCACAGCTGTGTTCGCTCCCCTTTCCACAACTCGTCTGGGATCCCTCCTGTCCAGCCGTGCACCTCAGCTCTGCCCTGACCATTATCTTCACTGACCTGATGCTCACAGATGAAGTGATTGAGCATTATCTCAGCTGACTGCAGGCTCGCCAGACTGTTTTCCGCCTCTGACATCATGTTGTCTACTGGCCTTGCAATAGCTATGTCATTGCTTCCTCTCCAATGATGAATGATCTGGTTATCTAAATCACCTGCATCTGTGTCCCTGTGGTGATGAAGATCCATCATGGCCTCTGTGCCTCTTAACTCTTGCTGCATTTCATGATGTGCATGATGTGCATGAGGGATATCCTCCAAGCTAGCTGAGCGGATCAAGATAGCAGAGCCAAGGGTCGGACTTGTGGCAATCCTGTAAGAGCCTGCACCTGACAAACCATCACAAATGTTCTCATTGTGGATGGTGAACTGAAGGTGAGGTATCTGAAGTGGTCGTGGAGAGTGTTGCCCCAAAAGTTCCTCTCCACCTGACTCACTGTCTTTGTCCATGTCCCCATCCTGGTGTCTCCAGACTGGACCTCTGTTTGACCCTGTCAGTATGAATCTTGGGGTCTCTTCTCCCAACTCTGACCAATCAGATTCCTCCTCCTCTGGTACTGACCCCAGAGGAAGCTCCTGCCCTCCGGCTTGGACCTTTGAAAAGTTATGGTTGTCCATGAACTCAACGGGAGGGGGAGTGATGGGTAGAGCCACCTGGTTCATGGTTTCGTCTGACTGAATATCGTGGTCGTTTCTTTGCAGCATTAACGTTCCCTACAGCAAGAAGAGGTTACGTTGGATCATTTATTGATGCAATGATGTCATTGAAATAATGACGTTCAATGTTGTGTTTGAGCCACAAATGCCCACTGATCAATTTTCCAGAGGCTTTGCAGGATTTCATAATTGTTTTTTCTTAGGTTGCTTATTCTTACATACTTTCAAACAGGGTTTTAAAGATTAACGTAATTTTTCTGTCATGATTACATTTCCCTTATTGGCTGTACAGTAAAAATCACTACACACTTGAGTTAAAGGGGATATAAAGATCTTACGCTGAATGTTTCCACACTGTTAGCATGTTTTGCATCAGCAAGTTTCTCAGTCAGCGCTGAGATACGCCGGTTCAACCTCTCCCGCTCTCCTTCCATGTTTTGGGCCTGACATAGAAGGAAAAATGTTAGGTTATTTCCTCTTTGCCTTTATTCATAATGTAAGTCAGTAAAAAGAAAGACACCTACATGTCTCAAAATCTCTGTTTAAAAAATGTTTCTAAATCATTTTGGCTCAAGCACATCAAACAGAAATACTTTCAATCTCACCACAATGTGAAGCCTTTGTTCGAGCAGACTGTTCGACTGCTGTGTGGAGGAGCAGTTGTCATGTAGTCTAAAGAAAAAGCACAGACATAAAGATTTCAAATTCATATTACAACTGAAATGAAGTTAAATATTTCCACTGCTTCTACTGGTAGTGCTTCAGAGAAAAATGATGGAAAAGCTTCAGCATATTTATTTGCGTTGCTTTTACTGCCAAGCAAAATCCATATGGTGCTTTCCTGACTACTTACACCACAAAAAAGATCATTATCCACATTAATATGTATTTTTCATGGGAGACCTTGTTAAATCTAGAGCCTACTAAATATAAATGTGGTACCTTACACTATCTTTAAAAGAGCTGTTGAAAGGGTGCTAATGGCCCAAACACAAATAGAGACTAGTGTCCTTGCTATGGCAGTTTTCTATCATTGTTTCCATAGTACAATGATTAGTGCAGTATAAACGAATTTCTTACCTCTTAAACTTCTCTGTAAGGTTGTTGAGCTCCATACGTGTCCTTTGAAGTTCTACCTCCAAGAGCTTTTGGCTGCTTATAAATTCTTCTCCTAAACACTCCATCCTCACTGCTGTTTTTAACAGAGTTTGATGTAGACCTTCATTCTGCTCTTGTAGTATCCTAACAGGAAAGATACACAAAAAAGAAATAAAATGAGAGAAAATCAAACTGGAATTTGATGAATTCATGAAATGAAATATCAGAATCAGAGTAGATTGGTTTAGTAAAGGTTAAAAAATGATATGGGTTTAATGTTTTTATTTTCTAATTTATTTTATTTTTTTAAAAATCATTTTCAAGTGTGCCCTTTTTTTTAACCCATGTAGCACACTCTCATAGTTGTCAATTGACTATGGCTTTTATTGTTCTCAAACTTATGTAAAAATCCTCCACACTTACATGATTCTGCCCAGCTCATTTACTTTTTCCTGTGTAAAGAAAAATAAACAGAATTACAATAAATAAATATGTATATATTCAGAAGCTAATAAATATTCCCAAAGAAAAAAAATCATTAAAAAAGTCAATTACAATTCCATTAGTTCATGCACTGAACTAATCTATTGTTTTGCAATGTTCAATGTGACGTGCAAACTGGTGCCCAGATCAATAAACAAGCAAATGAGTGGAACATTATTACATAACAACTTAAAGCAGAGTAACAGGGAGTTATTATTCAAGATAGGAACAGACTGAAATTTTACATATAAATATAGTCTTAACCAATAGTCAGAGGTCATACTTTTTGTATCAATGAGCTGCTGAAGCTTGTCTGCTCCTCTTCATGACTGGATGGACTGCTGCTGCTTCGCAGAGAGTCTGCTTTACTGATAGACTCCAGTTGTAAGTCACTTTGAGAGTCTCTATGGTGATGTTCCTGGTCTAGACTGCGATGGTCTCCATGGTGATGATTATGGATTGGACTTTGGTGGTCTTCGTAATGATGGTGATGACTTGGACTGTGGTGGTCTTCATAGTGATGTTGGTGGTCAGAACTGTGGTGATCTCGGTGGTGATGTTGATGGCTAGGACTCTGGTGGTCTTCATGGGGATGTTGGTCTCCAGGGTGATGTTTGTGATCTAGGCTGTGGTGGTCCCCATGGTGATGGTGAAAGTCTTGACTGTGATGGTCACCATGGTGATGCTCATTGTCCTCATGTTGATGGTGATGGTCTTGGCTGTGGTAGTCTCCATGGTGATAGTTATGGTGTTGATTGTGAAGGTCTCCGTGGTGGTGCTCATGATCTGGACTATGGTGGCCTACATGGTGGTGATGATGGTCTGGACTATGATGGTCTCCATGATGATGGTGATGGTCTGGACTATGTTTGTCTTCATGGTGGTGATGATTGTCTGGACTATGATGGTCTCCATGGTGATGATGATGGTCTGGACTATGGTGGTCTTCATGGTGATGGTGATGGTTTTGGCTATGGTGGTCTCCATGGTGATGGTGATGGTCTGGACTATGGTGGTCTTCATGATGGTAATGATGGTCTGGACTATGGTGGTCTTCATGATGGTGGTGATGGTCTGGACTATGGTGGTCTTCATGATGGTGATGATGGTCTGGACTATGGTGGTCTCCATGGTGATGGTGGTGGTCTTGTTTGTATTGGACTTCATGGTGTTGATGATGAGATTCCTTGTGATGGTCTCCATGATGATGGTGATGGTCTAGAGCATGATGATCTCCATGGTGATGATGATCTCCAGTATTATGTGAGTGGTCAGGACTGTGGTGACCTTTATGGTGATGTGACTCAGTTTGGTGGTCTTCATGGTGATGCTTATGATCTTTGTGGTGATGCTGACAGTCCAGGCTGTGGTTGTCTTCAGGGTGATGTTGGTGGTCTGGACTGTTTTGGTCCCTTTGGTGGTGCTGATGGTCTCTAATGTGCTGATGATGGTCTTTATGATGACAATCGTCTTGACTGTGGAGATCTCCATGATGATGCTGATGGTCTGGAGTGATGTTATCTCCATGATGTGGCAATATATCTTGACTATGGTGATCACTATGGTGATGCTGTTGGTCTGGACTGTCAGCACCATGGTTAGGCTGTTGGTGTCCATGGTGATGCTGAATGTCAAGATTTTTACGGTCCCCGTGTCGATGCCCATGAGCCTCTCCATGGTGATGGTGAAGTTCACTCTGGTGACCACTATGGTGGTGATGATGATGGCTGTGAGGGTGATGGGAATGTGTGGGGATGTGATGGCCGTGGTGGCTGCTATGGTGGTGATGAATTGTTTGCCCATGGTCCCCATAGTGGATTGGGGATGAAGGATGTTTGGTATTATGATGGTTGCTGTGGCGGTGGTGACCTGAACTGCGGTGGTCTCCATGATGATGATGAGTTTTAGTATGGTGGTCATCATGATGATGAGCATGACCATGGTGATGACCATGGTGATAGGGATAAGAATGGCTGTGGTGGTCTCCATGGTGATGTTGGCAAGTAGGGCTATGCTGGTCTCTATGGAGCTGAGTTGAGCTATAGTGGTCTCCATGAGGATGGTCATTGTGGTGATGGTAATGGTCACTGTGATGATGAACAGGACTGTGGCGTCCATGGTGATGGTGATGGCTTTTGTTGTGGTCTTTGTGATGCTGGTGATAACTAGGGTTGTTTAGGTCAGCATGGTGACGGCGACTAGAATGACGATGGTTTCCTTGGTGACGGGTCTGTGAGTGTTGTCTCTTAGAACAGCTGATGTCAGTGCAGCTCCTGGGTCGGTGTATCATGTGATGTGTTGAGTCTGAAGATTGGTGACCATGATGACACTGCTGGAAAGATTTAGAGTGAGACATACAAGTTGAGTCTTTCCTGGTTTGGGTATGTTTGCTTGATCTTGCCGAATCTGCACTGGTGGGCCGACTTTGGAGTCTGAGCTTCTCGGTGGTGCTCTCTACTTTAAGAGATCTCACAGATGTCTGTCCTGGACTGCTGGGTCTTTTAGTATCTGTGACCCCTAGTGTGGTGAGTCTCATCGGGCTGAGCACCTGCCTGGTGATCTCATTTAGGAAGGCAGAGAATTTCATCTTTTCCTTCATTAAGTTCTTCCTAGCTTCCACTTTGTCCTTCTCTAAATCTTTTTCATCTTCATGGGCATCCCACTCTCCCTCTTTGGGCCTTGTAAGAGCCTCCATTGATTTGGCTTTGCGAAAACTTCCACTGTTTCCCAAGTCACTTTTTGTTTTCCCAGTATTCTTCAGGTTGCTGTGAGCTGGGCCAGTCGCAGAGGACTTGCCTTTGCCCCGTTCTCCTTTGGCAGGTAATGTATTATGATAACTTCTTTTATCAATCAGAGGGGCTGTGTCATCACCATCTTCAAAATACTTGTATTTCCTGGAAATATCAGAGCAGGACTGGGAATGCTTCATTTGTGGGTATCTATTAGAACCCTCACTGCTGCTCTCAGAGGACAGGCTAGAGGAAGAGGAAGATGATGAGGAAGAGGAAGAGAAGGAAGAGGAGGAAGAGGATGCAGAGGTGGAGGATGAAGATGAAGAGGAAGGTGAAGATGAGGATGAATTAGAAGAGGTGGATGAAAATGAACCAGCAGAGGAACTCTGTGTAGTTTCTGATAAAGATGCTCGGTGATGGTTTTTCTTGTGATGGTAATGGTGAGAGTGAGAGCGGTGAATCTGGTTGTTCTCGCAGTGACGTGGTGGGTTGACATGATGATCACTGAAAATGCTGTCCTCTGTTGTAGACTGGATGCTATTTCAAAAGGAAAGTGGGAGTGTTAAAAACACACTAAATCAATCATAAGGCTGACAAAATCTGAAGATTACAAAACTTTATCTTAAATAAACTCAGGACTTACATCTTATTGATTGTAACAGTTTAAGGTAAAAAGCTAGAATATGTTTGGAAAAGTGGGGACTTTGATTGGCAAACTTACTCATGGCTGTCATTGTCATCCGACTGATGTAACTTTTGTGGGTTACGCTGATGATGCTGGTGTTTCATTTGTTGAGATTTTGAGGATGCAGTCTTTCCTCGCTTGCGGTCTCTTTCTTGATGGTCAGACTTCCCCGACTTGTGCCCTTTCATGTCTCTGGTGTCGGGACGAGGACTTAAGGGTCTCAAGTATTCCTCCATTAACTGCAGCTGCAGTTCAGAGTTGTCTTTAGAAACTGTCAAGATCACTCTCCCTGGAGGAAAAAAAAAGGTCCTTTCTTTACAACATAGCCATGATTCAGCAGGATTTAAACTTTAGATTTCCAAGTAATCAATAAATCACAGGTCGGACTCCTATCACAGTAAATTCAGAAAAAAATTATGACAAAGTTAAATGTATTTTATCATTTTTATCTGTTGTGTTTTCAAATTCTATTAAAGCATGAAAAAAAAATTAGAAAAACTAAGTAAAAATTATTTGTGACTTTAAAGGTAGCGCTACATGCAAAAAGGAGGCATATACAAAAAAAAAAAGGCACAAGCAAAAGTCCAAAATGCAGTTTGAAATTAACTTTTAAATAGTCTATTATACATAAATTCTACTTTACAGCAGGTTAATTTGTGTGCAATTTAGCTAATCCAGACATTTATCTAATATTCCACCCAAAGCCAACGCCTGTACTTACTTTCTCTATGAAGCCTCAGGAATGAAACTGGCAGTGATGTTCATTGAAACAAAATGAGTCCCTGTCAGTGAAGCACCTCCTACATGAATAGGAAAGCACATGCATAACCCACATGCACTCACACGTCAATATTCCCATGTCATTCAGTGACACAAGGGCAGGCTGTTGCTTACAGCTACTTTGAACTGTATTAAACTGTGATGTTTACTGTTGTGTTGATGGTGTTGCATGCATCCATTTTAAATATACCAGCATGAATTAGTTACAAAATATAATGTGAATGTGCAGTTCTTTAATCAGATTAGTAATGCATATTTATATAGGTCCCATGCAGACTGTAAAGATGTTGTTGCATTCTAAAATGCATGTTACATGACTTTAAAAGGTTTCTTTAAACTGAGAGGACAATTTAAAATACCAAGGTAACGGTTGTTCCAAATGTTGATTTCTGCTAAAGGGTATTTTAGGATGTGTTCAACAAACCAATCAAACTCAAAAATGTAAAAGTAAAACCTTCCTTCTTTGCTGCTCTGTTCTGAGGAGAATATTATCCTTTTCTATCTTAACGCTATTTTTTTATCTGTAGATGCCCTGAGCATCTGAGTCACTGCAACAGCCAAATAACACAGGCTCCCAGCGTTCACTTCTCAGCTTGTACATGGATCCCCTCAGTGTGGCACATCAAAAGCAGTAACAGCAGAGGAAAAAAATGTCAGTTTGAGCCTGTATAACTCCAGGCATAGATGTGGGTGGATGTTAGATGTCACAAACTATCTCCTCGTATTACTGCGGCTTTAAGAATAACACAAAATCCCCTCACACTCATCAGAATGTATCAGGGCTTCTTTCGTTGAAAGTGAACCCTGAAGAGTAGAAAGACAAGGAAAAGTTACGCTGGATGTTTTTTCTTTTCTTTTTTTCTGACTGTGATTATCATCATGAGAACAGAGCACAGACACCAAAGCACTCAGCTGCTTACAGAGTGCCTCATAACAAAAAAGTGTCACCTTATTGATCAGGATGTCCCTAATATGTCAGTGCAATGGGCACTCTAATAACTCAGAGTTCCTGACAAACACATTGAACTCCAATAGGTGACAAAGCTAATTACACATCACAAAACATCATTATGTTATATTAAATTTTCAACAACTTAAACCCTTTGATAAGACACATGCATCAAACAATAACAACCACAGTTTTGTGGTGTGTACCAGTGCCAGATCTGTCATCAACACTGTGATTTTGCAGCATGTATCTTCATTGCCGCAGGCAGCTTTCCCTGCATCGAAGTCATGTGGCTCAGATCCACTGACAATCAATGCAAAACCCACGCTGCTGCGACTGTCTGGCACATGCAATGGAAAGTTAGAGGAGGCTTCTAACACGTACCAACACGAGATGTTTTAGGGAATATTTAGAACTTTTAAATTAACACTTAAAGGTTGTTATAATGAGGATGACTGAGAACAGGATGTGACAAAGTTACATCACACAACATGACGTTATAAGCCTTATGGTGCTGCAGTACTCTCCATGCTGCCACACTGGTTTTCTGCCACTGTACCATAGAGGTAATTATAAACACTTGATTCACATGCAAATGACTGCTATATCTTTCAGTAAAATGACTCACAATTTAAAAAGAGACATTAGATTTAACAAGAGCTCTGCTTAAGTGGAGTAAACATCTCCTTTTCACAGTTTCTATCTTCATGTTTCTCATGTGAAGTGTCACATCTAAACCGAATTGAGACTGCATCATGTATTCCAACAAAGAAAAGCCAACATGGTGGTTCAGTGTCACCAAGATGGACACCAAAACCCAACACGGACAAGGAAGATTCAAACTCGTTGATCATTTCAATCACCTGATCAAAAAGCTGCAGAGCACCATCCCAAATATTCTCTCGCAAATACTTCATTTAAGTCAGAAGGAGGTACAATGTAAACGGCTGAACTTAAGATGAATTTGACCCAGCTGCAGGGGGAAAGGAAAGCCAGTGTGATCAGTGATCAGCTTCAAGAAGAGGAGGTCATATTGTCATGAAGGATGTCAGGGTGGGCAGCACTTGTCAGACAAACAAATCAAAGACTCTGAGGTGAAAAAATACCCCGGTTTCAAAGCTTAGAGAGGCAAAAGCAGGCAGCTGTGACAATCCAAGGACTGCAGCTAGAAGCCTGTCGACCCCCAGCTATTACCTGCTACAAGAAAGCCTTCCCTGGTGACCTTCCATCACCTGCCGTTTCACATTACACCTGTAAATGTTCAATTTCTACTTTGAAAAGACGATGTTTACCTCTCAGCTCTCAGTAGCCGAGGAGATCTTTGACCCCAGCCTGGTGCTGATGACTATCCACTACAGGGCACATGGCTGTATTCAACTACCATGCTGAACTAAACTGGCTGCAGCCTGGATCATTCAGCTCTCACCACTTGAGAAATTTTAGCGGTTGTCAAACACCTAATGATTCAGATGACCCCTGAAAGCCTAAAGAAGGATAAGTTTTGACAAATCAACCATTTGATTTATGTATATCAATTTTTAATGTTAAGTATAATCAGGAGGAGTGGCCACTTTGAGTTAAGGGTGGATGCATCTGGCTTTCTATGAGGAGTCACTTTGAAAAACGATGGTGAAAAAGTTGAATCAGTAAGACACAGCAGGGCTAGACCAAATAATATGCAGCTTGTAGCTAATATTTAATGTTGTGAGGATACGATTTCTGAACAGATCATTGAGCAGCTACCCTCTGATGCAGTAGTTTTGACATTCGGTACAGCTGAAACACCTTCAAAACAAACATTGTTCAAAGTTATTCTCAGTGAACAAAATGTCATCTGTCTGTCTGTGAGGTCTGAAATGTCTGTTAGAGAGGAGAGCCCATCCTAACCTGGCCCCTGTCCTGTCTCCTTGCATGGCTCACTTTCCACAGTATATGACGTGCAGGTCCTGAGCTGAGCTTGATGCACCACTAGGGGGAGCTGTGTGCAAAAAATAGTTGTATGAGCTGTTTAGATGTATTCTTACAAGCAGTATTCACATTGAGTCAAAAAGTAAATAAACTCTATGCTGTATCTGAGCTTCATCAAATTTTACAGCTGAATCTTTAGAAATTGTCAGTGGCCTGATACTTGAGACTGATCACTCATCAATACATTTTGAGGGATTTTGAGCTGCAAGTAGAACTGAACATCCATAAAACAAAATACAAGAAAGAAAATCAGTCATCACAAACTATTTTACAGATTGTTAATATTCTCATTTACGCAAAGTCTAAGTCACAGCATTTTGTATACTTTAAAAACTTGACTGATGTCTTTAAAGGAGGTCAGAGTGACGCTCTGCTTTTACAAGTTGAGATAGGGCCAACAATATCTCTTTAAACACTGAAACTTTTGCCTCAGGTGCAACAATAAAATTCTGCATAAAGTTGGGAACGACATTTAATGTGTGGGATTAATAGAGTCATATTCTTGAGCAATTGCGCTATCTTCTGTGGTGTTATATTTTAAGCAACCTCTATGAACTAATACTTACTCTCAAGTTAACTTAATTACACGGCTGATGGCTCAAACATTCTTCTTACTTGAGTTTATCCTGATATGCAAATTCAGATATCCAACAACTGATACATAAAAAAAAAGAACTTATAACACTGAAATTCTGGATTATTCCTGTTTAATAGACAGTCAAGGAAACATCTGGAAAATATACATACAGCATGTGTGCAAAATCTAAAAGCAATGCACTCGTTTTCAAAATCATTGCAGACACCCATAAATAGTTGTGTATTTATTCTGTGAGGGGTTGGTCGGCTGGATGTCATCTCTTAAGGAGTAATGCACAAAGGCGGTTCAAACCAAAAACCAAACGTAGTTAGTTTATAAACTCAGAAATGTTTGTGAATGTTGTGTTGCTGATAATATACACCGTGACATTTCTGCTAGCAAAAGATCTTCCTCTGCATCGACAGTATTTAGTTTCTCCTAAAATTAAGAATTCACTTCAAAAGATCACTGACACTCGTTAGCTGGAATTGTAAATGGAAGTAGAAACTCTCTCCATCGCTGCCTTTTTAAAGCAACAATCAGTGGATCCTTCACCTTGAATCACTGGGGCTTTGGTCACCTTTGGTGTTGTGGGCTGCTTTACCAAAATCGAAGGTAAAATCCTGAATTCAATATCAGATTTGAAAGTCCGTGAAGAGCTTGGCATGCTCCTGCTGCCTTTTGTATGTGAACGGATCCAGAGATTACCTCCATTCTAAAGAGGAGCAGCGTTGCTTTCTTTTCCCCGTTTAAGGAAGGTCAATAACCCCCTCTGCTGGGCTGACAGTGTATTGTAAAGTCCCATTTCAGCCCAGCCTATATGAGCTTCTATTGTGTAACATGGAAAGAATTGAAGGAATCAATGCTTGTTATCAGTTTTTCCCCACACGGATGTTGGGATTAAGAAGAGGATCTAAATTTGGGTCCGAGCCTGCAGAGGCACGTCCGAGTTTAGCCATGATGATAATCAGTGTAAAGAACCCCAAGACTCCGACCAGAAGAAGCATGAAGACACGCTGTTTCCAGGTCAGAGATGTCCGCTTTCCACCTGTGAGATTTCTGAGAGGAGAAAGCAAAAACACACTCAGAGATCATTTCATTCATACCAAGATTAATCTCAGCTGACAAAAGCACTGAAAAAGAGTTTAAGATTAAATGTAGATCACGGTACTAACTTGAGAATTTGGGCAAACCAACTGAGTGTAGGTCTTCTTCTGTATTTGTCATCGTCAAAGTCGATCTGTGTGATAGAGCTTTGAGCAATGTCCCGTGTATCGTAGATCTTTCTCGGTGATGAAGCTGGGGAAATAGATAAAGAAAGTAATTTATTAAACTTTCGACAGTTTTCTGTGTTTAAAAAACTCAAAATTCACCTTAAATATTTTTAAATGCTTTCAAAGTATACACAGACTGATGAAACTGTAATTAAAAAAGCAGTCACCAGTATGTATCGTGATGGTGTCACGGGTGTTGGCAGTAGTAGTGAAGTTGATCACAGAGTGTTCCTGCACGGTTGGTTCTCCATTTTTACGGGGACCTCCCAGGTCCTCCTGTGCTGGAGGTGAGACAGAATTTGGTTGTGGGCTGACGCTGGTGTTGTAAGAGTGGGTGGGGTAAATTTCACTTTGTTCTTGTGCTGCAGAAAGACAAAAAGAGTTCAGTTCATCCGCTGAAGTTATTTAGTATAAATGCAGTCAGTATAAAGCACATACTGAAATATTTACATGAACGCTTACCACTAAATGTTGACCAGTCATTATAATCTGTGACATCATTTGCTGTGGTCTCTTCAAGAACATCAATTGGCTCCTCAATCTGTCAGATTCAGATGACATTTCATCAATTTTTCAGAACTTTGTGATAGAGAACACGCACCTGTGCGGACAATGATGAGTCAGCTTATTCTGGCATCATCCTCTAATGGTTCAAAAATGTACAACATGACGGTTATGGAAGTTAAATACTGCTTTTATTTTATACAGATCCAAAACAGTCCATTTCAATCAATCCCCCTGGGCCAGTTTGCCACAGCCTTGCTTTCCACCAGGTTTTAAAAAGGCCAAAAAGAAAAGCAGGAAGGTCATCAACAGATCGACATAAAAAACTGTTATATCTACAATAAAAAGTGAATTATCTGCATTCTCACTGGATATTTTTCCACTTTCTGTTGGTTATGATGATGACACCTCACAAGAGATTTAAAAATAACAGGTCCTTACCAGAGGCAGCCCCAAACCGGCCCGAGCCCAGTTGACAGATGACAGCTGTTCCTTCAGCACATCAGCAATAGGGCTGGCCAGGTTAGACGGGGGGAAGACTGGACCCTGACAGGTGGGACACTGATATCCAGCTGGAGCCGTGTGGAGGGGCAGTCGTGATGCCAGGTTATTGAGACAGGACCAGTGAAACACATCTGTGGAAAGAATACAAACAGATGTGGTATACAAATGTTTGATGCTGTGACACAAATCATTAAATCTTTTTTTTTTTTTAAGACAAATAAAAAAAAATTCAAGTGGAAAAAAATGTTTGGAAATTTTAGGTATCTGTTTGTTTATGTTCTTGTAACTTTTCTGGAGCATCAGTTGCCCCTGAATGGATAATCTTACCATAGCAGACGAGTCTGACCGTGTCTTGAGCATTCAGAGGAGTGTTACACAGAGTACAGTTGGGGTTGTAATCGCTGTCCTGAAGCCACTGCAGATATGACTGCACAATACACTGAAAGGCAGCAAGTTCACACGCTGAGTTATGACTTTGATATTATGCCATTTCACAATTTCAATCATGACATCACTTTCACTCACTGACCTTGTTGTGGTTGGAGACGAGGCAATGCTCACACACGTTTACACGATGCTCGAAACAAAATAAATTTGTCACCTTTCTCTTCGGGCACTTGCAGAGACCCATAGTCACCTGCTGTATAGAGCACAAACAACATATGCTGCTTCATTATGGATGCATACAACAGAAAGGTATCCTTATTGTAATATAAATAACATGCGTGTAAAGTATAAGCAGAAGAAACGGGCGTGTAGAAAAGGTCTTCATTTGTCAGTAAGAGTGTTTGAGATTAAAAGGTTTATATTGAGTATGTTTGTTATGAGGGTAATGGTCTCTGAAGTAAAGACCAGAGCAATAAAACAGAGTTAAAGGCATTAATACACATCTTCTCTTCTCGTGTCTCAACACTTAGTGGGATATAATACTGATGCAGCATGAAACCATCGCCATGACTCATGCAATACAAAAATGGCATAACTGTTTTTTACAGATTGACATTTTAATCCAGATATAAAACTACACTGAGTGTGGACTCACTTATTTACAGTCTTAATCAAGAGTCATGGAAACATCTGAACCCCAGAGCGCCGTTCACGCATCATATCTTTTCTGTGAAAACTGTCAAAAAGCATTCACCTTGTTGACTAGGAATCACAGAGCGATAGAAGAGACCAAATAAATATAATCATGAAAAGGAAATAACATGTAGGGAATTTAGCAATGAAAAGGCATCTGCACTGAAGCAAGAAACTCTTTAAAGGGAGGGAAAAATATCCTAGAGAAAGCCAAAAAAGCTAAAGGATTACAGATAAGGTGGTTCAGTCAAATGGCTCTGAATAACTACCCCATAGTCGTGGTAGAGAATGGACGTTATTCCCTTTTATGGACCTTTTGATAACAACATGTCCTGCTGGTATTTCAGGCACTGCATATACCAGAGTTATAGAGTGATATTATATTAACAATGAATGTAGAGTCTTTCCATTGAGACTATATACCTGAGTTCCAATGGGTGAAGAGCTAGAACTCGTTCTGACGCGTGATGTGACAATAAAAACCAGGATTACAATATTCTTTCTTTGAATTCGGTGACCCATTTATTTCCATTCAAACAGAGAGAAAGTTCACCTGCTGCCACGCCGACACGGTCAAAAATCTGTATAGCTCCGCCCTCCACACCTGGCTCACTACCTGGGCTTACTTAAATCCGCTTTTACGGTGCAAAGAACCAAGGAATAGAAACAAGAAATGAAACAAACAAAAGAAACTAAATAATGGCTCCAACAATGAATATTCAGATCAAGGATCAACACAATTTTAAACTGAAGTTTGATTTTGTATGCAAGTTTTACATCAATGGTGGCTGAACCATTGATGAGCTTATGACATCTTCATTTTATAGTTAAATTGTTCACTTAAATCTCCTGTGAGGAACTTGTTTTTTGTTGGTTATTATGTAAAAGCATCCATATGAACTTCAGTCTATTTCAGAAACGTCAAACAACTCCTCACAGGAGCTTTAAGTAATTATTATTTTCTTTTTAATCCAATGCGCAGCTCAGTTATCTCCGTGAATACATGCAATGAATTGAGACGTAGGCAGAACTCATTATTTAAAAAAGGTGCTCAGGGAACAAAATAGCTCAAGGGACAACCCCAATGTCACGGCTTATTTGTAAGGCGGCGGAGCGATGTATGAATGTGCCATAAGATATCAATAATAATTGGGTGCCATGCTGCTTTCACTGAGGGATATGTCTACACTGTTAACAATGATTAAAGAGTGTTTGTATAGTACTTAAATGAGATTAAACTGAACAACAACACTGTTTACTGATTTTCCTTTTATTACCATAAAGAGTTATAAAGTCCATTCTACATCACTCCCAATTGACTGAAATAAAATGACTATATTATGGGGTTACTATGCAGTAGGAAATTTTTCATATCTTTTTCCCACTTCCATATTTTCTCTGAGTATTCTGTCATCATAATAATCAACTTTACTACAAACTTAAGAGTCATTCCCTGATGATATCCAAGCTTAGTGTGTTTAAGTACTCAGGCTTTTGCTTGATTGCTCAGCATATTGACTGACTGATGATAACCTACAGTCGGGTCTCAAATACTGGATGGACCAGTCTCTCGTGTGAGGCTAAAAACCTAAGCAGGTTGTACTGATTTAAAAGAAAAGCAGTTTGGACAAGCACATCATCCCTGATCAACAACAACAACAGACTGTTAATCTACTCTATTATGTCTTTAACTTGTTATCGTGATCTAAATGGCATCGATCGCTACAAGGTTTTGGTGTTTTAAAGGTCGTGATTTGTGCGTTTTGGTTGTAACCGGTTAAACTTCGTCTAATTCGATCAATCTAATTTAACATAAGTTACCTGGCATCCTTTTTTTATCACACATGTTGTCTGCGATTACACCTTTACTCATCCACAGAGCTAACATTAGCCGCTACCTTAGCTGAAGTTGTCAGGTGAGCCAAACCAGCGAGGAAGTTACGACACAAGTGATAAAAACAAAAGGACCTTACCTGTCACACAGACTTTAATATAGACCTGTTCGTCTTAGGTACTGCTGTGTGGCTGTCATTTAAACCTCCGTGTCAGATTTACACTGAAGGCGTCTCCAGGAGGTGTCATCAGTAAAGTTGCTGCTAGCTGGTTCCTGCCTCTGTTTATGTGCCACGTCTCTTCCGCCTCTGCTTCTTCTTCGTGGGTTTTTGTGGAAAGTCGGTAATTGAAGAACGCCATCTATTGTACTGGGTGTGCTACTTCATAAATGCTTTAAAAATGCCAATATTGAAAAATTTATAGTTTGTATGGCATTAGCAACTTCAAGAACTTCACTATATTGACATGAAACGCATTATTTAATAACATAAACCATATAGACTAAAGCTCAGGTGCACCTCCATTTCCCCTGCTGGTCACTACCGCCCTGAGTCACTTTATATCATAAATCACTGTAGAGAAGTGGCAATGCTATTCTGAAGATGCTCCTCATGTTTATTTTTAGGATGCACCAATACTCGGTACGATCTACACTGCATCCCTCTTGTATCATGGCTGTAGCTCAATTAAATTATTAAACTGATAAAATTTTTAAGTTCCAGTGTCAAACTAGCAGTTTTGGATAGAGCAGTTGTTGTTTATCTTACCCTCAACCTGCTTACGTAGTGTCTTCTGACAAAATATCTCAAAATGCTGACTTATTCTTTTTGATTGTGAAAAGTAATGTGTAAAATGTATAAACTGTAAAAACATTTTCTCTAGTGGCCAGGCTGGAATCTACCCTCTCCCATTGTTTCAGGCGTACAACTCTATAATAAAAATATCTTAAATTTTAACACTGATGATCTTGTTTGCTTTTATATTTTATCAAAAAACATCAAAATGAAATTCAGTCTGTTCAACCGATGTCAAAAACCCCATGCTGCTTTAATATCACATAAAACTCTTGGTCTTCAGTTGTATACACCCGGTTTAAGCTCTTTTAAAAGCTATGGACACAGAAGTAGGCCAACCTATTATTTAATAGTTTGCTGATCCAATATATTCATCAGTAAGAAAGTCACTAATTATACGACTCAAGCTTCAAACCTAATCTCATCCCCATTATCTCATGCTTTGATTTCCCACAAAGCTTTAATAATGCCATACGAAAGTCTAATTTATTTAACAGCAGATAATGAAAACACCTGATCAGATAAGATAAACTTAATTGATCCTGCAAGAGCAATTGGACAGGAGCAGATGCATGATATAGATAAGTAGCCTACGCTTAAAACTACATTTAGCAGTCTTTAAATGCTTCTTTTAAATGCAATTGATCGCATGGAAAGACACTATCTACAGAAGGGATACATATATGAATATGTGTATTCTTCCAAGTTGTAGAAAAGTGTGGTATTCATGTTTTCTTTGCTGTACAGAAAAAAGGAAAGCTTCTCCTTCTCTTGGCTTTTATTCTGCCTGTCTGTTCTTTTTTTTCTTTGGCAGATTTGTGTCAGATGCAGTTTGTGTGTTCAGTCAGCAGATGGTGTACAAACTGATAGCCAATAAAGACTTGGCTATGACTAAGAGCACACAGCATGTGGTTCCAATCAGTCACCCATCAGCACCGAATGTGCGGATAATGACATTAACCTTTCATTAGCAGAACAGACCCTGAAATGTAGTTATCTCAGATATAGATTATTGATCCTCTGCATGTTTGTGTGGACCTTTAATGTGGATGATCAATGATTCTGGCTGTCTGTAATCTCAAACTTGTGGACCAGAGCAGTGATTAAATTAAAAATCAGAGGAGCAGTTATAAGAGAGAAGTGAATATCTGCGGTAAAATGGAATCAGGAAACATTCTTGATCTTTTTGGTGTATTTCTCATTAATGTACCCATAAATGGAATAAAAGTATTAAATGGCTGTAAATGTAGGAAATTAAAGTCATAACTGTATTAAAATAATTCAAAGCAGCTGCTCTGAAGAGTTACCACTTAACAGGCTTACACATGCAGCCATTATAGCGCTCAATCCAGCCATGACAAGCACTTTTTAAATGCATGGTAATGACATCGATGCGGCACCATTCATGCATCATAATGACTTTTTTTTGTCATTACTATATGCATGTACGCTTATGTGTGTAAATGGCCATGCATGTATTTGAGAACGAGGCTACAGATTTTTCCCTTCATGCTCGGCTGCACATGTGAATAGCCTGTAGAGGGGAGTGATGAGAGAGGAAAATGAGGATGTGAAAAAGCATCAAAAGAATAGCTTCAGTCTGATAAATGCAAAAGAGGGGGACAAAAATGTTCAGAGAATCCTATGAGATCTAGATTCTTGGATGGAGACCGCATTTCCTTCGAGCACCATCCCCCATGAATTCTCGGGACATGACTCTTGCAAAAGCCTGTGGTAGCAAATTAATGTAACACAGATCCTCTTGTAAATACTATTTTTCTTTGTTGCAGTCAGGTCCCTGCAGGATGAAGAGTGATGAGGTAATGTATTGATTTGCAGTTGTGTAAAGTTATTAATTACAATGTGATAAGAACAAATCTTGGTAAACTCTGATTTATTCCTGTTGGTGATTAACTGGCTGTCCTACTTATCGCCTGGCTTAAATAAATAGTTAAAACCCCTTGACAATGGCAATTAATTCTGAGCTGCAAATGTGATGCCAGGGACAACCTGATCACACGAGTCACACATATCAGATCATCTGTACTGTAGGAAAGAGTTTTTGCACATTGAATGAACTGTTCGTGATTCTTGTTGACAATGCGACAAAAAAAATGTTGCTTTCTGATCGCACTGGTTTGAGAAAATGGGGGAGATATGTTTTTATATTACTCTCAATTTATTTGAAGAGCACAAATCTTTATATTGGTGTTGCAGGTGATTTGCTGGCCAGTCCCCAGCAGAGAAAGGGAGAGCAGCAGGGAAACAGCACTGGAGGAGCTGAGTGAAAGCGAGGCTGAAAAGACACGGAGCAACCACAAACTGCATCATGGTTTGCTCTTTGGCTGTGATATGGGACTGGCTGAGAGAGAAGTAGAAGCCAGCAGTCAAGATATGAGGAAGAGGACTTAGATGCAGGGATGAAGGTAGCTGGTGGTAATACCAAATACAATCCACACAAGACCCCTTCACTTCACATTCTCTTGCCCCCACCTGTTGGAGATCTATTTCACAGAACCAGCTAACTATGCAATATCGGGCGCCAGTAGCTCAGGAGGTAGAGTGGTTGTCCAATAACTGGAAGGTTGGCGTTTCGATTCCCCCCTATCCCAAGTCTGTTTGTTGTATCCTTGGGCAAGACACTTAACCCACCTTGCTCCCAGTGTGTGTCCTCCACTGGTGTATGATTGTGAGTGTTGTGTGGTGGTGGTCGGAGAGAGGCCGTAGGCGCAAAATGGCAGCCATGTTTCCGTCAGTCTGCCTCAGGGCAGCTGTGACTACTAAGGTAGTTTACCACCACCAAAGTGTGACTGTGTGAGCGAATGAATGATGTATCCAATGTGAAGCGCTTTGAGGGTCTCTGATAAAGCGCTATATGAAATCTGATGCATCATTATTATTATTATCCCTTTGATAGCTGACAAAAGGTGACCAGATATACCAGTCTGATGTTACTGGTCACAGCCTTAGTAATCCAAGGTCCTGGTAACAGTCAGTATGGTGTTAATATGCACACAGTCTAATTCTTTTAGACTTTAAAGAGCACTGGAGCATTCACACACTGACGTAAATATTAAAGTTATCTCTTGAACAAAACTACAGTTCCTCCATCTAAAACAGTACTTACACAAAAACACGTCTTATAGCTAATCCTCCTCTAGTATCGACCATGAGTACATTATATAGTGTAAAAAAAGACAGAGAAAAAACACCTCCTCTTGGTTGTTCACTTACCTCTCACTGCCAAACTTCATCAGTTGAGCTCTAAACATAGCCTCTTACGGGTGATTGCCAAATATCGACTCAGCTTTTTTGCTGAGAATTCAGCCCAGAAAGAAATTACCACTTTTGTTGCTGATCATCTCATTTCACTATGTAGGTCATGAAGAGGCATCAGTGTGAGATTGACACTGTTTCAGAATCAGTTAAAACCTCCTCGCAGTGCCTTAAAGAAAAGACGACAGTGGAGGAAAGAACAGCCATAGATGTAAGGCATCCACTATCTTGTTTTCAAAGACACCGTTTATTACAAATCAAGTAGAAATTATGATTCAGAAGCACTTCTTTGAATATGGAGTGATTTTTCTTCCTGCTGTGAAGCTTAAATCTGCATGGTTGTCTGCATACATCTGTTCTTTGTCAGCTGCCAGGGTTTTCAATGTCATGCAGGCTGGTTCTGGTCTTTAATGGCCTTGATTTGCAAGCACAACTTGATGAGTTTTCCCCTTTGTTATTGACCTTTATTCTGTTCAGTCAGATTTCATTAGAAGAATTTACATCAGGTTAGGGCTGTGTATCTGTTTTGCAATTAACATCCATGAAATAACGTATTCATTACAGAAATACGTCAAAATGAGCCAACTGTTTCAACTCTTATGCTTAAATACTTTCTCATGTTTCATCTCATCAAAGCCTGGATGCTTAGTCAAATTCAAATCAGTTGTTTGACTGAAATATTGTTGATTTTGGCACAAAGACAAATTCTTGAATGTCGTTTTTTTAGCTGTAAATCAGATGCAGTGCAGTCACACTGAGTAAAGTGCTTAATTAAGGGTTGGATTTATCTCATCTTTTTTTTCTCCATCAAAATGTTTGATGCTAGAAAAAAAAAGATCAAAGTAAAAGAGGAAAAAGTGAAAAAGTGATGCCAAATCTCCTCATCGTTGTATCAGAGCAGGGCGGTATCATCAGTCACACCCTTGTTACGCAACATTTATGTTTAAAGGCAAACTGTGCAATTTGATCTTTTTGACTTCTTTTGTGGAAAAATGAGTGCGAGCCGAACTGTGCAAATGAGCCTGAACTTGTAGTGTCCTCGGTGATGACAGGGACACGTATAAATCACTGTCGGGGGTAAGGACAAGTGGAAAGGGCGTCTGAAAAGCACTGCAGCTATCAGATGGAAGGGAAATCTAGAGACAAATGACAGAGACGGTGGAGGACAAATCAGCCCCAGAGCTGAAGCAGCTGGGTCTAAAGTGACTGCAGAGGTTGGTGGGTTGGGTGGAGGTGTCGGGGGGTAATGAT